TTGGGCACAGAGGTGCAATAAAGATTAAAGCATTACCAACCAACAATTCGTCTGTTTTAAAACAATATGCGTTATTGTGATTTAATAATCATAATAATGCTACGCTACACAATGGCGACACGAAATTGTACCCGCATCACATATATGAATATTACTTTCTTGTTCTCGAGGTACATTGATCACGTTCAGGTTGCAACATGTATCTAAATAGTAATTTTGTAGGTTTAGAAATATACACTTCCGACATTTCTAGTTTTAATCTTCTTTAGGAAAGAGAAGCTGTGACAGTAGTGACTGGTATCTGATGGATGCAAACAGGCGTGGAGGCACTGTCTCAGATGGCTCGATTTGCTTAGCCCTAAATATTTAGACGGCAAACAGCGCTTGGCTTGCAAGACCGTCTCACAGTGCCGGGACCATATCATTTCCCCTTCCGCCCAGCCCTTACTGTAATGGTATAGCCCTATATGAAGTAATTCTAGATTTCCCACCGTTTGAGGGTTGAAATGTCCATCTCACTAGGGCTCCTTTTTGAATTAAATGAATTTGCTTGTTTCTTTCAAAATAATATATTTTCAGAGACTAAGTGTTAATCCAGTCCATGTGTGAAACCAATATGGCTGGATATAGCTAAACGTGGGAGTAACCAGATTGCTCACACACGCATGAAATTTACTTTTTGCACGATCACAGTCATCTGCGATCAGTATATATATAAAGGTATCTATATTAGCATCCTAATGGCCCTAATCATGCTAATGGTGGGTGGGGCATGAAAAATGGCAGTTCTATTTATTTTTAATTTTATAGATTGTCAAATGATTTTAATATTAATCGTAATCTTTTTTATTCAAGTCCATGAACAAATGTTACTTAATGTTACTTAGTACTCCAACCTCTAAATGCCTATCAAAGAAATGTTACATGTAAACTGAGGGCCAAAAGAAACGTTACCAACATTAACTGATTTGCCACTTTGAAACAAAGATGCCAACCTGTTCAAAAACAGTAAAGAACACATCTCACGAATACAGCCTTCATGTTCTCTGTCGTTCTTTGCGCGTGCTTTGCGGATTTTGGGACATATTGGTGTTTTTCAGCAATTTTTAAAAACATTCTTTCCCAACTTATCGTGCAATTTTCGGGTATAAATTACGCACGGATCTGTTCCCTATCATTGGTTGCGATGATTAACACAAACGAACATGCCAAGACTGACCGCTGTCCAGAAGGAGAGAGCCATAGGTATGCTGCAGATAAGAGCGACACAGGGAGAGGTTGCCATTAACATGAACTGCTCCAAGATGACCATTACCAGACTGGTCGCACGTCTCCGACAGAGTGGCAGACCAAAGGTCACGACCCCGCAGGATGACCGCTTTTTACGGGTACTTCATCTGAGGAACCGATTTCTTACTGTGACGTCATCAGCTGCCAACAGCTTAGGACATGTGGTCAGCAGACAAACAGTGACCAGACGACTACGACATTATGGTCTCCGGGCTTATCGCCCTTTGAAGGGCATGACCTTGACCCGTCAACATCGACGTGCCAGATTGACGTGGTGCAGGCAAACTCAGCGATGGCAACAAAGGGAATGGCGGCGAGTGCTGTTTAGTGACGAGAGCAGGTTCCAACTCTTCAAACCTGATGGTTTGACGCGAGTTTATCGACGACGTGGTGAACGTACGGCTCCTTGTTGTGTCCAGGAGGTGGAACCTTACGGGGGCGGAAGTGTGATGGTGATGGTGTGATGGGGCGGCATTTGCGGGGACGAGAAGACGGAACTTGTCAGCATCAAAGGCAATCTGACAGCACAACGCTACATTGGCAATATCTTACGGCCAGTGGTCCTTCTTTTCATCCAGCGTCAACAACGGACGATGTTCCAACAAGATAACGCCACACCCCACAAAGTCCGTATTACTAGAGACTTCCTCAACGCCAACAACGTGACTGTCCTGCTGTGGCCAGCTCGATCACTAGATCTGTCAACCATAGAACATCTCTGGGACCAGCTGGGGCGTCGTCTTCGGAAACGTCAACATCCTCCCTTCACGAGACAAGCGTTGATCGTTGCCCTCCGTGAGGAATGGAATCGGATACCAGCAGTCGATGTGAGGACGCTTGTCTACTCAGTTCGACGCCGCATTCGAAGATGCATTGCCGCTCATGGAGGTCATATCCCGTATTGAACGGTCTGGGCCGTCGTCACCTTAAAGTTGTAACCAGTGTTGTTGATCGAATACTGGATGAATGACCCCTTGTCAAGAAATGTCCCTGTTGGAGGTCAAGGACTTTGTTGTTGAATTAGTAAATTCGCGTTTTACTGTTCTGAATGATGAATTTCTACAATACAATAGTTATTGCTGCTTCAAATTGTGTTGGTCATATTTTATCCTAGAAATATCGTTGGTAACGTTTCTTTTGGCCGTCAGTTTATTTGATGGGGGTTGGGTGCATGAAAAAAGTTACATTAACTTGGGTGTCAGTTTGTAAGGTTAAAAGGGAATTACATCCGATAGTGGAATGCGTAATTAATATTGGGAGTGACAAAATGTACATATCCTTTGCTCACGTGGGCGTTTCCCCACCGGACTGTTTATTTTGGTAGTTTATGATTACCGGTTTTAAAATATAATAAAGGTTTAGCTACAAAATCAGAATGAAGTAAACATTTCTCCAAGTCTGGAGAGTGTTAAATAATCCTCTGTCCAAACTGACTTCAGTATGTAGAAACGGACAATGTCCGTCCATCACTTTTCAGGTACTTACTCTATACACCATTCAATATTTCATTGAACTTTATATAGACTTTAATAGTCAGTTAAGTCCCATGCCTCGGGAAGATGGGGGTATGTAGACAGTACGAGGGGTGTGTTGTTATCCTGGGTGGTGTTTTCAACCTGCGAAGGGTGGGGGGTTGGGGGGTGGGATGGGTGTTCAACCTGCGAGGCGGGGGGTGGGGGGTGGGTGGGGGGTGGGGGACGTTATGATCCTGAGGGGAGAGATTTGGTCCTAAGATGGAATCACTTTGGAGTGACTTGATCCCTGGGAGTGACCTGACCCTCCTACACCGGCATGTATTGAAAACGCGGCGTCTAATAGAGGAAATACGGCATATATATTTTCATGAAATGCAGAAAGGTTACACAGTTATGCACGGACTACGCTAGCACGTCATGTTCGACGTAACACATCTGTTGTGGGATTACATGTACTTTGGGTTTAATTTCTATCCAGTAGTCTCACTTAAGCCCACACAGTGAGTGTTAGGCATCTACAATAATTGTCGCAACAATGTTATAGAAAGAAAACTGTCAGTCGCATTGACATGTCCGATAATTTTAAGTTTTGGATAATTTTAAAATTTGCCATTTCTAATGGGACATGCCGGAGCCTTACCCTACCTCATTGTACCATGTCGTCAGTTGGTGATGAGAACACTCCGTGGTCTAGTGATAGAGCGTCTGCCGGGAGAGCGGAAGGTCGTGGGTTCGATCACCAGCCGCGTCATTTTACTAGACGTTAAAAGGTGGTACTTGTTGTTACCCTGCCTGGCGCTCGGCATTAAGGGGATGAAAGAGGACTGGTCGGTTCGGGGTCAGTATACTGTGTCTAAGTGGGGTGTTCGTGTAAAACTGCGGCTATGTATCTCAGTGAGCCGGCACTATAAAATCGGCATTAGTCCGGACGAGTGTAAACGGACACACACACACACACACACACACACACACACACACAAGCGCGCGCGCGCGCGTCGCTATATATTCTTGAACGCGACGTCAAGCCCCATTTCATCTCCCTTGGTGATGAGAATCTGTATTTTGTTCAATAATTCAAGTCTTGAAAATTTGAAATCGACATTAACAGTGGTAAAATGGGTAACCACATACTCGTCCTTCAAAGGTTTCGATTATATATATCTTCTATTTAATAATGATTTAAATACGCATTGCTATGGATTTGTAACAAACTTTTGATTAAATAAAAATTACTTATTTAAATTTTGTGATTATTTCATACTTATATTTTCTATTGTTTTCATATACGAGTCAATATTCTTACATATTATATAACAAGCAATGCTTCCTGGTTTTTTTCGTGTGTGTGTGTGTGTGTAACCGTAGCATATTAGCCTATTTAATTTCATCGGATTATGGATTGACTATTGATTCAAGTGCGTCTCTTAATCCTAATGATTGGGCGTTACTTTCATCGGCCATATTGGCTTCTGCTTTATTGAAACTATAAAGCGTGACGAGTGTCTGTCTCTCATGCCTCTCCGGGGGCGGTGGGGTAACCTGGTGGTTAAAGCGTTGGCTCATCACGCCGAAGACCCGGGTTCAATTCCCCACGTGGGTACAATGTGTGAAGCCCATTTTCCGATGTCTCTTGTAATATTGCCGGAATATTACTAAAAGCGGCGAAAAACCATACTCAGTTAGTCAGTTATAAATATGTCAGTGGACTGAAGCACACCAAAGTGTGAAAGATGACTCTTCAAACACAGGTCGACCGCCTCCGTGGTCTAGTGGTAGAGCGTCCGCCCGGATAGCGGAAGGTCTGGGTTCGATCCCCGGCCGCGTCATACCAAAAGACGTTAAAAGATGGTACTTGTTGTTACCCTGTCTGGCGCTCGGCAATAAAGGGCTAAAACAAGTACTGGTCTGCTCGGAGTCAGTATACTGTGTCTGAGTGGGGTATTCATGTTAAACAGCGGCATGGTATCTCAGTGAGCTAGCACTATAAATCGGCATCAGTCCGGACTAGTACAAGCCACAATCAGCCACAAACACACGTGCATGCACGTCGCTATATAAGTGCAATAATCTTGTACTCAACGTTAAACCCAATTTCACCTCACCTTCAAACACAGGTCAGTACTGATATGTCAGATTTAAGCATAACAAGAAGCTAGACATACCAGGCTAAAAACTTTCTGATATCCCCTCGCATCCTGAACAACAAACACGCACGCATCCTGAACAACAAACACGTTTAAATGTATAAGAATAGTATTTATTAAACAAGCCATATTTGTACAAAATATGATTACGTTTCTGTTGACAAATATAAAACTGATCTTACTAACCTTATTCTCACGATATAATACCCCTGATGGGAATTGTGACCATGGTAACATCCATATACTTCAACTTTACACAAAACAAAGGAGCATGCAAAGGATGATGATAAAATCAGTAGCAAAATGGAAACTTTGATTAAGCAAAAAATTCTTAAGGCAATGTTTCTGGACGGTTTGTCTTTAATCACAAGTGAAGTCATCGTCTGTCACAAATTGTTGTTGCCATTACATTATACATTTGTTTGCTTGTTGTTTTAAGCCACACTCAGCAATATTCCAGCTGCATGACGGCGGTCTGTAAATAATCAAGTCTTGACCAGACAATCCAGTGATTGAAATCATGAGCATCAATCCACGCAATTGGGATACCATGACATGCATCAAGCAAGTCAGCGAGAATTACCACCCGATACCGTTAGTCGCCTCTTAAGACAAGCATAGTCGCCTTTTATGGCAAGAATGGGTTGGTGAAGGCCTATATCCATTTTGGCTGACAAAGCACAGCACCAACACTGTTGTGTTTATGCTTATCACTCTCTTTCAACTTGATATTATGTTCCGTTACCATGAGTGAGTGAGTATGGTTTTACGCCTCTTTTAGCAATATTCCAGCAATATCAAGATGGGGAACACCAGAAATGGGCTTCATGCACGGCACCCACGAGGGGAATCGAACCCGGGCTTTGGCGTGACAAACGAATGCCTTAGCCACAAGGCTAACCCAGTGCCCCTTATACCAGTATGCATTAATTAGGCACTTCAAACAGTCACGAATGTATAAGGCCTCAACTGTGGATGCATAACTGTCAATACAAAAATAATACAACACAGAATAAACAACCAACGGCATGATGCATTAAGTACCCCTCATCCGTCTTCAGGTTGCTATGGAAGTGAATGAGTCCATCTTTTTTCTAAAATAATCAAAGGAGAAATATTTTACCACAGAACATATACTACTCAAAAGAAGTTAAAGAACACCCGATTCTTTCATATTACTATAGTTAATCTGTCTTGGCATGTGAGATTAACTATTGTAATATGAAAGAATTGGGTGTTCTTTAACTTCTTTTGATTAGTATATATACATCATTGCTCAAAGCATTTAAGGACTCTTTTTTAGGCCTCTAAAAATGCCATTACACAAGGTGAAAGGTTGTAAACATGTTTCAAATATGTAAACAAACACGCTATACCCAACACTACTACCGGGTACTTGTATATGATGCGGGTTGATATCAAACACTTCTATTGTATTGGGAGGCTTGGCTGTTTATGTCTTTATGTTTGTTTCTGGTAGATCTGGCAAAATGAAGCAAAAACAGTCCTCTATTTATATATTCACAAATCGCATCTTCTCCAATATACTCTAAATTATTGTTATGTGTCCATAATCTGTGTTTCAGATGGAGTAGAAATCAATGGATATTTTACAAATCCCAACAATTCAAGATCGTTTAAAATACTAACAAGTGTATTGTACAGTGCTGGCGACTGAAAACTAGCAAGTGAACACACTCTTCTCCAACAGAAGTTAATACTACCAGTACTTGTTCATGTATAGATAGTATATTACCTATATTTTACACATACCCGGTACTTAGCATTTATTATTTCCCACTGACCCCTATAACATGTATAATGTCTTGCCAAATGGATAAATAATCCAGATCCACAACTTTCATGTGATCACTTTGATCTTACCAGTATAGTATAAATATTAAAAATAAAAAAATGTTTATCCTCAGCGACATAAAACAATAATTTGTTCCATTGAACATTCTTTTTTAAGGCACATCGACAATTTTTCAATTTTTCTCTTTTCTAAAAAGATTGGATAAATTATAAGTGATAAAATCACTTTAAGATAAGGTAGAAGTGCCCCTTGTGCTGTTTCCTGTCCTACATATGATGCCACATTAATCTTCATGAACAACACTTTGCAACATCATCAACCAGGTAACATGTTCGGACATTTTACAAGAAATCGAGATGAAATTTAACAAAATCGTAACACTTATATCGCCGGTATTTAGTGATCATAGTCATACAGCTATCTTGATTTCATTGTTCGAGATAAAATTATCAATTGATACAACCACTGAACTAGTCTATAAGTTGATAAAACCACATCATCACCTTGCAGCCCTGTTCACTATGTCACAGGTCACACTTGACTGCCTCCTAGGTAAACTAGTGCTGGTGACACACACCTTGTCACCCTGTCATGTCGTTATAACAATACCATCTAGCTCATAAATGCAACACCTGTCTACAGGCTGTCTATTGGCATGCAATAAAACAAAACCTAGAATTTCATCCATACTTTCTTCTAAGGCGATGGTCACGATATGGCTGAAATATTGCCGATGTGACGTTAAATTTTAACTCACTTACTTCTTAAGGTGTATGAATCAAGAATCAAACACATTTCCGTTCTACATTCTGACACAAAAAGACAGTCACACATCAAATTCCCAGTCACTGGGGTAAATGGCTAAATAAATAAACAATGTGATGTCATGATTTGCAGGTCTTAGATGTTAACCACTTTGGTGAAACACACAAGTAGGGGTATAGTTGTATACTCCCCAGGAAGCTGAGAATGAAAATTGAGTGCACACTGATCCATTGACCAGGGTAATAATAATGTAGACAATGAGAATTCACTTGAGTGGAATTTTGGCACATCTTAAATGGTCTCCTTCTTCTTGTTCTTGTTCTTGTTCTTCTTCGTCTTCTTGTTCTTCTTACTATTATTATGCTCACAATTCAAAAATCATAATCAGGGCGAATCTGGGATTTGAAGCCACAATCCTAGGATTCTGGCATGCCTAAGGGACACAACTCTGCAAAGTGAAATGGGGTCCTCAAAGCAACTGTGCCACATGTGACCCCTCATAGCAGAGATGTCAGTCAATTATCTGTAGTGTTAGATAGTGACACAAAACAAACTGTGTTCACCCAACCACCTACTCATATTCAAGCTGCCTGAAGAAGCTAAGATGGGTTACCTTCACAGGTATGTCCTGCAGCTCAACCTGCCGGTGTTGTCATAGATGGTCATCACTGGGTGAGGTGTACAGGTATCATGCTCAATAAGTCAGATAAATATAAAACGAAAATACTCAACATAAGGCTGTGAAAAAATTAAAGTCTTGGTTCTCAGGCACTGCCCACATCATCATTAAGCCCGCCATGTTTTCGTTTATATTTCCATTTTCAAAAATAAAAAATCTTTAATTATTCAACGTCTCGAACACACAACACTGGCAGTGAAATGCTACTATACTTAAGAAGAACATGATTCACCGAAATTATTGTAAACAAAATTTGGTTACATACTAGCTTGAACAACCCAAAAATAAAACGCCTGCCCACACTATACTTTAAAAGCCATTGCCTGAGAACCAATTCTTTTATTTTTTAAGCCTTAAGCTTCAAGCTGTATCATCACTAGTATTTCTCAGGTAATTACTTTTCCAAATGTAACGTTTGTAAGTCATTAACAGTGCCAAATATCATCTTTGTGCTTGAAAGTGAATAACCTTCCACATTGTCCAACTCCACCTTGAAAACAGTTTGGATGAAAGCCTGGGGTATATTTATTGTCACCCTGATAAGCTATGTACAGCACAACAGCAAATAACTATCTACACATATACAATAACAAAAACAAAGATATATACACAACCATTTTGGTATTATCACAGATAAATAATAACATAGAACCAATTGAAACACAGTGTGGAAGATCATATGGCAGCAAATTACCTAGTTTTGCACACCTTGACAACATGCAATATCTTAGGAATTAATTAATCTGAGAAAATAATGCTCCCTTTAATAAATAGTATGCACAGATTGTTTGATTCTGTGATTAAATAAACAAGCTTCACAATCATTACTTCCAGGAGGAATAGGTTAACAGTAATATAGTGAGTGAGTGAGTGAGTTGGGTTTAATGCCGCTTTGAACAGTATTCCAGTTATATCCAGTGTCAGTTTAATGTGGGACGAAAATGATGTACGGCTCAAATATTTACCACTTTGGTGAAACCCACAAGCACAGGGATGGTACTGACAAACCTCGAGTAACAGAGCGAACCATGATTTGAACCCACAATCACAGGCTTCTGGAAAGCTCAATGATGCAAGAGAATTGCTAACAGTCATATAAGGGCATATCCTTTCCTGCAATTATGACTCCTATGCAATTTTGAAAAAAAACACAGAAATTTAAACATTGTACAGTTTAGTCAAGGTTTTTACATGTCAGCTGTTTTAATCTCAGATAAATATTATCTCACATCAGCTGCATGATAAGTGAACATCTGCCCAAACTGACAGAACTTTGAAATGTGGTGGACTTCATCTCAGTATTTCATAGCCCTGCTGACAACAAACACTATAGGGCCTCCGTAACATTTCACATTGGTATGTCTAACATACTGGAGAAACACACACATCTCTCATGCAACTTTGTTTTGCGTCATCATGGTCATACTGTCTTAAGCCACAGATTCATCCATGCGGACTCTCCGTCGTGCTTTCGGTGGCCGAGAATCGGACCCTGTGTCGGAATCTCCCGTCGTACTGCTTCTTGGTTTACTGCAAATAGGCATGCTTTGAGTTACACAACAGAATATATCTTACAATTGTATCAATTGATTAAAAACATAATAATTCCTAAAATATATTTGAGAACAATAATGAATATTTTCTGAGGTAAGGACAGATTTTTCTAAAACTGGGTTTGTGAATCCACAGACTCAAAGAAATTGAAATGTAAAAAAATATAAATGAAAAGCAGGTTTTTTTAGTCTAACCAGATATACGTCAAATGTTTAAAAAAAACAACATTTACTGTCGCTACCAAAATAGATAAATTACTCCAAATACTACAATTAAAACCTGTTGAAAACGCCTACCCCTCTTTTTTCTCCTACTTACTGAGGATATAAGATAAGATAATGCTTTATTATCTGGTGGGAAATTTGGTTTACAGCGTATGAAATACATACAAAATATATTATTATTTAAGAGACAGAAGAAACATATATGTACATGTATCACACAGAGGTGAAGAACCACTTGCAGTGAAGTTAAGCTACAGACGTCAAGTGGGAGGACATTAAACATATACAACATTACTATTCAAAAATTAAAAAGTATATTTTAAATTGGATAATCTTTCTGTTTCCCCAACCTACTGACCTGCAATTTTAGGACCAAAACCCACAGACCAACCCCCCTCCCCCCTCTCCCAATGTCAGGCCTAAACGTACGCTTAATACAAAATTCCGATAATAATCAAATGCGCAAAGATGAAAGATGACAATTATGAAAGACAGCTGAAACAAGGCATTTACTTGTGGCATGACCAATGACCATGTTGTAGGGAGTACTTCAGTGGACTTCTGTAATAATTCAGGTGAGAGTGACGTAGTATTGAGTTACCTGTGCCTTGGTGTGTTTTCAGTATCGGACTCGTCTGTGGCCGAAAAGAACCTCAGGTCACCATCTCTTGTCTTGACTGCTGTGACCTTGGGAAACAGATGACAGTAGCAGTGAGTTGTGTTCAGGATCAGTGTTTCAGGCATATCACAGTGTGTCAAGTCAGTGTTAGTCTGTCTTACAGACCCTGATACAAATATATATCAAATACTGCCCATGCAAGTCTATAATGTTTGGCAAGTCTAGATCACTGCAGTATCAATATCTGAAAATGAAGAGAGTCACTGGGCTCCTTTTTATTATATTTTTATTAAGATAATTGAACAACTGTTTTTATATGTACGATATGTTCATTTCAGAGACTAGATGTTAGTCTAAGTCAGTGTGTGAAAGGCTAGGTCATAGTTGGCCTGTCTCAGGCAAGATGTAGGTGTTGTAAGGATGAATATCCGGAATACAAATCTGGAAGCCGTGGCTGTGATAAGATTGGCATACAGATGCTGGACCGGGGATATTAAGTCTACTACCAGTCTACAAACAGGCCATCTGAATGAATGAGTTGGGTCTAGCGCTGCTTAGAACAATATTTCAGCTATATGACACTGATGTGGTGGGAAAGCCCAAAGTGATACAAGTCTTGGATGTTCAACCTCTTGGTGAAACCCATGGGCATGGGAAAGGTGCTGAGATGCCTGGAAACAATCAGGAACTGGAACTGTTCTGGAACTCGAATACACATTCATAGGATTGTGGCACGTCAAATGGATGCAATTCTGCACAGCAAATGAAAACAAACATAAAATACAGATATTTCCAGAATGATAGCTGTAAAAGATTGCTACCTCTTTTTTCTTTCCATTTCTCTCCTTCCTCCCAGCTGACACCTCCTCCAACTCCTCACCTTCATACGCATCTGGAGTGACACAAAAGGAGTTTTAAAAGTCATCATGATCAACAGATATTGACCAGACAAGCATGTTTATTTCAGATGGTTTTATTTCAAAGTGTTGATTTTTTTGGATAGGAATACAAATACAAATGTCTTGATTTTTTTGCCCCGAAGCGAGTGAGTGAGATTTTTACACCGTTTTTAGCAATATTGCAGCAATATGACACCACTAGTCTATTGTGTCCCAGAATCCCCGCAAGATTCATCAAGGAATGCCCTATGATGCATAGATAGAAACTAGTAGTAACCCCTCCCCAAACCCCAAAAGTCTCCCGTCCACCTTACAGAGAAAACTGTACAGAGAATAATGTGAGACTGTAGTAGCCACCCACCTTCTGAGATGACGTAGTTGGCGGGGAAGTATCCCTGGGAGCCATCGGGTAGCTCCCCCATCCACCAGTTCTCACTGTCCTTGTACAGCACCACAATCATGTCGCCCTTGTAGATGGTCAGCTCGTCCGAGCGCTGGGCTCGGTAGTCGTACATAGCCACTACCTGAAACATCAAGAGCGAGCCAGTTTGGTTTAACACTGCTTTCAACAGTATTTCTGTTATTCATGGCGTGTCAGTTTTATATGGGAGGAAAGCTCGAAGTGATGTCAGTATGGATGTTTACTACTTTGGTGAAACCCACGAGCATGAATATGTTGCTAACCAGGGATCCCGAAATCGGTCCAATTGTGACTGCAAAATGTCCAATTTGAAATAGTGCTAACTGGACAATTCAGTCAACATCAATCACCGCAGACAAACTGACCTACATCCCAATAGGCTGAAATTGTATATATTAGATCTATGTATCTATTGAGTGTTGTATGCCATAAATGATGATTTACCATTTAAATTGTATTTCCTGCTCTCAAAGGTACTGTTTGGTATGCAGAGATGTGTATTTTCTTGTAAACTAAGCTGGAAATAGCAATCAGCTGTGCACACGTTCTCGCAACAATCTACCAGCACAGACAAAAAGTACCCAATGATACACCTTCAAAGAATTTTGATGCAATGGTCGGAACAGACGCTATCTGAAATTATTATTTAATCAGGAATAATATATTCAAATATTATGTTATTTTAGTTGCGGCTTACAATAACCGTAACACTTTGGTACAGTTGATTGCTATTGCAGGATATTTTTACGTATAGACCAATTTGACCAGTCACCGTAGGGACTTCCTGCGCGACATGTATTTGGATTGCATAAACATAATGTTGACATATAATAGTCACATTGCCACAAATATGACTTTTAACGAGTCAAAGTATGGCATTTATGATATATGTATCCATTCTATGGCAATTAAAGTTCATTTCAAGGCATCAATAGAGGTAATCTGACCGCGTTTGCTGAAAATAACGGTGAGTTGTGCAAACCACCGATCACTTCACACACGATTTTGCTCAAATTAATGTAAAATGAAATTTTGAATAAAATTGATAAAATATATTACAAAAATAAGTCCAGATATACTTTATATATTTTATAACCAGATAGTATAATGGGACTGTATATTTCATAATCTTCCTGTGAATACAATACTCTGGTAATCCAAGCACTGACATTACCTGGAACAGTAACCCCAGTTTAACTAACAGGTGCACCTGTTCCAAAGATCGTGCTGGATATACTCACCCTGTGTTGTAGACTGATCTTGCCAGGGGCCGACTGGAAGGAGAAGGAAGCCTTGCCCTGGGACTGGAACACACAAGGGGGGATGAACAAACACCAATATCAGTCTGTGACAAATCCCTGGCTGTTGACAAACCCCAAACTTGTCATTTAGCATCTTCCCAAGGCATGGGAGTTAACTGACTATAAAAGTCCAGTTTCCACCCTTGCAAAACTAGGCCAGAATTTCTAGGTTCAATTGTAGCCCTACCAGTGGCTATTAGGAGTTATGTCCCTTTCATGTCTCTCCTATTGACCAATCAGATTCCACCTCTCATATCACTTGCATTTGCTTCAAACAAAATGGTGGATTCGAACACACAAACTTTGTATCGGTAGCCCAGTGAGCGAAGGCTACAGAGGCACAGATAAATCATGATTTTAAGAATGCTGTTCCAAATACCATAGGCCAGCAACAGATATTTGACCCCCGTTTCCTAAGGTTCATAGAAAGTATGTTTGAAACATAAAAATGTTGATAAATGTTGTTTTAAGTTTCTTTTCGGTTTATAAGTAAGATAAAACACTTCTCCTCGGGTTTTTATGATATTAAAAACCCTTATCCTTGGAACAAAACCTCGGGGATAACATCCCTCAGCTTTATCCTGCAGATGCAGGTTTTAAACATCATAAAAATTGTAGAATTTTCCTATTCGGAATATTCTATAAGTAATACGTTACCACTGTTATACCGAGGCTGTTGTCTCCCACAACTGCTGCTATAGCGAAATCTACCACAGAGATCTCAATTACCTCATGCAGCACGTGCGTAGCCACCTAGCTGCCATGTGACACCCTTCACTCTTGTCTCCTGCGAGAGCAAGTGCTCGGGGGACGGACGGGCGGGCAGCAGCCCAGTGGTAACGTATTACTTATAGAATATTCCGAATAGGAAAATTCTACAAATTACATTAAGTAATACGTTACCACTGTTATACCGAGGCTGACTACCACAGTAGGCGGTGGGGAGCACCTACAACCCGAATCCTGACTGCTAGCGTTCCTTCCGACCAGCGGAAGTAAACACGAAGGCGGAAGCACTCGATGCGCATGCACCTAGCTAGGCGTTACCCTATAGGAATACCAAAGCACTGTCATGCGCATACCGTAAGGCTCAATCGTCATTGCCAAAACGATTGGTGACTCCAAACGGCCCCACTGGATAGGTATTTCATCGCCGCAGCGGATGAGAACACTGTATCCGCGTGAGCTAAATCTTAGATCAGGTTAAACAGTCGAAAAGAGGGAAATTAATTTCCTTCAGACCGTATATCCCAGAGCAAGCCTACTGAAAGTATGCATTAGGCGCGTGACCTAATTCCAGTATTCGTAAGCATGTATCGCAAGGTTGGAATACACGACAGACAATTAAATGCATAATTGTCAAAATACAAATAAGGACAAAACACACAAAAAGCCGCCTCACCTGTGGTGTGAGTGCGCTGGTTTGCAGGACCCCCACTCCTGTACCCACGGCGTGGGAACATTGGAGACGACCCAGATTGACCACCGTGCAAGGACTGACGACTGCGGAGTTTGAAATTGCGCTGGACACACCCCCTAGATGACCGCTTGTGCCGCGATCAGCGGCCCAAGACGGTGCACCCCCTCCACGTCTTCATCAGAAACCTTTCTGAGGTAATGATTGGCAAAAACCGAGTCAGAATGCCAGTAACAACCTCGTAATATTCTGTGAACAGAGATATTCGAGTGTAGGGCAAATGTTGCCGCTAGCGCCCTGATCCCGTGCGGGTTTGACCCCGCTACCGGTAACCCCCGAGACCGGTACGCCAGATTGATGACAGAACGAAGCCACAATGCAATCGAGTTGCGAGTTATGTCAACCGTGCGATTAGGGTTACACGATATGAACAGACGGTCACGCCCTTGTCTACGTTCATTCGAAGCCTTAAGATAATACTTAAGGGCCCTAACCGGACACAGCGCTCTGTCCTCAGTATCAGCAGGATGTAAGATTTCTTTGAGTGATCTTACAGTGAATTCTCTCTCCGCTTGCCCGACTCTCTGATTCTTGGCGACGAAGCCCATGAGCAGGCCCAGGCGGACCGCTCCTTCGTCACCCCTATCGAATCGTACCTTGGCGACATCGAGTGCATGAATTTCGGATACACGTGCCGCCGTGGCAAAGGAGAGGAGAAATGCTGTTTTCCAAGTCACATGCCGGAACGAAGCACTATGCAAGGGTTCATACGGAGCTTCCGTAAGTGATTGCAACACTAGGGAAAGATCCCAGGCCGGTGCCCGAAGGCGGCCCTTCTTAAGATCGTGCTGTTTGAAACCCTTGATAATACCCCGTATCACCGGCTCTTTGGAGAGACTGGTACCCATAGCAACGTCCCGTACCGTAGCAACGGACGAGACATAGTTGGCAATGGAACCCCCGGAGAGTTTCCGGGTCTCTCGCAAGTGAGACATGAAACGAGCAATATCCTGCACAGATACCTTATCTGGCGAATGAATGTGATGTTTACAACACCACTTCATGAAAATAACCCAACGTGCATTATACACCTTCTGGGTAGAATCACGATGCATACTAACGTATGCCCGAGACGCACGGCGAGAAAAACCTTTACTCCTCAGACGCTCGGTGACAATATCCACGCGTGCAGATTGAACTGCCCTGCGTTTGGATGAAGCTGACGGGTGTGAGGGTGGATCAAGAGATCCGGTCTCACAGGCAGTGGGAGTGGCGACTGCGTGACCTGGGTCAGCAAGTCGGGGGCCACATGGGCGCGATAGAATGTGTGGTAGCAACCCTGTCGGCGGGTAAGCATAAGCGTCCAAGCCCGTCCAGTCTAACGCGAGAGCATCGTGATCGATGGCCCTCGGGTCCGGGACTGGTGATACAAACAACGGGAGTTGATTGTTGAACCGCGTTGCGAACAGGTCGACCATCGGACGACCCAAACGTTCGCACAGCCACTGAAACACTACTGGGTTCAGCATCCACTCTGTGGGGCTCGGATCCCGAGGCCTCGATAGAGCATCGGCCAGTACGTTCCGCACATCTGGGATGTGACGGGCGCGTATCTGGCACGGGACACTGTCCACCAGAGCGTAAAACTCGAACGTGAGATCGAGCAGCGAGTGACTGTAGGTTCCCCCCAGTTTGTTCACATAGGACACTACCGTCGTGTTGTCGGTCGCCAGCATGAGCCGGGCGTCGACGAGACGATGCTTCCAGTGATTGACTGCGTTGATCACTGCCTTGAACTCGAGACAATTGATGTGAAGACCTAGATCGTCTACGCACCACAGCCCCGAGCTCACCTCCCCCTCTAGATGGGCGCCCCAGCCCACTAGAGAGGCGTCTGTATACAGGTTCAACGTTCCCCGGTAGGGCCGCATAGAGACTCCTGATAAGACATTGTAAGGGACCGTCCACCACTCCAGATGCGGTCGGAGCCGATCCGGGAGGGCGACGGTCGCACTGTTTACCTCCGTTGCTAACAACTGGATTAAAAACCGTTGCAGCGGGCGGAGTTGGAGACGACCCCGTACGGTGCAGTCCTGGGCTGATACAAGTAGCCCTAATAGCTGTTCCCAAAAGTGAACAGTCTGTTGCACCGCTAAGACTTTGGCAATCATCGCCTGAATTTTGTGCCACCGGTCTGGGGGGACAAATAGGCGATGGGACACCGTGTTGAACCGACCTCCGATGAACTGCAAGTTCTGAGAAGGGGTTAACTCGCTCTTGGGGAGATTGACAATCCACCCCAATTGCTCCAAGAGCCGACGTGCGAAAACGAGATGGCGTGACAGGGTGTCCGTCATTCGATTTGCTACTAGCGAGTCGTCCAGGTAAGCGAAGTACCGGACACCCCTCCGGTGGAGGAACCCCACTATGGGGGTGGTTAACCGGGTGAACAGCCAGGGAGCGGACGAAAGACCGAATGGGAGTACAACCCACTCATAGTGCCTGCCTTGAAAGACAAACCTGAGATACCTGTGATGATCCGAGTGAATCGGAACATGCAGATAAGCATCCTTCAGGTCGATCGAAGCTAGCCAGTCGGCCGGCATGATCAGTGCTTTCAGGTCCGTCAAGCTCAACATTCTGAACTTGGGCGGCTTGCGCAGGTAGAACTCGTTGAACGATTTCAAGTTGTGAATCATTCTGAGTTCGGCACTGTCCTTCTTGGGAACGAGAAATATCCTGGAGTAAAACCCCGGTGTTATTTCTGGTAGAGCTAACTCCCGAACTGCCCTCTTCTCCACCAACCTGCCGATGGCATCGGCGAGGAAGGGAAGATCGGTTTCCGAATAGAAACCTGCCGACGGGGCAACGGTGAGCGGCGGATTCGCTTTGAGATCGAGCCGATAGCCGTACCGAATCGTGTTGACCACCCACGGGTCGTCGAACACTTGGTCCCAATTCTCCCAGTAAGTCTGGAGTCTGGCTCCCACTGGGGAAAGAGAGGGGGGCCGGACGGGCTGCGGCAGGCGCAACTGTCCAGGACTCGGGTTCGCCTACGGGCCAACCGAAGTTGGCGCTGTCGGCATACGAACCCCTCCAATGAGAGTCACCTGGAGGGGCCCTTGCTGTCCTTAGACGACTTGGGCTTCCCCCAGTTCCCCTTCTTCCCGCGAAAGGGCTGCTGAGAACCCTTACCGGAGCCCTCAGAGCGGGGCTTCTTCCCGGAGGAAGAAGGACCCGACCCCTTAGGCCTGCCGGACGCAGCAACCTGGGGCGCGCTCCGCTTCGGAGCGGCACCCAGGCGCCTATGCAAGGACCCCACAAGATCCAGTGTGTGCCGAGAGGCCTCGGCAGACACAGCGGCCTGTTGTTCCTTCAGAACCCCAGGGATCTTGTTATTAAACAGGGTCCGAGCAGACCAAGGCTGCGAAAGGAGCACCTCCTGATTGGCAGCGTCCAACCCTGAAGCAACCAGATACAACTGGCGCCGAAGAAAATGGCACGTGCCGGAAACAAAGGCCGAAGCCCCGGCAACGTACTCCAGGGAAGCATTCAAACCGAGCAAGCAGTTGTAAATGCGCTGGTCACGGTCCGTGGGAGAACCTTCGACCAGACTGGCCGCCGCAGCCAGGTATGTGTCTCCGTGAGACATAGCCAGCATGGAGTGTCGAGCGAGGGTGTCCAGCTGTTGCAGGGTACCTTGCGGTACCGTGGCAACCGGTGGGGCACGGACCCCCAAACGCTCCACATGGGCTTCCGCAGAAGGACCAGCCTCGGGAAAGGCAAGGGCATGAACTGGGAAAGACCCTTTTCTCCACGACGGGGGAGGGAACGGGAGACCCCGACCGGAGGCAGCCGTGAAGGCTTTCTCCAAAGACGGCTTAATCCCGCGCAGCAAGGTTGATGCCGGGAAAGCCTTGTCGGACGACTCGTCGTATACCTCGGAGGAACCCTTGGAACCGTGGATACCCCGCGGTATCGGCAGGGGCTTTGGCATGTCCTCGAAGAGGTCATACACCATGGCCACGTGGTCCTTAACCGATAGCGGAAGCAACGGTTCGGGGGAAGGACCGGTAACCACGGCAGCCGGCGCCGTACCGGTGGACCCCGCGTCCGAACCCGCGGCCACCGAAGAGGCCGGGGACGGAACAGCCAGCGGCCTATCTTGCGATAAGGCCGCCAGCTTGGAGTCCACAATTTGCGACAACAATGCGGCGACGGAAGCCCCAGACAGCCCGAGGGCCGCAAGGGGATCCGCCGCAGCCGACAAGGAGGTGCCCGCACGGGGGCCCCGACCGGACGAACCGGCCACCACAGGGGTGGAAACGGACTGCGAGCACAGCCGGTACCGCTCAAACTCCGCAGGTCCGAGACCTTCGCACAGGGTGCACCGGGTTTCCTCGCAAGGAACCCTGCACCGCGGGCAACGATCGTGGGGATCCCGGGACGACAAAAACTTTCTGCACACCCCACAACTCCGAGGAGCAGGGGTAGAGGGGGTGGAGACAGGGGACATATCCATGTCAGACATTGATTGTTTTCTAGAAACAAAGAACAAAACATGGTTACAACGCACGCACCACAATGATTCACAAACGAACATTTTCACAAGAAAATAAACGAGCAATGTGAACATATAACATACACATATAACTTTTACTAAAGAAATAAGTTATGTTAACCCCCAAAACATACAAGAACAGGGGAAACGTAAAACACAACGTGCATACGCGAACCCCGCAAGTATATAGAAAAAAGGGCGGGAAAAATTTTCCGTTTGGCGGGAAAATTATAACCAAGCGTAGCTACCGCAACGCCCCATAAAAGCACAGTTTATTAGAGAATAAACGATAATAAATATCACCAAATCTTCAAGGAACGCTTCAGCAGGAGAAAACACGTCTTGCTAAGCAGACGAAGGAGACAAGAGTGAAGGGTGTCACATGGCAGCTAGGTGGCTACGCACGTGCTGCATGAGGTAATTGAGATCTCTGTGGTAGATTTCGCTATAGCAGCAGTTGTGGGAGACAACAGCCTCGGTATAACAGTGGTAACGTATTACTTAATGTAATTTCTCGGTCATAAATATCATAAAAATCCTCGGACATGCTTTATCCTACACAAAAAAACACAACCATCATCTAAACATATGAAATTTACACTTGTAAAAGTTAGTTGTTGAAAGAAAAAGAAAATTCTCTCATCAATTCAGGTGACTTAAATCATTAATAAAAAAGCCTCAAGTGTAGTTCAAAGTCATTCTTTTAATGTTTCTTATCGTCGATTTTTTTTATGAAATACGCTTCTTTTAAGGGACAACTTTTGTCTTAAATTTCGTTTATAGTCAGAAAATCAGGTTACTGAAAATGGCTGATAAACAGTGGTATACTTACAGCGCTGAGAGAGAGTTGATGAGGGCGGCCGTAGAACGTTGGGCTGGACGACCTGCTGCCCCCTCTCTGGCCAACTGTAACAAGAGTTAGTGAGTGAGTCAGGTTTGACACCCCTTTTTAATACAATAATGTTCACTCTTAAAAACTCTTGTGGAAGCTATTGATTCATGACAATTCCAGTGCTCAGAGGCTAATGGCATACATTTCATTGCTTTTTGTTTTTAATCTGTGAGTGAGTATGGTTTTACGTCACTTTTGGTACTACTCCAGCAACATCATGGCAGGGACATTAGAAAGGGCTTCACACATTGTACCCATATGGGATTCAAACCTGGGCCTTTCGGTGTCAGCAGCAAATGCTTTAACCACTAGCCTACCCCACCTACCCCTTTTTTTTAATCTGGATGTTTGTATGAAGACATGAAACATTTTATGGAAAACAACTTCTTTATTTCAGGGGTACTTCTTGCCCATTCATCAGGTGAACCTCAAGAAGCAGCCCTGAAAAGTCTTTACAAAGGTTAATGTCCTTGAAACTTCAAAATGCTTATCAAACACTTGTATTCTTGTACATAGCAATTGATGAACTCAAAGTGGAAGAAGAAATGATGAATGTCTGGTCCAGACTCGATTATTTACAGACTGCCATCATATAGCTGGAATATTGCTCAGTGCGGCATTAAACTTCAAACAAAAACAGTATTACAGTAATATCATGGCATGTCAGCTTAATGTGGGAATAAAGCCCAAAGTGATGCAGGTCTCAGATGATTCTTCGGTGAAACCCATCAGCACGGGTATGATGCTTACAAACCTAGAAACATAATCCGGTCAATCAAACAATACAAAAGAACCAAAGATCACTGGTTCAATTGCTTCAAATCACAGTCAGGTCCTATGTAAATCAAGTCAACCTTCCCTTCCTCATGAAATGCAAAATACTTTCCTTCTTTTTCTGACAGTGCATTATGCTCCTACTCACCCTCTGAGAATGTCGGCCTCCATCCATCGGACTGTTTGAGGTAGAGATTCTGGTTGGAGTACTGTTGGTGCTGCATCATGGTCGACATCGTCTGCGGTGCATGCGGTGAGAACGTGCTCGGTAATACTGACTGTTGGAGAGAGGTGGCGACATCATAAATAAGAGCCTATGTTTTTGTGGGTTAAAAATAACCCAGGGAAAGTTACAAAGTTATTTGGTTTGTGATTCACTTTTGTGAGTGAGTGAGTGAGTATTGTTTTATTGTTAGCAATATTCCAACAATATCACGGCGGAGGACAACAGAAATGGGCTTCACACATTGCACTTATGTGGGGAATCGAACCTGGGTCTTCAGCGTGACGACCTAGTGCTTTAACCACAAAGCTACCCGTCAGCCCCTATTACAGCAGTAAGCATGGAAGGAAAATCTTTTCAAAAGAGCATTACCAGCTAGTAGTGCAGATGTCATCGTAAGGTTGGTAAAGACATTAGGACACACATTTTTTATTTTTCATTTCCCACTAGTAATACAGACCTTCTTATACAATATAAAATGTCATATATAAATTCCATGTCTACATCACCATCCGCTGTGCAGAGTTGCGTCCCTTGGGCACGCCAGAAACCTATTATTGTGGGTTCGAATCCCGGTTCGCCCCGATTATGTTTCTAGGTTTGTCAGCACCATACCCGTACTCGTGGGTTTAACCAAAGTGGTAAACGTCTAAGACCTGCAGGTCTTGGGGCTTTTCTCCCACATTAAGCTGACGCACCGTGATATGACTGGAATACTGTAAAAAGTGGCGTTTACCCCAACTCACTACTCACTCACTCACTCTACATCCCCATCAGTGATTCAAGAAGCCAGCTGTAGTTTTAACTCCACGGCAGAATGACCTTCATATGAATAAATGATTGACACTGCTATTTTTGTTTATTTTTGTTTCGACTGCCCGTGTGTGGAAAAGTTGGAATAAATCCGTGAAACATAAAATTAAAAGTGTGGCCTTATATGTTATGGTGATCTCAATGCCCGCAGCGGGAAAGTCAGTAAGATATCATGAATACCTCTTGGTAAAATAAGACAAGAGATCCACTCACAGCTCGTGGGGTGAGGCCATAGCTCTGTTCAAACATTGATCCCATCCCTGCCGTCGGCAGACTACCCTGGGCGGCTGCGAACGGGTGAGACTCGGGCATCTGGAACAGTGGGCCCGTGGCCACCATCTGAAGCTGAAACACACATATGATATTACACACCCATATATCAACATCAACATTACCTACATTAAGCATTCTTCACAGGGAACTATTTTAAGAGAGTTGGATTAAAGACTGCTTTAAAAATCCCCGGGGGTGGATAGGCAACTAGGTATGTGTTTCGCAAAGGATACTATACAACAGTAGTGATGGGTGGCTACAAGTGGGGTTGGGTGGGGAGGAGTAGGGTGAGGTGAGGGGCAATGAGCCATCAATATCACAGCAGGGGACACCAGAGTTGGGCTTAATACATTATGTGGGGAATCGAACTCGGGCCTTCTGCGTGATGAGTGAGTGAGTTGGGTTTAACACCGCTTTTAACAGTATTCCAGTCATATCGCAGCGTGTCAGCTTAATGTGGGAGGAAAGCCCAAAGTGATGCAGGTCTCAGACATTTACCACCTTGGTGAAACCCACGAGCATGGGTATGGTGCTGACAAACCTAGAAACATAATTGGGGCGAACCAGGATTCGAACCCACAATCATAGGTTTCTGGCGTGCCAAAGGGACGCAACTCTGCACAGCGAATCGCAGCGCCTTAGACGACTGGGCCACCTGTGCCCCCTTCTGCATGATGAGCAAACACTTTCACCACCAGGCTACCACAGCTCCCCAGGAGAGGAGAGGAGAGGAGAGGAGAGGAGAGGAGAGGAGAGGAGAGGAGAGGAGAGGAGAGGAGAGAAAGTAAAGGTTTCAGCCAGTCAGCAACAATCCATCAATAGTCTGGAAGATTCCACTTCCACATATACCAAGTATTATTTTGAAGACTGCTCGATTTGCTAACCTACATATGATCATACTCAAAGAAACCCAATTTAACATACAAGCATGTGTATTAAGCAAGGGCAGTATGGGTGTTTCTTGGAGTAACGAAGTAATGATCATGAGGAGTTTTCTTCGCAACCACTTACAGATCTGAAAGAAATTTCAGGACGAGTCAATAAGGTTGCTGCCCAAGCAGATACTCACTGTGGCGTTGTCCAGCTTCCTCATGACCCGATGGTACCGCGCCTTCTCGTGGGCTTCAAACTCTCCCTTCGAGAACACCTGCGTCCTGGCAGAGTTGAGTTGGTCCTCGGTCTGAACTGGGCTGTAAGGACATAGGTCAAGCTGGTCAGTAACGGTCAATACTTCGAGGATTAGAAAATCCTTGGTGGCTGAGTGGGTTAGATAGCTGGCGATTAGGTGCTACATTCGAGTGTGTGTTCAAATCCCAAACCATAATGTTGTACATTTGATATTGTGTATTCATGATATCATCTACTTCAGAGAAAAATATATGGGTGTGGTGGTGGGGGGTGTCTGACTTTTGATATTGTGACTTAGAATTGTTCATTGTGACAAACCTTCCTCCTCTATATGGTACCTAAACTTGGTTCTAAACTTGTCTGAAATGATAATGATCTTATGTATAATAGAGTCATGGCTACAAAAGAACTGAATTGATTCTTAAGCATATACACTTGAAAATCAGTGTGAGCTGGCATTGTTGGAGAGAAACGTCTTTGTGCTAGAATTTCATTACTTGACTGACACACTAATAGAAAATTATTAGACAATGGGTGTGTGTGTTGTAGGGGGTAGTGTCATGTCACATGACTTTCATAAACTGACGACCAGCACAACTGAAACACTCAAACGCAGTGAGTGTTTTACTGCTGTGAGCAGTGCCTGAGAAACAGAAATATGTGAGAACATTAATGTAGCTGGGTCCCCACCTCTTTCTCCCTGTGGTGCGCGATGTGTTGATCTCCTCAATGTCGGTGGTCTCATCCGGCTCCTTGGTGGGGAAAGAGAGACCCATTCCTATGTGAGCCGCTGAAGAACAAACAGCCTCAAACATTACTACATGTTTCACACAGTGATCAAATCAACATATAACATGTGTCTAAATACCTCTGCAGAACAAACAGCCTCAAACATTTCTACATGTTTCACACAGTGATCAAATCAACATCTAACATGCGTCTAAATACCTCTGCAGAACAAACAGCCTCAAACATTACTACATGTTTCACACAGTGATCAAATCAACATATAACATGTGTCTAAATACCTCTGCAGAACAAACAGCCTCAAACATTTCTACATGTTTCACACAGTGATCAAATCAACATATAACATGTGTCTAAATACCTCTGCAGAACAAACAGCCTCAAACATTTCTACATGTTAAACACAGTGATCAAATCAACATATAACATGTGTCTAAATACCTCTGAAGAGCAAACAGCCTCAAACATTTCTACATGTTTCACACAGTGATCAAATCAACATCTAACATGCGTCTAAATACCTCTGCAGAACAAACAGCCTCAAACATTTCTACATGTTTCACACAGTGATCAAATCAACATCTAACATGCGTCTAAATACCTCTGCAGAACAAACAGCCTCAAACATTTCTACATGTTTCACACAGTGATCAAATCAACATCTAACATGCGTCTAAATACCTCTGCAGAACAAACAGCCTCAAACATTTCTACATGTTTCACACAGTGATCAAATCAACATATAACATGCGTCTAAATACCTCTGCAGAACAAACAGCCTCAAACATTTCTACATGTTTCACACAGTGATCAAATCAACATCTAACATGTGTCTAAATACCTATCATTTCATGTTAATGAAAAACATCTATGAAATGACACTGAGTGAGTCAGTGAGTATGGTTTTATGCCGCTCTTAGCAATAGTCAAACAATATCACGACAGGGGACACCAGAAATGGGCGTCACACATTGTACCCATATTGGGAATTAAACCCAGGTCTTCAGTGTGACAAGTGAATGCTTTAACCACAAGGCTACCCAACTGCCCCTGAAATGGCATTGGTATATTGATTTCTAGATTTACTGGTTAATCACTAAATCAGCCGATGACCATTGCGGAGTACATCTTCTGTCCCTCCTCATCAACACACAGACTGTTGATGTGGTCATAATGTTTTATCCCAAGTTTGATATCACCTCCAAGCCTCTTGGGTCATTTGATATAGGACTAAACTAATAAAGTAAAACGCCCGCAGCAACTTCAGTTCAAACTGGAATGTGAATTATTTTCAACAAAAAGCAAACCCCAGGACTGTGAACTCACCCTGAGGGTCGTAGTTGTAGACTAGCACTGGTTGGTTGTCCCCGAGGGAGCAGATGGCGAGGATGTGGTCGCGGGGGTGGTAATCCAGGTCGGTGACAGGTCGCTGGTAGTTGAGGTCCGAGTACCGTGCAACTTGGTCCCCTGGAATATCAAGGAGAAAATGCTTGTGTATACAAAAGGGCTATGCTTATGGTTATTAATATATTTCAAAAATAAATAGTAAAGCTGTAACTTCTTTAAAGTTATATTATTGGGACTTTTGAAAATATAGTGCGGGCAGGAGGTTTTTTGGGGTTGTGTACCATCAACCTGGGAAAGGGCCTCCCTACATAAACAAGCATACAAACTCCTATTGCCACCATTACCATGACATGAGATGCACAGTAAAGCAGTGCACATGTACAGGGAAGTAACTGTGTGCTATATTGGATCAAATTGATTTTAAGTATCAGGTGAGCGAGTGAGAGTGAGTGAGTGAGTTTGATTTAACGCTGCTTCTAGCAATTTTCCAGCAATATCATGGCGGGGAACACCGGAAATGGGCTTCACACATTGTACCCATGTTGGGAATCGAGCCCGGGTCTTCGGCGTGATAAGCGAACACTTTAACCACCAGGCTACCCAATCGGCGCTTTAAGTGTCAGGATTTTTTAAATGTTTAGCAAAATGTGCGGGCAGTGCCTGAGAACAAGACTATTATTTTTTTAGCCTAAACCTGATATATATGAAATATATGAGCTCATTACCGAGAATAATGGAGAACCTGATAATGAACCATAATACACTGAGTGATAATAGGTAAGTGATATGTAAGATGGGTTACCTGTCTCTGTGTTCCACACATATGCTGTGTTGTCTTCACTGCCGGAAAACACAAACGTCCCACACGGAGAGATAGCACTACGGATCTTTTCACGGAAGTTTAAGGCACCAATATAATTCTGCATAATTCGTTGTCTGAAATAGAACAAATGTATCAATAAAAAATCCAACACGATGCTACGATGATCTGCTTGTGATGAAAATCTAAGTTAACATTTGAGATATTAGCTTATATAGTTCTTGACGTGATTGCATAGTACAACTGTGTGAGTAAGTGAGTGCTTTTACAACTCTTTTAGCAATGTTCCACCAACACCAAGACAGGGAGAACACCAGGAACAGGCTTCACACATTGTACCCATGTTGGGAATCGAAAACAGGCCTTTGGCTTTGGCTTGACAAGCACATGTTTACCACCAGGCTACGCCACCGCTATAGAAATAAGGCTGTTTCCCACTCACACTCTGAGGTCCAGCATGCGGAGGATGTTGTCGCGGCAGTGGAGCAGCAGTCGACGCCCACTTGGATGCATACTAATACTGTTGATGGCAACATTCTACAAGTAGGAAACATGACACAATCAAATTAATATCACTACACTTTCGGCAAAAAATGACAAATACAATATGCGTATCTATTCAAACTTCCACTGATGAAATGCGATTCAGATCTTTTGCATGTTTCAGTTTTAATTCAATGCTCTGACTTAGCCAGAGGAGATTGTTTGATTGTTTGTTGTTTAACGCCGCACTCAGCAATATTCCAGCTATATGACGGCGGTCTGTAAATAATCGAGTCTGGAGCAGACAATCCAGTGATTGATATCATGAGCATTGATCGACGTAATTGGGATACGATGACATGCATCAACCAAGTCAGCGAGCCTGACCACCCGATCCTGTTAGTGACCTCTTACACCAAGCATAGTTGACTGTTACACCAAGCATAGTTGACTGTTACACCAAGCATAGTTGCCTTTTACGGCAAGCATGGGTTGTTGACAACTCCAACATATGTTTACCTTCAATTCTGGATCCCGTATTTCGAGGAATACAGTCCATTCTCGAATGAATGCTGTAAAGTAATAACAGAACTGATAAGAGAGAGAGAAGACATACGATCATTTAATTATGGATAAATATCTTGAAATCCTAATAAACCAACAGATATATCTGATATATGGAAACCTTATTGATCCAACAGATATATGGAAACCCTATTGAACCAAAAGATATATCTGGCATATGGAAACCCTAAAAGAGAGTATGCACAATATCACAACAAGTGACACTGAGAATGTAAAAGGGGGCTGGTGGAAAGTCATTTTTCTTTCAGAAATAAGGTGTGTGTTTATTGTTTAACATTACAATTAGCAATAAAACAGTGAGTGAGTGAGTGAGTATGGTTTTACGCCGCTTTTAGCAATATTGCAGCAATATCACAGCAGGGGGACACCAGAAATGGGCTTCACACATTGTACCCATGTTGGGAATTGAACCCCGGATCTTCAGCGTGACGAGCGAACACTTTAACCACTAGGCTACCCGACCGCCCCAGCAATAAAACAGCCATATGACGGCAGCTGTAAATATTCAAGTCTTGACCAGACAAACCAGTGTTTCTTTGAATGCTGCCTAATGCCACACTCCGCAATATTCCAGCTATACGACAACAGCCTGTAAATAATCGAGTCTGTGCCAGACAATCCAGTGACTGATATTGGGGTACAAATCAACCAAGTCACCACGTCTGACCAACTAATCCAAATGGTCATGTCTTACAAGCGGCATAGGTTGTTGGAGATCAAGTCCAACTCAGCCAGAATCCCACGGGGTTACAATCCAGTGATTGATGTCATGAGCAACGATCCACTCCATTGTGTTATGTTGTCTGTAATAAGGGGTTAGGAGAGGTGGATCTATCTGACCATCTACATCATCTATGCACCAATCACAACCGATTTTCATAAATCACCTTCTGTCATTCACAGATATGAAAATGAGTGAGTGAGTGTGTGAGTTGGGTTTAACGCCGCTTTTAACATTATTCCAGTTATATCACGGCGTGTCAGCTTAATGTGGGAGGAAAGCCCCAAGTGATGCAGGTCTCAGACGTTTACCACTTCGGTGAAACCCACGAGCACGGATATGGTGCTGACAAACCTAGAAACATAATCGGGGCGAACCGGGATTCAAACCCACAATCATAGGTTTCTGGCGTGCCCAAGGGACGCAACTCTGCACAGCGAATCGCGGCGCCTTAGACGACTGGGCCACCCGTGCCCCCGATATGAAAATGAAGCAGTGAGACTAACTATTCCATATTTGTGACTTGACAATGACGATATTGTCATCAACAGAAGAGTAACAACTCTCTCAATGGCCACTCTCATAACTTTCTTTTCTAACTCCTTTAATGGCAGGCACAAACACGTTGGAAATATTTTATTGAGACTTGGTGATTGAGTGAAGTGAGTGAATTATGTTACGTCACGTCACATCACATCACACTACGTTATTTTAAGTCTAGTCGGCAATATTTCAGCCATAATGTGACTTGAACAAGTTAAAAATTGTCATTGAAGGACAATAGAATAACTAGCAATATATCACAGATCGACTAAAAACTAGTGGTTTAACATTTAAAAAATACCTGATTTTTTGGCAATGACACGATATGAAAATGGGGATACTCGTAGATCGCTAGCAACAAATGTGAGGTCACCATACTAGGGACCAAGGGGACTTACGGCACCTCTGCCACCGGCATGCTTCCCCAGAAGCATTTACACATTTCCCTTAACTACTGGCGATTGTTTGCAAGTTGTACCCAGAGATTAAAAGGGAAAAAAATATTCTGCAGTTAAATTAGAGGTAGATAGAAAGATACTTTGAATGAGGTGCTCTTACATACCCCGTGACCCAACAGTAAATCTCAACGAGGGCTATTTTCTGTTCAGGAGGTAATTCTCAAATGAAACAATGCAGGAACCTTTTCATTAATTAAATCACTAATTATTTCATATATATATATATATATATATATATATATATATATAATTCAATTAATTATATACCTTTCGAATATTTTACCTAATAATAAATCCGTGTGACATGAGTTGGGTACAAAAAATATAACAGATTACATTTCTGAACCTTTTCAGCGAGTCAGTAAGTATGGTTTTACATCGCTTTTAGCAATATTCCAGCAATATCATGGTGGGGGACACCAGAAATGGGCTTCACACATTGTACCCATGTTGGGAATCGAACCCGGGTCTTCCACATGCCGAGCGAAAGCTTTAACCACTAGGCTACCCGACCGCCCCTGATCCTTTTCAAGTCAAGGCTATCAAAGTGAGATACCTCGGCGAGATTCCTGCTCCGTGACGTAGACATTCCAGATGAAGACAGCTCCAGAACTGTCAGCGGAGTACATCTTCTGTCCCTCCTCATCAAAACACAGGCTGTTGATGTGGCCATGGTGGTTCTCAATCTCCTGCATCAACTGGAGGAATACACAAATACATGTTACAGACACTGTAATTACTAACTTGTCAAATATTATCAAACATGATGAATTAAACATGATATATTAATTTTCAGCCTGGACTTACGACACTAGCCTGAAGACTGAATCTCGTTATTTGTTTTTATTTGTTGTTGAACACCACACTCAGCAACATTCCAGCTATATATGTGCAGCTGGGTAATAATCATGACCATCGATTGACATCATTCGCATCGATCCACACAGTTGGGATCAATGACATGCATCAACCAAGTCAGCAAGCCTGACCACCCTATCCCGTCTTTTACGACAAGCATAGTCGCCTCTTACGACAAGTATGGGTTGCTGAAGACCTGTTCTATCCCGCATCTTCACTGGGGTTCCCTCTAGCAACCCACTATTACTGACCACTCAACACTACACTCCCACTGGGATCTAATGTACTACTAGTACACTATGTGATGTATTAATCAGTACTGACATGTCCATGTGGTTCGTCTCCGTGAATGTCCCACACTCGCAGCACCTGGTCATAGCCGCCTGTCACTACGATGTCGTCGACACGGGGGTGGAACTGGGCGCTGTACACGAAGGCGGGGTGAGGCAGCAGCTTATCGGAGGACCCTCCAAAGTTCTTCAGATGCCACACTCTGGAGAATCCATAAATAACATATCACACACTTATGTACGAAGGCAACAACACTGCTCTCTCAAACTGTCCAGAAGATTCAGGCCAATTTCCATGGATAATGTGAGTTGGTTTTACGCTGTTATAAATATATTCTGGCAATGACATGGCAGGGGATAACAGAAATGGGATTCACATGTTGTAATTAGGTATTAAACCAATGGAATGACTGACAAGAGGTCGATATTGGCCAATCAGAAAGCACATTTCTTGTGTTTTATGGCACTAATTTTAAATTGGCGATTACGCTTCAAAACATATTTTGCGCAATTCTCAATTAAAAATTTGGAATGGCTAAAAGATGGTCTAGATTTTATGGATTCAGTCGTTAAGCCCGTAACTGTTGTTCGTAATACCCCGTGTTAAAGTTTTCTAGGTTGCATGATTAGAAATCACATTCCGACTGTCACTTTCATGATCTGGTAAGTGATGCTCTGATTGGTTGGATGAAATGTCGTTCTGATGTGACCCCTTATGGGATGTCCTCAGATCTTTGTTTGGCGGTGGCGAGAACTAAGATCCAATTTTAGTGAGATTGTTGATGTGGCAAGCAAACGCTTTAACCGCAAGGCTACAACACCCCCACCCCTCAATGTTAAGAAATGCTTGTCATATTGAACAACAGGCAATACTATCAGCACCCCCTTTGCCAGACCTGAAGTCTGAAGGAATTTGGTTTTCTGACTACATTCATTAGAATTTACAGTATTATACCAAAATGTGGAGATATGTTTATGTACTCAAGTCACAGATTATATCTCACTGGTATATTAACAGCTGTTGTCACTTTACCCAAGCCGGGAAGTGAACAAAAACATATGATTGGTTGAAATGTTAGGTGTCTGCCAAAAGATATTCCTCTGGATCCGCAAGTGGTACACGGTATCCCAGAGGTCCCTACCTGGCGGTTCCATCGGAGGCTGCTGACAACAGGTGGGTGTCCTTCTTGGACCAGGCCAGGTCATAGATGATGCCGAAATGACCTGAAAACTCCCCTCTCAGTGTACCAGAGGGAATCTGGAAACCACACAGTCAACATTAGCACCACACAGTCAACATTAGCACCACACAGTCAACATTAGCACCACACAGTCAACATTGGCACCACACAGTCAACATTAGCACCACACAGTCAACATTAGCACCACACAGTCAACATTAGCACCACACAGTCAACATTAGCTCCACACAGTCAACGTTGGCACCACACAGTCAACGTTAGCACCACACAGTCAACATTAGCACCACACAGTCAACATTAGCACCACACAGTCAACATTGGCACCACACAGTCAACATTGGCACCACACAGTCAACATTAGCAGCACACAGTCAACATTAGCACCACACAGTCAACATTAGCACCACACAGTCAACGTTGGCACCACACAGTCAACGTTGGCACCACACAGTCAACGTTAGCACCACACAGTCAACATTAGCACCACACAGTCAACATTAGCACACAGTCAACATTAGCACCACACAGTCAACGTTGGCACCACACAGTCAACGTTAGCACCACACAGTCAACATTAGCACCACACAGTCAACATTAGCACCACACAGTCAACATTGGCACCACACAGTCAACATTAGCACCACACAGTCAACATTAGCACCACACAGTCAACATTAGCACCACACAGTCAACATTAGCACCACACAGTCAACGTTGGCACCACACAGTCAACGTTGGCACCACACAGTCAACGTTAGCACCACACAGTCAACATTAGCACCACACAGTCAACATTAGCACACAGTCAACATTAGCACCACACAGTCAACGTTGGCACCACACAGTCAACGTTAGCACCACACAGTCAACATTAGCACCACACAGTCAACATTAGCCCCAGACAGTCAACATTAGCACCACACAGTCAACATTAGCACCACACAGTCAACATTAGCACCACACAGTCAACATTAGCACCACACAGTCAACATTAGCACCACACAGTCAACATTAGCACCACACAGTCAACATTAGCACCACACAGTCAACATTAGCACCACACAGTCAACATTGGCACCACACAGTCAACATTAGCAGGAATCATATACATGCATGTGTAAGGCCAGGGCCCCGTTCCCCAAAGTGATCTTACGATGATCGTAAGCCTATGTTAAGGTATGGGACTTACGATCACCTTAGCGCTAAGATCACTTTGAGGAATGGCGCCCAGTTCAGCTTATTCATCAAATTTAGTAAAATCTTAATATTTTTTCATTTGTATACTTATCCTGCATTACTCCTTAACGCATTTTAACTTAGACGTCATAATGCAGGATAAGTTTAAAAAAATAGTAAAATCTAAATATTTTTTACATTTGTATACTTATCCTGCATTACTCCTTAATGCATTTTAACTTAAGACGTCGTAATGCAGGATAAGTTAAAAAAATTAGTAAAATCTAAATATTTTTTACATTTGTATACTTATCCTGTATTACGACTTCTAAGTTAATATGCATTAAGGAGAAATGCAGGAGTCTGGAGGCCAGATAAATAAATGTTGATTTATTAGCTTTCTCAGAAAACTGTTGAAAAGAAGTGCAACAAAAAAGTACCTACAAAAGGCAAACTAAATTCAATCTAACAGCATTTATTAGTATTATTAATAACTGATTTTGAAAAAATAGGGCAGGCTCATTCTGAAAACAACCAAGTAAATTGGTTGGGCCTAATAATGCTACTATACATCATTACTTTAACTTGAGGGTGAATTATTTCAAATGACCAGGTGATTGTCAAGTATTTGTTCCTGGTTGTACGACACCTGGTCCTGGGTGTGATAGTCTTCACTCACCTCGTACACATATATAGGGTATCCCTCCTTGTCCTGACAGGCACATGCAAGGTTCCTGGAAATGAGAAAACCTCACTTAGTTTACATCTTCTTAATGATCAAGGATATTATAATATGATGCAATAACACTGTAACATCAACGTGATCAAGATGTAGAAATATAACACGAGTCCAAAATCTTATCTCTAAAAAGTACAAGTCAAACAAAAAGTGATTCCTGTGTACATTTTGGTAAAAATAATTTACAATCTAATGAAATCATTACAATGATTACAGACTGTGTTTTCATACTGTATCATGCGTATATTCATAATATTTTTTCTTCTTCTAACTGAGGACATTTGTATTTGATTATCTGGTACACTTTACATTTCAAAATTCCTATTATAAACCACGTATATAGTGAGCAAGTTTGAACTGATCTGAACAATATTTCAGTTATTATGGTATGTCAGCTTCATGTGGGAGAAAGGCCTCCTTTTACATTTACCATTTTGGTGAAATCCACAAGAAGGGTATTCCCAGGTTTCTGGCACCGCGAATTCAAGTGCCTGGGAAGACCCACGCCCCCAAGTTATATACCGTTTTACAAATACATTTGTAAGCTTTTTTCAAAACTACATAGGATAAGGCCACATCTCACCTCCCATCGTGAGAGAACTTGAGAACGTAGCATCCCTTTCTCCCTGCCGGCAGCGACAGCATCAGGTTGTTGGGGATTCGACACATCTGTCCAAAAAGACGCGCCCACGACGTCATAGGTCGGCGATCTTCAAGTCTGAATCATTGCAAACGGTACAGATTTAATCTCAAAGTATCATAAAAAGGATGCTGCAACTGATGCAATAAACCATTCTGATAAACTTGGTGGCGCCATCCGATAAATATGCAAATGAGGCCACCTAGCCGTAACAATTTTGAGTGAGTGAGTGAGTGAGTGAGTATGGTTTTACGCCGCTTTTAGCAATATTGCAGCAATATCACGGCGGGGGATGCCAGAAATGGGCTTCACACATTGTACCCATGTCGGGAATCGAACTCGGGTCTTCGGCTGACGAGCGAACGCTTTAACCACTAGGCTACTCGACCGCCCCTAACTACTTTTGAGCCACATACATCGATGAAATGTCAGCTTGATCAATAAATTACCGGTAGTGGCTAACGCTCCCAGTACATTTAGATAAGGATATCATTTGGCATTTGGCATTTGGCACTCAATCATTGCATTTCTACAGTTTCTGAGGTCATTTCATTTCATTCAACATATAATTGAAACAGTGATTATTTTAAGAATGATATTATATGATTAAGAGATTATTAACCTTGTGCATTTCCGCATTGTTAATATCATATATTAGGAATAAAAAAATGTATTCCTAATATATGATATTAATGAAACGGAAACATGCTTAGCTAATAATGTTTACTTATTGCATGAAATCGATAAAACCTTGCTGTAAAAGATGAAGCAGGTGTGATGTAATATGATGTATGTCAGAGTAAATCTTACTTTTTCTTGGAAGACCAGTTCATGCTCTTCTTCAGATCGTCATAGGTCATCCTCCCCCTCTCCTGCAGGGAAATTTTGATGTGAACAATCAAACACACAATGTATGAACTGATCATGCTGATAGCTGCACACACTACTGCTTATAAAATCATTAAAACACCACTGAAATGCGTCTTTGAGTTACGAGTAAAAGACCCTTAAAAATCTTAGTAAAATCTAAATATTTTTTACATTTGTATACTTATCCTGCATTACTCCTTAATGCATTCACTGCTTACTTACGACAACTAGAAGGACAGCGCTGCGAAGGTCCTGGGTGAAGAAATAAAGTTGTTGTTCTCAAGTCCCAATCAGTGGCCTTCCGTCGCTGTCCTGTGACCTTGATGACACCTAAGGTCATCTTCACATCACTGCCTGTCGCCCAAGCTCTTAGAAAAACATACTTTTGAGGTTTCTGAAGCCAAAGTGGGGAGGCAAGTCTAACGACGGGTGGGCCTTAAGCGTAGTAATGCAGGATAAGTATACAAATGTAAAAAATATTTAGATTTTACTAAATTTTTTACTTATCCTGCATTACTCCTTAATGCATCTGTATCGGACGGTTTGGAGGTGGGTCAACCTTCAGAATACAGAAACCTCAATAATTCACACCCTGCAATACGACCCCATTTAGTCGATAAACCGTGAAGCGGAACAGTTCAGACAAAAACGCCATTACGGTAGGGTTGTTCAAAAATCAAAAACATTGAACATAGGAATTAAAGAGAAATTCCCTATACACGCTTAGTAATAAAGAAAATAATAGCTATTCAGCTAATTCTTTACTTACTGCGTCATAGAGCCGTCGCTGACAAACAAGATTGTCTAATATTCTTCCACTGGTGGCGACTGAGTGACTGCACATGGAAGTTGACTGGCTCTGTATAGGGCGAGTTCATTATTTGCGTCAGTGGTTGGCAATCTGCAGGATAACAACCAGAGGGCCAAACTTCGAACGTCTTTGACATCCTCGAGAGTCACAACGCGAAGGTTATGACTAACGAAAATATGTGTCGAATCTCCAGAAATATCCTTCCGTGATTGTTCCAAAACCACAATTGCCGTGTTGAGCCCTGGTAAGGCTGACACCTTGAGATCTTGAGGGTAATTCGCTCTCGGCGAGTTCCGTTTGATGATCTCGTAGGCCTGAAGGATTACTGCGCGTAACCATATAGATATGGTGTTTGCGATTATGCGACTAACTTCTGTCGTGGACGAACCACGCCTTGTCTTGGAGCGTCGAATGAAAACTCGAACTGCTCGCACCGAGCCCAGGAGAACTTCACCATGTACGATTCCCACAATAGTCGATATCGGTGGGATGGTGAAGAACGGTCGGGTTGGCCTGGTAGTAGATTTTAGCAATAAAATCCCAGCATAACCCTAGATGTCCTGTTCCGTGCGTCCCATGCTCAAAACGGATCCGGGTTGAGTCGACCACATGTAGTTCGCTCACCCGTACCGCCATTGCTAATGCCAAGAGAAACCATTGTTTCCTTGGTGATGTCCAAGCTCCTCACAGCGATAGCCCGTTCGCGGAGCTCTCTATACTATACCGAGAGTGTAACGAAGGTGTCACGCGCTGGGAAGGAGCTTGAAAATGAGGATGCAATGAGGGGCTCGAAGGGGGCCCTCGCAAACCTCGAAGTACCACGTTCAAGTCCCAATCAGGTGGCTGGAACTTGGCCTTCTGATCCTCAAACCTGAATGAGCATAATATGGCCTGTAGTTCCCTGACCTTAATCACACTGTGATTTTCCGGAAACGGCCAACACTAAGATAATTGCAGCCAATTACGTAGTAATGGTGCTACCTTCCAAGTGTTTTTGGGTACGCAATGTAGGAGGTATTCCTCTAGGAATTGTGACGCAATCGTAGGGTCTTGATTCTTTTCTTCCCTGTAAAAAGTCTCAAGTGATCCCCACTTGTCATCGTCGTCTCTGGGAGAGTAACGATGAACTAAAGCTATAGCTTTGCTGCCCGTGTCGAAATAACCCTTCGCACTTAAACGCCTTTTAAAGACGAACCATGCGTGCAGACGTTGGGTGAGGCAATTTTCTGTTGAGGGTGGATGAGTAGGTTGGACCACTGTGAGAGGGGAAGTGAATCGTTTTAGATTTTTCCGAGCTTGACGAACTACCCTCTCGCCGGTTACCATGGTGCGACCAAAGGAGAGATCGAGATACCTTGTCTCCTTGATCCCCTGTAGCACCTTGGGAAGTTATAGTGGTGGCAGAAGAGTTTTAGTTCTTTGCCCTTCCCAAGTGATACTGAACTCGTCCACCGCCCAAGTCTGCGGATCCGGCAACGGGGAGATATACGTCATGAGTTGGTGGCCTAGGCAAGTAATAAACAAGTCAATGTTTGGTTGCCTGAATTCCTGAAGCAGTAACTGGAATGCTTCTGTGAGAAATTTCCACTCAGTGGGAGCCACCCTGTCTGGACGTGATAAAGTATCGGCCAGTATGTTTCTACATCCGGGGATGTGCTGAACTATGAACCTTAGTCACAGCCGATCCACTAGATGGAAGAAATCTGAATGTCCTTAGAAGTGGAGAGTGGGAGTGTGTTGTTCCCCGATTGCACAGGCACCACACCGCAGTGCTGTTGTCTGTGGATATAGCGAGTCGGGCTAACTGTAGTTGATTCTGCCAATGTGATATAGCCAGAATTAAAGCTTCCAACTCCAAGTTGTTTATGTGCCACTTCCATTGTGCGCCGGGCCATAGCCCTGAGCTTATCTGGTCTTGTAAGTGAAGACTCCACCCCTGAAAGGGGACGTCCACAAACAGGTGTGTATTCGGGGAAAATCAGCGCCACAAATTGAGGCTCTAGCTTAGTTGGTAGAGTGATGGCCTTGAGTGGATCCTGACTCCTGATGTAAGGGTTCAGGAAAAAAATTGAATTGGTCGCTGTTGTAAGCGGCCCATGCTAGTTAACTCCTGTGCCGAGGTGATTAACCCTAGCAACACTTGCCACTGGCGAAGTGTGTGTGGTTGGTGTAGAGTAGATGACAAAAGAAGTAGAAACTTGTGCCATCTGTCCCTCGGTACAGATAGGATATCCTGGTCTGTCTTAACCAGGTCTCCTATGAACTGAAGTCAATAGGAAGGAGAATACTCCCGACTTCGCCTCGTTGATTGTCTATCCCAGTTATTGACATGTGTTGATGATACAGTAGATCGCCCTCCATCTACGACTCGAACCAAGTGTTCGTCACGTGTAGATAGTTATTGGCTTCATTACTCCTGTAAATAGCCATAAGTGTCACTGACATGTCAAATGTGAAATACTACCATTGGTAGTGAACCCCAATGAACTGGACCTGAAAAGTCTACGGTTGGGATGGATAGTCGAGACTGATGAAGAATCAAACGTTCGTTGAACACAGAGATTGTGGATCATTCTCATCTTGTCTGGGTCCTTCATGAGTACCAGGTAGGTGTGAGGATAAAACCCCGGAGTAAAGACTGGGTTGTGAACCCACTCTACAGCTCTTCTTACCAACAGTATGTCTATGTTGGATTTTCCCAATCAAACTGTGGTCAACGGTGGGGTTAACTCTACCCTTATACGGACACCATGATATAGTGCGATAAGTAGGAAATCGTCCTTGAGACTTGTCTCTGCCACTCCCTTTCTCAGTAAGGGAATGCTGGTCTTCCCTGAGAAACGCGCGTCTAGGCTTATAATTCCCTGACTTGGACTTTCCAAGCTTTTTGGGAACTTGACGTGCGTGTCTGCGATCTGTTCGTTGAACAGGGGAGTAGATGATCAAAGTTGACGTAATAGACTGCCCTTGAAACCAGCATCTCAGTTGGAAACGCTATAAAGTCTTGTGTGTAACGGTAATCACCGTCAGAACGGTCTCAAGATGAATTTTCCTGTGGTCAAACTGACGCTGTAGGAAAAACACCATAGTTTGGAAGTGATCTAATCAGATAGGGTTATCCTCTAATAGATTCTGATCCACTGCAAACATTGACGATATTGGTCGCTTAAATCACGGAGCAAATGTGAGTTTTGGAGAAGGCTTCCTCCAATGACCTCGTGGTGTCCCTCTTATTTACCCTGTTATCAGGGGAGGGCGTTACTGACACGAGATGGTCTGCTTCCCAATCGGGTACATGTGCTAAGCTGATCATGTGCCGGTTACGTAACCGAGTACACTGTAAGCCTTGGGCTAACGTCATTGTAGAGACCTTGATTGATACGCAGACGCTGCGCTCAGCGCAGGTCTGGAATGTTGGAACAGCGCTAAGCTGATCGTGCGTCACTGGCGTGATAGGAGCGCTTGGGTATCAGTCAGACGCTGTGCTCGGAGAAAGGTCTATGCTGGATATGTTGGAACAGCGCTAAGCTGATCCTGCGTCACTGGCGTGATAGGAGCGCTTGGGTATCAGTCAGACGCTGCGCTCGGCGCAGGTCTATGCTGGATATGTTGGAACAGCGCTAAGCTGATCGTGCGCCGCTTGCGTAATAGAAGTGCTTTGGTTGTAGTCAAGTGCTGCGCTCGGCGCAGATAAATCAGACACAAAGCTCAAAAGTATTGACTGGATCAAGGCTTGTGTCTAATCTACCCCCATCATAGCATCTCGATACGCTGGTGCTGTCGCCGACGTCACAGATTATCATACATGTATCTGGAAGTGTCCGGCGGCTGAAAAAATAGGAGCAGTTACGATACTCACAAAATCCTCCGGTATTGTTGATTTCGGTGGATGGTGTACTTCTGCAATCACAGTCGTCATAATACCTGCCGATAATAACGGTTGGGTGGTAATGACAGAACCATATGTCATTCGCTATTCTGCGATAGTGACATTCCTCTCGTCTCACGACGGAATAACTGCAAAATATGATTGTGAGTAATCTGCTTTTATATAGTAAACTCGTTGGATTAGAGATTTACATAAAAATTACATTTTGAATTTTGGCGAGCACATCTACGTGCATGCCTATGACCGTGGATAAAGAGCTTTTGGCGATTATTCCACGACAATATGTACACCGAGCAAACATAATTATGTTACGCAATTAAACCATTGAAGAAATGGTACTGGAAGAATGCCGTAGAATTGAACAGTAATCTATCGGCAAAAATACGAATTGCAAGGGTATACAATATTTTTATATACACAATTCAATGTAAACCAAGGCTATTTACATTTAGAGATTGGAGAGCACATCCGCGCGCAAACCAACCAATCTTGGATGATAATCTTGTAAGGTTTTTTCCACGACAATTAGTAAAATGCTCAAAGGTATGTTACGCAATGAAACCCTTGTTGATGAGATAATACTGGAAGAGTGCCGAAGAATTTGAACACTAATCTATCGGCAAATTTATGAGTTGCAAGGATATACAATATTTTTGTATGCGCAACCCAATGTAAACCAAGGGTATTTATATTTTCATTTAGGGTTTGGAGAGCACATCTGCGCGCAAACCAAACAACGTGGATGATAATCTTTGTAAGATTTTTCCCACGACAATTAATACCACGCTCAATCATAAGTTACACAATTACATATATATATGTATGTATATTCAATGTCTGTACATATAGAGTAGGGAAAGGGCCACCTAAGTTGGATAACTTTTGCCCAATCCCGTTGACCATATATGTCAATAAAATATGTTTAAATTAAACACAATTACGCCATTGTTGATGAGGCGGTACTGGAAGAATGCCATAGAATTGAACAATAATCTATCGGCAAAAACTACGAGTTGCAAGAGTATACAATAGTTCATATACGCAACTCAATGTAAAACCAAAAATACCAACAAAAAACTATTTAATCGCATAAACATAGGTACGCAATAAAAGAATTGTTGATGAAGCGGGACTGGAAGAAAGCAGTAGATTTGATATTAATCTATCGGCAACCATATTTTTAACGAGTTGAAAAAGTATACAATAATTTTAGTATACGCAACTCACTGTTACGCCAAAGCTAGTAATATTTAAGAACATAAGAATATGTTATACATACGTAGCTGAGAATTGTAAACAATATGACTACCTTGGCAGGCAAACGATTGTAACACAATTCAAAATGGCGGCGAACAACAATATTTTGGCGGGAAAAAAAAACAAGTGTCTTTTCACGCCTAATTAATTCACATAAAACTACACAACATGGTGAAAGTAATATGAAAAGAATACATCACCCATCGCAGATCAATTTTTAAGATTGTAGACAAACTGAAGGTCTAAAATTAATCCAAAAGGAGAGCTCCGCTTGGACACGTCCTAGCTGTGCTGCGACAAGCAGTGATGTGAAGATGACCTTAGGTGTCATCAAGGTCACAGGACAGCGACGGAAGGCCACTGATTGGGACTTGAGAACAACAACTTTATTTCTTCACCCAGGACCTTCGCAGCGCTGTCCTTCTAGTTGTCGTAAGTAAGCAGTGAATGCATTAAGGAGTAATGCAGGATAAGTAAAAAATTACTTAAATTGAAGCAATTTTAAAGGCATAATACCCTGAAACAAGACCATTAAAATCAGTTTATAAGACCATTAAACCACCAAACTCAAGTTGAAATACCATTAACTTGTATTTTTTTTTGGTTTGTTGTTTTACGCCGCACTCAGCAATATTCCAGCTATATGACGGCGGTCTGTAAATAATCAAGTCTGGACCAGACAATCCAGTGATTTACATCATGAACATCAATCCACGCAATTGGGATCAATGACATGCATCAACCAACTCAGCGAGCCTGACCACCCGATCCCGTTAGTCGCCTTTTACGCCAAGCATAGTCGCCTTTTACGGCAAGCATGGGTTGCTGAAGACCTATTCTACCCCGGATCTTCACGGGTCCATTAACTTGTAGATTCAGAGATGGTCATACCAGTGTTTGAAAACGGGAGTACTGACTCATGTGAGTGAGCGTTTTATTGTTTGTTTGGTGTTTAATGCCAGACTCTGCAACATTCTAGCTGTATGATAATGGCCTGTAAACAATCACGTCTGGACCAGACAATCCAGGGATTGATATTACCCGCAACGTTCCCCACCATCGAGCTACAACAACCCGCAAACAACAAAGTCACAGCTTCTGACCACGTGACCCGTTAAGTCGCCTTGAACAACCCGCAAACAACAAAGTCACAGCGTCTGACCACGTGACCCGTTAAGTCGCCTTGAACAACCCGCAAACAACAAAGTCACAGCGTCTGACCACGTGACCCGTTAAGTCGCCTTGAACGACATGCACTGGTAGCTTGGGACCTATGCTAACCCAGAATCCCCATGGGGAGAGTGGAGTCAGTGAACACTTTTTTACACCACAGTCCATCATATTTCAGCTTCACCATGGAGACCTGTATAGGTCGAGTTTGGGTCAGTTACCTCTTGAGTGGCAAACATAGATCTGGCTGCTGCCTCCACCTCGTCTGGGGGGGTGATGCCCTTGAGAGTGACATACAGCGTGGAGGGGTACGCTACTCGGGGAAGGCTGTACCACCACTGGTACAGTTCGATCTTCTCTGGTTTCACGGTGAACCTGTTCGGGGGCTGGAACAGCTGAAGACGTACCTTGGAGCCCACGTTCAGCTTGTCATTACCGCCGTGAATCTGCATTGAATAACCAGTTGGGTTGGGTTGGGTTGATGGGTACAAATAGTATACAATCTCAATAAAACCAGATCGTAGTTCTCGTTACCGCTAAACAAAGATCTGAGGACATCCCATTACGGGTCACGTCAGACCGTCCTTGCGCGAACTTTGACAGACCAATGGAATGACTGACAAGAAGTCGACATTAGCCAATCAGAATGCAGATTTCTCGTGCTTTACGGCACTAATTTCAAATTGGTGACTATGCTTCGAAACATATTTTGATGAATTCTCAATTAAAAGTTTGAAACCTGAACAAAACAACATTCTGGAATGGCTAATAGATGGTCTAGATTGTATGGATTCAGTTGTTAAACCCGTAACTATCGTTCGGAATACCCTGTGTTAAAGTTTTCGAGGTTGCATGATTAGAAATCACATTCCGAACGCACTTTCATGATCTGGTAAGCGATGCTCTGATTGGTCAGATGAAAGGTCGTTAAGATGTGACCCCTGATGGGATGTCCTAAGATCTTTGCTTAGTGGTAGCGAGAAAAAAGATTTGATTTTAATGAGATTGAATTAGTATATGATATTGTTTGTTTTACAGTTTATTGAATGTCGCATTTGCTATATGAAATAGCTTTTTTTATGTAGGTTCTAAACATGCTAAAAGCAAGTTATATCGAAAAAACTTGGCCTTTTTATTTGCTTGTTCACTCAAGGATAGAAATTAACATAAGCCCACTAGCCGAGACAAGTTTAATGGTAAATGCATCCTAAGCATTCAAAGGGCTAGTAGAATTTCAAAAATGTTGGAGGGTATTGCTATATGTTATCACTATTCGGGCTAGTAGAATTTCAAAAATGTTGGAGGGTATTGCTATATGTTATCACTATTCGGGCTAGTAGAATTTCTTGGTTAGTTTCTATCCCCGTCACTCAATGATATTCAATTGCAAGCTGTTACGATACTTTCAGTAGGTAGGACACAAGGGACAAGTAAACCACAGCACAAAATTTGATTTATAATGCATAAATGTCACACACAAAATAAATGAAACATTGAATTCAAAGTTACTGTGCCAAAGACATTAAAATGACAACCAATAATGAACAAAAGACAATTATGTAAAGGAAATCATATTTCCTACATTTGAGATTCTGGTTTCATCAAGACCTCCAACAACTACAGTGACTCAATACCGGTGTCTCGCACTGCAGTATATCACCAGGTTAAAATAACATATGGCAGTGACCTAAAATAATAAAAAAATTAGTAATATGTGTATTTATAATGCACCAAATTCTATTCACCAAGTGGATGCTCATAGCGCTACACTATTATTACCCCGGTCAATGGATCAGTGAGCACTCGATTTTCATTCTCAGCTCCTTGGGGAGTATACAACCTACCTTGAGAAATCCCCAAGCAATTCGATGCCAGCCCCCTTCCTGCTTCTCATTGTTGTACTTGCGACTGGCGGTGTTCATACTCACGAAGTCCAGCAGCTAATAGGATAAAGAAAATGTATAAGTTCATTTGTCAATGGTGATGTCCAAGTTTGCAAACAAAAATAATGCATTTCGATTGACAGTTAACTAACAGGAAAGGAGTGAATTTAAGGGAATTATGACGATGCAACATGTTATCTTGACAGAAGCCTTTGACAATGAAGTGCACAATGCCATAAAAATAATGGATAGGGTTTGTGAAAGTTTTTTGGGTTGCAAAGAGGGTAAAATGACAGTTTGAAGAACTGATAAATCACTTAAATCATCTTATTCTTATAAGTCTGATTAAAACAATTATCATTGCATGGGTCAATACTGAAATGCTTCCTTCACATTTCAGAAGCAGATATATCAATGATTTCCTTCTAGAACTATCATGAAAATAAACAGTGAAGTTTTGTTGTCATACATATCTACTCCCATTATGAACAAACACTTAGCAAGTTTAGTGTAACAGAATGTCAACTTACTTCAAAGAAAAGAATGACTTTGAGGTCTTTCTGTACAATATAGTTGAAGTTTTCATTGAAAACAAGGAGTTCCTCCCACACTGGCAGTGTTGACCTGGGAACAAGCAATACATGACTAACACATGCCATACAGAGTGAGTTTGGTTACATGCCGCTTGTAACAGTAGTCCAGTTATATCAGCCCGAAGTGGTGCAGGTCTCAGACGTTCACCACTTTCATAAAACCCTTCAGCACGGGTACAGAGCTGACAAACCTAGAAACATAATCGGCCGAACCAGAATTCAAAACCACGACCAAATTTCTGGCAAGCCAAAGGGATCTACTCTGCACAGAGAATTGCGGCGCCTTAGACGACTGGGCCATCCGTGGGCCCACCAGTACAGTAAATCATATTATTTCATAGCAAGTGGTATACCAGTAAGCATGTCTGTGCATTCACGTCAGTACCGCATGGTTAAGCAAGAAGACGAAGTCTGATCTTAAATATATGTGCAATGAAATTTGGAAGTTTGTCCAGAAGTTGAATACAAGAGCTACTGTATAACAACTTCATTAAACGTTTTACAAATATGAGCATTTCGGGATAAATGCAATGTTTTTATATTTACTTGATGCTAGACAGTGCCTAAGCTTAACTACCTTTTACAAACAGTACTGGAACAGAGAGACAGTGGAAATAGACAATAGCCCGTGCCCCGATACCCAGAGTTATCCTCCTTGGCCCCTACTCCTTCATATTGTCACTGTATGACAGCAGGCACAGCATAGACAGTGGTGCCAAAACAGAAAGGCAGAGAGGGCGGATGCAGTCCAGGTGGGTCTATAGCTGTAGCGTCAGGTAAGTATAAAAACACTGCATTTATTCAGAAATGCTCATGTTTTACCATAACCTGACGCTACACAGTGCTTTATTCAACTGACTGGCGGGCTTACTGCGGGACGCACTGCTACAGTCTCAGGCAAGGTTCCCTCCAAGCGGCAATGAGCTAGCGGCTCCATCCTCATCATGCTTGGGGATATGAGATGTCAAGCCCTCTCAGAACAGAACGATGGTCTGAAGGTAGAGAGAATATAGCTTGGCAATGGGCAAAAGCAAGGTGTTCTGCATCTGGCTTGAGAGAGGGGGAATATGGAACCAATGCTTTACCAGGTATCGGCGGAACAGTACCCAGAAACGCAGAATGTTTATAGAGGAGCTGAAACAAGGTGGGGTCCTAACTTGGCAGCTGTTGCCAACAGGGCCAGTGGGCCCTAAGGTGACCTCATTCCTCTTTCAGGGCACGGTCAATAGTGCAATGGGGTCAGGGGTTTTTCAGCTGCTGGGCCAGGACAGGTCCGAGTCCCCTCGACGTCCTCAACAGAGATGTTGCGTAGATAATGGCTGGCAAATACTGACGCCGTAGAGGACAGTGCATGGACAGTTGTATTGGTTGTAATCCAAGCTGGGACATCTTAAGATATTGACGGAGGGTCCCAAAAGACATAGGGCGAGTTCCACATCATCATGCGAACGGACGATATCCGACAGTGGTGGGATGTGAGAAAACAAGTCTTAATGGCGAGATCTTAAAAGGAGCAGACATAAGTCTCATAAAACAACACTGAAGTCCCAGGCTGGAGGGCAAAACTTCTTTGTCTGATCTACAAGCCTAAAACCCTGGACAATGGCGGAAAGTTCAGGCACCAAGGCCTGATGGGAATCATGAGCGATTTTCAATACAAAGCCACTAGGTACATTGCAATAGTGCAGCCAGCAAAGTGATGGGACTGGCCAGAAATAACAAGAAGTCAGCCACCCAGGGGATGGAGGCCTCCACGAGACTATGTGTCTGGCTGTCGAGAAATCCTGAAAAGAGCGCCATCATAGAGGGTATTGCTGAGGAACGATGAGCCTTGGCGACAGCTTACGTGGCTCAGGCCGACAAACCCTTAGCCCTCAGGGACTTTTGGAGACATGCCAGACACAACGATTGTCGACGTCAGAGTCTGGATGAGGCTGTCTGGTGTGAGGGTTGAGCAGTAGATTTTGCCACGTTGGAAGGTGCAGCACAGGTTCTCCAGCAAGCTGTAGGAGGCTTGGGAACCAAAACCAACAGCCGATTCAGAGGACTGGTCTGGGCTGCTTTGTGAATGACCTGGGAAAGAAGAACTGGGGGCGGAAAAATATACACGCTTAACATGCTTAAGTCGACCCAGGACAGCGTGAGGCCGTCTGGGACTGGGACTGGAGTGGCATACACCCGCAGTTGGAGGTTGCTCACAGTGGCAAAGAGATGTATGATGGGAGTGCCCAGGCGGTCGCACAAGAACCAGAAGGCGTCTGGGTGATGCATCCACTGCGTGGGAGATGGAGGATCTGGTCGGGAGAGGGAGTATGCTAACACATTGCGACATCCTGAAATGCAATTGGCCCAGATCTGAAGAAACAGGAGAGTCAGTACCAATCAGCTCTAAACGCAAAAACAGTAGGAGAAACTTCTGAAGGGTGCGTAGTTGAAGTAAACCCCTGGAGATAAGATCTTGAGCCGAAGTCAACAGACCGTGGAGAGTCTGCCACTAGCGGAGGTTGAGGGGTTGACATAGTGGTCGCTGGACCCCGGATTGGATGGCTTCAAATAGTTCTGGCGGAACTTGTATCAAGTTGTGGTCCATTGGAAAGAGGCCGCTGATGAAAGTGAGGTGTCGAGAATGAGTAAGATCTGATTTCTCCAGGTTGACCACCCAAACCAGCCGATGGAGGAGTTGAAGGGTGAAGTCCCTCTAAGGACCTGCGGGACACTGTGGCCAAGGATGCAGTCGTCGATGTATGAGTCAAACTGAATCCCCTTCTTCCATTGTGTAGGAACGCAATGATGGACTTGGTTATACTTGTAAGGGAACAACAACAGGGCCGTGGAAATTCCAAATGGGAGCACTTTCAACTGGGAAGATGAAATGTAGGAATCAACGATGCACTGCATGAATGGGAATATGCAGGTAGGAATTCTGTAGGTCCAGACTGATGAGGTAAGCCAGGTGAGTAAAACCCCAGTGTGATGGCCGGGCGCATCCAGGGCTTCAATTGCATTCTTGGTAATCAGAATGTCGACATTGGCCTGCAGAGCCGGAAGATCTGGAGGCCGATAATGAGGTTCCAATGGGTTGGTAGTGAGAGGAGGAATGGTACGAAACTGCGGCAGAACCTGTGACAGAGGATCCAAGTGACGATCCCAATGACTGGTTATGGAACCAAGGCAATTCTGTAGATACGTAGACATGTGAAAAAGCTGTGATTACTGCCAGTCTAAAACTGAAAGAAATTGTTCGCTAGCTTCTGACGGATTCTTGTCTAAACTGTCTTTGATAGCTGAGTTTGCTGAGGCCATCACCGACAGGGGGTTAAGTTGTGAAGAGCCGTATCCACATGCCCCAGTTGAGCATCCGTCACAGAAACCTATGAACTTAGCTTAGACGTTCCCATGTCAAATGTTCTCATCCACAGGAGGCGAGATGTCAGCAAAATCAATACAGTGGAAAGGGTAGTGTAGATCTGAAAAGAAAGATTTAACTGGGAGGGCAGTAAAGGTGGGGAGGAGGAGAGAGAACATCCCACGAATCCAAGACCTCCTGGGGGAAGGGCCTTGCCCAGGGAGAAGCACCGGGGAGATGATAGAGTAGCCAGTTTACTGCCAGTGGACGACTCATCATAATCGGGTATGAAATCCTGTTCATCATCTGAGTGGTGACGAGAAGTGTGGGGACAATCAGGGGAGACAGGCATTGCCTAACAGGAGAGAAAGACCAATCATGGGATTGAACAGGAACGCAACCAAGGACCCAAGGCACTTGGCGCCAAGCGACAGGTCGCCAGAAGTGGAAGAGACAATGCGCTGAGCAGGCGAATGGTTCTGGCGTAGATGTCATAGCAGGAGGTGAGGGGACCGATTCCGATGGTGGAGGAGGGGTCGGTTATGGAGGAGGAACTGACATCATCTTCCGTTAAGCAAGTTATTTAGAGCGCTTAACAAGAGAGCCTTTCTGTAAGATGCAAATTCTTCAATTGATATAACAGAGCAAACAGAGCATCGATTGACAAAAGAACACAAAGGTCGGCAGTAAGGGTAAAGGTGATGTGGGTCTTTGCCCGACCTGTTACATTAACAGAAAGTACAAGTCATAGAATACATTCTGCAAAAAATGTAAACAGTGTATAAGACTACCAGTATAAAATGTTAATGGTGCACTACACACCCAAACACAACCACAGTGTGGAGAGTGCCTGGTAGACGACAAACACATATTACGCGAACATAATAGGATACATAACAGAAAGGCACTTACAAGCACATAGATGAGAGATTTACCAATAATTTATAAATGATAGCAAAAATTACATAAGTACACACACCTCCTTAACACAAGACACATGAAAAGCAAGATGGCAAGCAAGGCATGAAAAGTGCTAAGTTACACAGTCATCGGAAATATCAGAATTAAACAAGGAATATGCCTCAAATATGTGGATAATAATATCAGGGAAAGGATATATGGCTGTAACACCACCAGAAAAAGTAAAAAACTGATCAAAATCTACGGTAAAATGACCTTCCAAAACACACATCTATCATAAGGCAGACTGACAAAAACATGAGGGAGTACAGGCCAAGGAAGATAACTCCTGCGTATTGGAGCACGGGCTATAGTCTGCTTCAACTGTCTCTCTGTTCAAGTAGTCTGTTTGTAGAAGGTAGGGAAGCAAAAGCACCGTGTAGCCTCAGGTTAGGTAAAACAGTAGGAAAGTAAGACTGTAATGATAAACAAAGGATATAATCATCTTCCAGTTTGGGAAGGCTAATAATATTTTGTATCCTTGAGCACATTCGTGACCAACTCGTGTTATTCCGCGACTCGTGCCCCTCTCATGGCCATTTTTGCGACTGGGTTCCGTCTAAGCGCAAACGGGCATACCTTAAACAATTGTCAACTCGTTGCATAATCATGATAATGTCTCACATATTATTTCCCCATGTATTATATATAGTTCAGATACAATTTAAAGCACATCGGGACGTGCAGAATTATACAGTATGACTGAACACATTTAACTATGTCTTGGGTATATTTTTAGATGCAAGACAAATGTAAATTCAAAAATTATTTCTGAGGGATTTTTTTACGAAGAACTTAAAATCATACGCGCATTGTGATTGGTTTGTCACATTTTCGCACATAACATTCATCGATAGGGGGATGAGTCTTTTTGCAGTTTACGGAAAGGGGCGAGTGGTGACGAATGTCCTTGAGCACTGCACAATTCACTCATTTGGATATCCTGAATTGTTCTAAAGGCAGGTATTGCTACAGCCCTACCCTTTACTGGTAGTTACCAGCAGAACTAAGGAACACAGTACAGATAAGGTACAAAAGTCGGGAGCATGCTGACCCCTCAAAACCTGGTGAATTTCTAACACAGGTACATCTACTATGAATCCTTTTATAGCTGTGTTTGTTGAAGTGTGTACTGATTTGCCATTTACTTGAAATAAGAATATAAAACATAATTTTAAAAGAGACTCTAAAACTGCCCCAGACTGACATCGGAGGAACATTTCATGGAAAAGTAAAAACAGTCGTAAAATTGTTAAGATATTGCTTTCATTCAATTCAAGTCTAAATTCATAAAATTGGAATAAAAACACAATAAATTGGGGGAATCATAAATAGCAAACGGCATATCTACACCACATGGTGCATGAGTGTAGCAAGTTTTGTAAAGCTATCACTCATCATGCTTGTGGTTCCGAGTTCTTCAGTTTATTTTATGCATATTTTACGCTAATATGCATGTTTATCTACAGAATTTCAAGGATGGGGGATACAGGTTTGAGCATGCTTAAGTCTATCTGCCAGTACTATCGGTACTGTGCTTTTCTCACATACACACAAAATATTTTCCCCTTATGCAGGTGTCAGCGTAATGGTAGTTGGTACAAGATTGATTCTGTATACTTACTTTCTTTGTTTAAAGTCAAATGGCTGCGTCATGATGGGTAGAATGTGGTTAACTTTATCACTCTTGGTTTCATAGAAGGATGTGACTGCTCGAGACCTGGAACAGACCATCACGCTTGTCGTTATGTAATTCATGATGGGAAGGTCAACTGTTTGCAAATATAAACAACGTCCTGGTCCTCATAACTCCATGTCTCTAGGCACACAAATAGATACCCCAGGTAGCAGTGTATGAAATAAGTCAAATCTGAACTGTCCAGACTGACAAGCAGCTCATGAATACTTCAATCTCACTCTTCAAAACCTGCCTCTGTTCGAAGTAACAAAGATCTAAAACCTCACTCTGCTTGAAGCAACATTGGTGTAAAACCTCACTCTGCTTGAAGCAACATTGGTGTAAAACCTCACTCTGCTTGAAGCAACATAGGTGTAAAACCTCATTCTGCTTGAAGCAACATTAGTGTAAAACCTCACTCTGTCTGAAGCATCATAGGTGTAAAACCTCACTCTGCTTGAAGCAACATAGGTGTAAAACCTCACTCTGCCTAAAGCAACATAGGTGTAAAACCTCACTCTGCTTGAAGCAACATAGGTGTAAAACCTCACTCTGCCTGAGGCAACATAGGTGAAAAACCTCACTCTGCTTGAAGCAACATAGATGTCAAATCTCATTCTGTATGAAGCAGTTATTATTTTGGCACAAGGAGATCTGTGTTTCTGCACTTCTAAGGACTCACTCCTTCTGTTTCTTGAGGTAGGTGCCCGTGGATTCATCCACCATGTGTACTCTGATCATGGGATGCAAGATGTGGAAGTCATTCTTCAGCTTGTCTGTGCGGTGTACGGTCAGACCCAGGATCTGCCCCCTGTCCTCAATGTCCTTCACATCAGGCGCCGCCACCGCGTCCTCCTCAGTCGCAGCAACTATTTCATCCTCTGTGGATGTAGAAATGATTGGAATTGTTAACATTAATAATCTTTCAACAGGAATCTAAACAGTCTGTGCCAAAAGATTTTGAATCTACAAATCCAAACTTACTCTTACTCTTAGCATCATTTTCAAAAGATTTTGTTATTAGATAGATCATTATTAGCTGAGCTTACATGACCTAACAGAATTTAAATAGACTCAGACTTCAGACTAGCGTCTTAAATAGCAGACTGTCTAAAGAATCTGCAGCATTGCAATCTTGAATGTTTATCAATCTACAACTGGGATCCGAGTGACCTGGAAATGGACAGAATGCTACAACATGTTATGTGCTACGTTCCTTGCTAACGTACAATAAAGATCATTCTAAGCGCAAGTTTGAGAGGTGAAGTGAAATGGGGTTTAATGTCGTGTCCAAGATTATTGCACTTTTATAGCGATGTGCATGCACGTGTGTATGTGTGTGGCTGCTTGTATTAGTCCAGACTTATGCCGATTATTAATGCTAGCCCACTGAGATACCATGCCACAGTTTATCATGAATACCCCACTCAGACACAGTATACTGACTCCGAGCCGACCAGTCCTTCTTTTAGCCCCTTAATGCCGAGCGTCAGGCAGGGTAACAAGTACCATCTATTAAAATCTTTTGGTATGATGCGCCGGGGAGCAAACCCCGGAGCTTTTGCTCTCCGGGCGGACACTCTACCACTAGACCACGGCCACGGCCACGGTCGCAAGTTTGAGAAACAGTTTTAGCATGAAAAAGGGGCAGGTAACAGCTTCTGCCACATTCAGTTCTGTTGAACAACAAGTCTACTGAGGTGCAAGTCATGTAGTGTCATCTGGATTATCTCCCCTGAATTTAGGAATCATTTCTCAAAAAGAAATGACAATTTGCATACAGTGGCTGTGAACAGTAACCACACATTTGTTTGGACAAGACTAATTCAAAATAATAGAAGTGTTGTACCTTCTTTCTTCTTCTTCTTTTTCTTCTTCTTAGGAGTTTCAGCTCTGGGTGATGTTTCATCTGTAGGTGGTTCTTCTGCTGTTGCCTGGACAAACAGTAACTACATACAGCAACACCAAACAAGAGAAACTCTAGTCGATAGAATGTCTCAAATATGGGAGCACCCTGGCAGACTAGTCAGGTTGTTAGTGCTTCAATAATACCATCTTGCAGCATAGATCACTGTGATAAAACATAATTTGTTCACATCAATATTGCACTATAATCACAACTTCTAAATAAATAAGGGTGGCCCAGTCGTCTAAGGCGCCGCGATTTGCTGCGCAGAGTTGCGTCCCTTGGGCACGCCAGAATATATGATTGTGGGTTCGAATCCCAGTTTGCCCCGATTATGTTTCTAGGTTTGTCAGCACCATACCCGTGTTCGTGGGTTTCACCGAAGTGGTTTTTGTCTGAGACCTGCATCACTTGGGGCTTTCGTCCAACATTAAGCTGACACGCCGTGATATAACTGGAATATTGTTAAAAGCGGCATTAAACCAAACTCATTCACGCACTAAAAAAACCAGATTGACAACAATTCTAAACATTCCGTTACAAATCAAGAACATAGAAACACACTCTGACGGCAATGCTACAACTAACCTCAGTCTCATCCTCTGTCTTCACTGCTGTGGCCTCAGGATCTTCTTCTGTATCCGGAGGCTTCTTCTTCTTTTTCTTCTTCTTTCCATCTCTGGGTGATACAAGTGCTGTTGTCTCTGTTTGTTCCTCCTCCTCCCGCCCAGCAGGGCTTGGTTCAATAGTCTCCTCTGCTTCTGAAGACTTCTTGGCTCTGAAGATAGATGGCATCAACGATCATTGATTATTTCAATACACATGGTAGGGTTGTTTTTTATTGTTGTTTTGTTTTTGTTTTGGGGGGGGTTGGTGTGGTGGGGGTGTGGTGGGGGTGGGGTGTGGTGGGGGAGGAAAAGGGGAAATATCTTGTTTAATGCTGCTCGCATCTCTATCACCTTGGTGACTGATACTGTGAACAATGATCCATCCAGGTTCAATCACACACTATCAGCCAAGTCACCGAGCCTGACCACCGATCCATTTGGTTGCCTCTTACAACCAGCATAGGTTGCAGGGACCTATTCTATCCCGGAGTCCCCATGGGGTCACTAGTCAGTACACTGACCTTTAATGTCATCATGCAAAGCCAATGTCAACATGGTCAAAGTGAAATTAAATAACAAACTTCTGTAAAAGTCTCACTTTTTCTTCTTCTTAGGCGTGGTCTCTGTTGGTGAGGGTATTTCTTCTGGAACCTCCTCCACCGGTAGTTCTACTTTCTTCTTCTTCTTCTTCACTACTGGTTTCTTCTCCTTGGTCTCATCAATCATCTCAATTGTGTCCTGAGTTTTGGGAACCTTCTTCTTTGTCTTACCATCTTTCTTCACCTTATCACTCTCATCTGTAACAAAATGTTTCGGATGTGTGTAAGTTTTTTTTTTGTTTAAATCCGCATTCAGCAATTTTCCAGCTATATGCGGCGGTCTGTAAATAATCGAGTCTGGACCAGACAATCCAGTGATTGACATCACGAGCATCGATCCACACACCTGGGATACGATGACCACTCGATCCTGTTAGTGAGTGAGTGAGTGAGTATGGTTTTTAGCTACCTTTAGCAATATACCAGCAATATCAAGGCATGGAACACAGAAGTAGGCTCCACAAATATATTTATATTATTATCTAAGACTCATAGTCATACAAGACTTGACCTTAACAATGAAGAATAACATAAAGCGTGATAAGATATACAGAACAAAAAGAATTAGTTACAATGCAATAACTTCTATATTTATCCCATATCAAAAGTTTATATTGATTGTAGATTTGTACCAATTCATAATAGTTTATTTTGGGCTGTCAGTACTAGTACAGTTTAATTCAGGTATTAACATATGCTGCCAGACTTTGACTCTTAATGCAGTGTTCTGACGACTGAGCACGGAGCAAATACAGAGTGGAATAAAAACAGAAACAACTCTTGTGAAGACAGCTGACAGTGATTTCCCCTTCATTATTCTTTCAATGCAATGACTTGGTACAACTGTCAGGACCTTTATCAAACAAATCTGATTTGCATTGAAAGAAAATAGTTTCTAAATCCATAAGTCAACCGTCTTCACTGACTCTACAACTTCTCAAAGGACACGTAAACATACAGCCTGATTCTAACCATGCAAACAGATATTTAATACTTGTTAATACAAGGGAATCCACCAATATGTTTCCAGTGCTTGAGCATACTTCATCTGAAAGATTCAGGCTTACTTTTTACATTCTCGACTCTTCCATGACTTACTCAGCTTTTGAAATTCACACTAGTCAGCTAGCCCGAGGCCGACTAAATTGAGCTGAGAAGTAAAATTCCAATGATGGTAGTCCTCAGACTAGTAGCATATAAGGGCAATAACTCTGAACCAGTTCACAATTCTTCAATTATGCTACAAATTAAAATGAAAAAAACTGACTGAAAATGTAAACGTGTAACATTTCAAGAAGGACTAGCTACAAACTCTGATGACTAGAGAAATAAAGTTTCAACTAGTCGCTTGGACTAGTCTTTCAATGCTAATGCTGCTTACTGTTCTCCTTTTCCTGCAGCCTCTGTCTCCTCTTGTTGCTCTTCTCACTCTTTGAGTTGTCAGGGTCAAAAGTGTTGGCATCAATGGCATCATCTCTGTCTTTGTGTAGCCCCGTCCCCTCCCCCTTCCGTAACAACTCAAGCTGGAAACAGAGGGGAATGTGTCAATCAGTCTAGCACTTTAATACGAATTTAAACAATAATGAACAAAAATATTACTTCTATTTCTTACACCTTGTTTGTTTCAAATGCATAAAAGACGGAAATTGTAAATTTTACAATAAAGTTTATATTTATAACATATATCTATCTCACAGTATGCATTTCCTTCTTTGATGTGGAAACGTGCTTGAACAAAAGTTTCCAGCTTCTAAAAACAATTCACCCAAACATATCCCAGCATCACCATGGTCACCACCCAAACAAATGGGGCATGCAGTGTAATCCCTAACGACCTGCACAACCTGATAACCTGATAACTCCTGCCTTACTTACTTACTTATATTAGGAGATTTTACGTGCGCTTTCCGACTGAAGCGTATTTCGCACACGGGCCCGGCCGGGCCATTTAGTGAAGTTTGGAGGGAATCGAAAGGTGTGCAACCAGTGAGGGGGTTTTAGTGGTTGCTTATATAGAATTTTGAAATTTTGAAATTTGGAATACATGCCTTGGGGGTGTGGTTGGGACTAAGGGAGAGTGTGGAGGTGAGTTTGTTGTTTTATATGCTAGTTTATGGTGGTTTGGTAATTTTTAGATACGATTTATTAGGTCTGTTTTGGTTAGGTAGATGCCTAGGGCTTTGAATTTTTCTATTTTATTTTGAGGATTTAGGATTGCTTCTAGGGTAAGAGCTTTATTTAGGTTTAGGTGGGTTTGTAGTGTTGTACGGTGGGTGTGGTAGTGGGAGCAATGTAGGAGTGCGTGTTCTATTGTTTCTGGGTGAGTGCAGTGTGGGCACTTCCCGTTTGCGTGTTTTTTTATTTTTAGGAGATGGTTATTTAGTTTGGTGTGTCCTGTTTGGAGTTTGGAGATAATTCTATCGATTGTTTTGGAGGGGTGGAGGATTTTTGGTTTGGTAAGGGTTTTTTTGAGGATTTTTATGATTTGGGTGTTTGTGTTTTGATAGAGGTTATGCCATCTTTGGGTGATTTTACGTTTGTTGATACTTTTGATCTCTGCTTTAGATATTGGTAGCTTAAGGCTTAAGGCTCCTGCCACATCATTCTTATTCTTATAGCTGACAGGTCTGAGGAGCAGTGATGCGGGGATGGTCGAGGGGGCAACTTGCATGTGAGATAGGATAAGCAGTGTTCCCGCTGGCTTTTGAAACTGCCAGACCTTGTGGACTGGCATCTCTAAAAACTACCAGTCCCCCCTAATTTTTGCCAGTCCCAACTTTCATCAAATAAAAAAACATATGAAAATTATTTGGTTTGAATTCTTTCAACATCATTTTCAGTGCAAAGATGTCATCTCTGAAGTAACTTAGTTAGATCTATACGTCATTCACACAAACTTCCTTTTTTTTAATACATATTTCGAGATGTCACTACAAATTAACCTAGAAATAGACACGGGGAAACCCTGATGGTAACAGACAAGCCGACTTGAATATCACCGATGTTTTGTTCAACAACAAAGATTTATAAGGTACTTCATTTGCCGGTCCACAGGGACTGGCAGTCACATGGATTACCGGTCCAAGCCTTATTTTACCGGTGAAAAACTGGTAATTACTGGTAAACGGGAACGCTGGGATAAGTATCATAAATATACCATATAATGTAAATTTTACCAATTTTTAAACTTATCCTATCTCACACTATTTGGACGTTGGACGGTGGGACGCAGATCCTCTAGCCTATGTAGACTACAACTGTGAGACGTACACGAGGAAGCTGGTGCTAAACAGTGATACAAACATAAGCTGTAATACTGCTGCATGTTGCAAAGACAAGAACTTGTGAGTGGGTAGAACACCACACATGAATCAGCACAATGGAGCTTAGTGGGAGATACAGAGCCACCAATAGCTTCCGTGGGGCGGTCGGGTAGCCCAGTGGTTAAAGCGTTCGCTCGTCACACCGATGACCCGGGTTCGATTCCTGACATGGGTACAATGTGTGAAGCTCATTTCTGGTGTCCCCCGCCGTGATATTGCTGGAATATTGCTAAAAGCGGTGTAAAACCATACTCACTCTCTTACTCCGTGGCTGACAATATGGTTGAAATAAGCGGGAGATAGTAATATCCAAGTGGAGGAGATCCCTATCATCTTCAGTAGATGTAGTAACAGCTTGGGGCAGAGTGTCAAAATATCCCCATCAACTTCAAGTGCCAGGGTGGTAGTCTACACTCCATGAGTGTAGTATCCTCTAAGTTGAACAGCGGAGATTAGAAGTCAATCTCGGGGATGGGGAAGGCTTGTCCAAGTTAGTGGCAACATCAGACAGGAGGTAGCCTGATGGTAGCCTGAAGGTAGAGGAGCCGGCACTGGGTATGATGAAACATGTTGGCTGATCATCCACAGAAGTACTACGCTGAAACTGAGGTCTATCTGCAGTGCATGGACTGACAACAGTCAGATCGACAATGTCAAAGCTCCCAGTAGATGAGGCAGGTGAAGACTGAGAGAGTCCATGAGAGAGTCAAAGTGACCCTATGAGGTATCAAGGGCGGCAGTACGATGCTGTAGAAGAGAAGTTACGGCCTGTCGGAGTGACTCAGGAGTCGAAACTCTAGTCTGGTCATGATGGTCATGAGGAGGTAAGCAGAGACAGAGTAGATGGTGGAACCTCTATAGGAGAAGCCGACATAGCTGGAGTCTTTGGTTGCGCAGGAACTGGAGACTTGGGTCTACTGGGTGAATGATGATCTGGACGAGTGTCCACCAGTAAAGAGCCTCAATGTGTAGAAGAGGGTCGACGTCGATCTCCGTCTCAATTAAGGTCCATAGAGTGATCCCCATTGATCTGCAGAGTCCGTACAGTATTCATCCTTAAAACGTCAATCATACATCAAGCTGGAGTGGAGCGCGACCTAGTAGTTGCTCCCTTGTGAAGTTCTGCAAAGTTCGATCCTCAAAACGTTGATCGCGTGATTGTCGACCCTTAGATCATGTGGATCTCAAGCGTTGATTCCTTTAATGTTGACCCTTAGAACCAGAACATCGACGTTTAGAAGAGCATGATTGTTCGAACGTCAAATGTGGTTGGTTGTTCCAGTGAAGACGTTGTAGTGGAAACTGGCGACAGACGGATGGTTCATTTTCGTGGGAAAATCGTCATTGAGAAAACAATCTGAGATCCCTTGTCCTCGATCAACAGGGAAGGTATGGTAGACACAGGTGGTTTCACAGCTGTTACAGTGGAGGAGGCAGCCGGTTTGGTGACAACTTTAGCTTCTGAGTAGAGGAAACCCATGACCAGCATCCTGAGATTTAGACCGCCAGTCAATGTTACGCTCCTGACACTTACTAGGTATAGTGAGTGAGTGAGTTGGATTTAACGCCGCTTTTAACAGTATTCCAGTTATATCGCAGTGTGTAAGGGAGGAAAGCCCCAAGTGATGCAGGTCTCAGACGTTTACCACTTCGGTGAAACCCACGAGCACGGGTATGGTGCTGACAAACCTAGAAACATAATCGGGGGGAACCGGGATTCGAACCCACAATCATAGGTTTCTGGCGTGTCCAAGGGACGCAACTCTGCACAGGGAATCTCGGCGCCTTAAGACGACTGGGCCACCCGTGCCTCCATTAGGTAGAGACAAAAGGCTTCCTCCAAGAAGTGGGAACATATGTGGTCAGGAAGGCAAAGGCCATGACACTCACTGCACAGATCATGTGGATCAGCAGTGGAGCAAATATGTCTGCAATCACTGCAGGCATTTTCCCCGTTCTGTTCCCATTCTCTTTAAATAGTGTCGTAGATGTTATCATGAAGAGGAGGAAGCCCATGCAATAAAAAAGGATTCTCTAAGATTCAATACACGTTTCAACAGAGTGGTGATGAGAACGAGAATGATGTGGCAGGGGAAGTCATGTGACCAGGTCGTGTAGGTCGCTATGCATGTGTATTTCAGTGCATGACCCATATGTTTGGGTGGTGACCATGGTGATGCTGGGATGAGTTTGGGTTAAATGTTATTAGAAGCTGGAAACATTTGTTCAAGCATGTTCCTCAATAGGATTGAAAGAAGGAGAAATGCATAGCGTGAGATAGGATAAGTTTAAAATTATACTGTTGTTGTGTTATGTTTGTTTATTGGAGGTACAGTGAGGAGCTTGTAAAAAAAAAATGACTTTATTTATTTTTGTGTTTATCATTGTTTATCATGTTTATTGAGATGTAAACATAAAAACCTAGGTGCAAACGCAAAGTGCGGACACCGTTTATATGCATATCTTTCGATAAACACCCAATCTTAATATCTGCATAAAAAATAATGCCCAGCATACAGTTAATGCTATGGAAATTATAAATCATCATGTCAGGTGGTTTTCTATCTCAAATTTCACATTTTCATTGACCAAGCTTGTTATCTCCTGTTCATTTACATGATGTAGTTTTTGACTTCACATTTTACTGAAAAGCAATTTCTCGCAAATTTGTACCCAAGAATTGGGGTTTCTCATTATGCTCAGGTACGCACTATACACAATAAAATATTGTAAAAAACATTTATTAACCAATCAGAATTGCAGCAAATTCCTACTCATTTTACAGTTATTATCAACAAGGGCTTAACACTACCTTAAACACATCTGTCCAACATGCCCCAAACATATATAAACATGATAAACGATACTAATATTAATATCTGTCTGAGATTGAGTGGGGACAACAATGTTAAACCAACCAACATGTTAAACTGAGAGGTAAACTTAACAATCAAATTCTTACCATGTCATCCTGCTCGGATCCTTTGGACTTTTTCTTCTTCTTTTTCTTTGCATCTATGGCATCCCTGCAACATCAGACATAACGGAACACTGTCAACTACATAATATTTTTCACCATGTTTACTGACAAAAATAATAGCTTTCTCCCAACACTGCAACTAAGCATGCTAATATACTAGTACATGGTAATAGTAGTGACGCAATACTCCATAAAAGTTTAGGTAACAGTACAAATTCCATCTTCCCCAGGCAAGCGAGTTAACCAGTTTCCAACCTTGCTGAACTAGGCTGGAATTTCTGGGTTTGATCGTAGCGTGACCAGTGACTATTACGAGTTACGTCCCTTCTATTGCCAAATCAGATTCTACCTCTCATATCACTTGCATTTGTTTCAAACAAAATGGCGGCACCCATTCAAAACAATATGATCGATAAATCTATATCGTGATAAAACAGGTATTTAGTTTGCAAAGTTCATCAAACCATGTGAGCGCCTTGATAAAAAAGGAAAAGATTTGGAAAATATCTGTTGGAGTTACACATGCTTTGCAAATCCTGGAATTGCCCAAAATCTGCACAGCAATTTACGAACCACAATTCAATTTCGTACACGATTTTGATTGGACTATGAATAGACTCGTTAATCAAGCCAAATAATAACTGAATAATTCTGGACTTTTATAGTAAGTTAATTCCCTTGCCTCAAGAAGATGTAAAAATTCTCAAGGGCCTTAGCTGTTCATGGTTATTATCCAAGCACTTGTACCTACACAATGACCTAAGCATGCTGAAGTAAATTGTACAGGTATATTGGGTGGAGATGATCACTGGGATCATGGTGATGTCCTTAGGAGTCAAACAGCAAACATGACAGGACCAGACATTTTCTATTTCTTATGTGTTTCTTGGATTACAGATTTTTGGAAGAGAAAGGTCCAGGTTGGGGTGTGGGAAATCAATGAAAAAGGACACATTTATTTGTTCTTCAAAATATGTTGTGTCTGTCTGTCTACATGATCTGCTCTGCACTACACTCCCCCAGAGGAAGTAAAAGCATGGCCTCTGCCTATCCCTGGCTTACTTTGTAGACTGCTTGACCACTTGCTGAAGCAGCTGATCCACTCGCACTTTAGAATCACTCTGCCCTGGCTCCGCTGCAAAAATACACAGAACATACTATCTTTAAAAGACAACCATAATTAAAAGATTATTGCACTGACATAGAGTGACACGCATGCACATGTGTGCCTGCTTGTACAAGTCCATATTAATGCCAGTTTTAGAGCACCAGCCCACTGTGATACCGTTCTGCATTTTAACATGGATACCTCACTTAGACACAGTTTGCTGACTCCTCGTTTTATCCCCTTAATCAGTTGATACTGAGCGCTAAGTGTGGTATCAACATGTACTATCTTTTAAGTCTTTTGGCATGACCAGGCTAGGGAACAAATCACCAACCTTCCACTCTCAGGACAGACACTCTATCCACTACACCATGGAGGAGGTCAAGAATCTAAGCCGTAAGGGCTAGTAAATGCTTCAAGTTAAGCTGCATCCATGTAATATTATTATAAATATATCAAACTACCTTTAACATGCTTAAGTGCCAATTGGGAAATATTGTTATTTAGTTTACAATTGGGCATGTTGTGAGATAAAAGAATTTGTACTTTACTTTCTGAATTTCAGAAGTATCTTAGCATTGCATTCCCAGAGCGCCAGATAAGCTTTTGGTGTTATGGGTATTTTACCCATGCATTTTAAAATCATTGGGTATCAGTAATTCTGTCTGGGTATTCAAATTTCTGTTACCCACTAGTTTTTACACATGTGGTTATTTAAGTTAAATATTTAAAAACGATATTCATCTAGTCCCTGCAAACTGGTGTCATTCGGGTTTGAGAGCTTTATAGGACTAAAAAAAATACCGCGATACTTCCACAAGAGCGTGTGATGGCAAATGATCATGATGTAACTGTCATCGTGGAGTTTGGCAAGGTTGACGGAATGTCCGTATATAATTTCAAAATAAGTTGCTGATTTGCTAATCGAATACGCATGGTTACTTCACAATATTTTGATGATACGCACAAGTTTTATTTTTTAGCGTATCTGTAATGTTCGTTGTGTATTTGATACACTTGGATTTTATTTTACTGCGTACTTCTGCATTTCTGATGCGTATTTTACGCAGATACGCAACTTATCTGGAGTTCTGATTCCGATTCAATGCAATAATGTCAAATATATCCAATTCCTCTTTATATATAGGGCTTGTTATCATGGTCATAAGTGAAATACAAGACACTGCGACCAGCTGTCACTTTAGTCATAACATAACAGAATTTTACTAGACTCAGGCTCCGGACTAGTGGCTAAAGTCACAGACTGTGGTTATACAATTAACATGATTAACAAGATCAAATCAGTTGCATCATTTGCATGTTTAATCATTCTGTCCACCAGGGTACATCACGATACATTATGCTACATGGATCACAGCGTACTGCAAATGACATCCCCATGACACCATGTTCATATTTTTGCCTTCAATGTGTATCTGTCATTTAAGCACATTTAATACATCATTAAATATCAATGGTTGAAAATGTTTCTGGAAGAACTCTGCCTGGTCTCAGACCTTTTACTAAAACAAGTACAGGTCCAAAATGTAATTTGTCTGGTTCCACTCATTTTTGTTTTGTTCATAATATTGTCAAATGTTTATATTTAGAATATTACGACCTGGAAAGACATCAGATTTTTCCATATTCAGATAATAAATTTACTTGAGACTCTTTCGCACTCGACATTTTACAATGACGTATGTATTACAAACATAACTACTGATTGGCCAGTTTAGTAAACTGTACATGCTGTACGTAATTAAAACAACATTATATCAATGTTGATTTAGTGATGTGTAAACCTCTTGCACTTCATTTAATTGTAATTTTCAGAGTAACCAAATCAAAACTTTTCTGTAACATCAATGGACTTTTTTATGACTAAATAGTTAGGTCCCATTAATAAATGCAAAGGACCTCAGAGTATCACAAAAACTCATAACTATTATAAGCAGTAAAAGAGAAAAGCTGGATAGTTACAGTCGGCGCGACGTAGGCAACGTGGAAAATGTCAGTTTAACAAACACACCTATCAACATGATCAAAGAAACAAGTTATCAATTATCTGGTTAATATGAGTAATGACCTTATTTTGTGATGTCTTTTTCGTAGGTATTTTGGGCTTAGGGTGTATGTCTTAATGAAGGACTCTCAACATACTCAAGTTAACCGTAAATTATACTGTCACAGCTGAATTTTAAAGTGATTTACTTGTTACCAACCCTTGGTGAAGATATCAGCATTGACTGCACCGAAGAATTGATAACGTGCAAATGAGAGTATGAAACTGATCATGAAACTTAACACAACTCATATGGTTTAATAATTTGTTTAAAACAACATAATTTGTAAGCGTACAGGAATGTTTCCATCCACAGAGAGTGACAGAAGCAGGTCATGTCATGTTTCTCGTTTTCCAGGAACAATTGTTTGAACGGTGTCCGGCGTTATATACATCGCAGGTATTCGGTTATTATTTGCATGTCAAGTACGAGTCCTTCATCAGTAACAACCATCCATTCATCTTTTTATACATCATTAATTCTATGTTTTTCAACATTTTCTCATTTTCACACTTACCATCTTCCGCCATGATGTTTATTATCCGGACCGCGCTCAATGTTACGCTGCCTGTTGATTGGTCAATGCACATCCACGATACTCGCCCTCGTTTAGCCATGATCCGAACTGGTTAAACGAACTCCTTTGATGTAACTTCCATGTTTGGGATAGATACATTTTAACATTTCAAAAATGTTTCCGATATTTTCATGACTGAAAATTTAGTGTATACTAAATACTTAATCACTATTATTTATATTTATTATAATGTTATATATACAAGCGTGAAACTACTCGTATAATTGGCCCATACAGAACAGCGGACCAAGTTAGTTAAAAATGAGCTGTGGCGGGGTTCGTCAGCACTCAAATAATACTTCTACATGGTTTTATTTTTTTAAGTATTGTTTTATTTAAAATATTTAAAAATTAAAAAGAGAAACTGCTGATGGGTATCTTAGACATATTTACAACATTTCAACCATGGTAGGGGTCATGTGGTTGCAAATTCATTTCTTACCCCAGCCAATATATGTTACACAAAATTACCCAGGCACATATTACTTTGTAAAGTGTTGCAGGAATGAGTGATGGTTAAATCGACATAATCAAGTTTAACAATAGTTCTTTCAATTTACAATTACATAAAAATAAACTCTTGAGTTTATTTAATTTTTCCGATATTTGTCCCGCAATGTGTCTTTCAAATCATTGATGACCTAACAACGTGTTCAATAGTGTTTCGTTCCAGCGTTGAAGAGAAGTGCTTTCGATATTTTTGTGAAGTAGTTTTCAGGATTCAGGGGTGAGCAAAGAGGTGAGGTGAGGTGAGGTGAGGTGAGGTGAGGTGAAATGGGGTTTAACGTCGCGTCTAAGATATTTGCATTTATATAGGGATGTGTAAGCACGTGTGTGTGTGTGGCTGCTTGTACTAGTCCGGACTGATGCCGATTTATAGTGCAAGCAAACTGAGATACCATGTCGCAGTTTAACATGAATACCCCACTCGGATACAGCATAGTGACTCCGAGCCGACCAGTCCTTGTTTTAGCCCCTTAATGCCGAGCGCCAGACAGGGTAACAACAAGTACCATCTTTTAACGTCTTTTTGTATGACGCGGCCGGGCATCGAACCCCGGAACTTCCGCTCTACCACTAGACCACGGAGGCGGTCGGTGAGCACTAAGACCTAGAGTGACAAATAAGATGGTATCCGGGACTGGCAGCCTCACATGGGTTTTGGTTGGTTGGTTTGTTGTTTAACGCCGCACTCAGCATTATTCCAGCTATATGACGGCGGTCTGTAAATAATCGAGTCTGGACCAGACAATACAGTGATCAATATCATGAGCATCGATCCACGCAATTGGAATCGATGACATGCATCAACCAAGTCAGCGAGCCTGACCACCCGATCCCGTTAGTCGCCTTTTACGACAAGCATTGTCACCTTTTACGGCAAGCATGGGTTGCTGAAGACCTATTCTACCCCGGAATCTTCACGGGTCCCCTAACATGGGGTTCATTGTGGCCCCTGAATGCGAATTATTTAAGAAATGGGCCAAACATGTATTTATTGCTATATAAAAGTTCCCAGATGTGTCCGTATGAACAGGAACTAGTGTTTGTTCATTACGTACACTGTAAACTTTACAACATGAAATGAAGAGGTAAGGCTAAAAGGTGTCCCAAGGGCTCATGTTAGGATTTAAGGGAGCAGTGTCTTTTTAATTTGACATGAGCAAGTCTTTGATCCAACCTAAGTTACTTTTCTCAAGAGAAGTAGATATAATGATAGCATAAAAAGTCCAGTTTCCACTGTCAGTCAATTAACACCTTTACCTCGAGCAGATGCTTGTGCCACGGACATGTCAAAAGTTAGAGGTGCGGTGGGGTAGCCTAGTGGTTAAAGCGTTGGCACGTCACGCCGAAGACCCGGGTTCTATTCCCCACATGGGTACAATGTGTGAAGCCCATTTTCCGGTGTCCCCCGCCGTGATGTTGCTGGAATATTGCTAAAAGCGGCGTAAAACCATACTCACTCACTCACTCACTTCAAAGTTAGATTTTCTCTTGACCCTTTCCAGTGTTTCAGACGTTCTAATGTATTTTGAACAAGCCAAAGGTATGGCATATTACATTGTCGCAAGGTGTTTTTCTTAAATGAAATCAGGCCTTTTGTTTTAAATAAAAAAATCTGGTTATGTACTAAATGGTCGGTCCCTGAAGGCCATTTTTACAATCTTTGCTTAACTATATCAATAAACATGAAAACAGTTCAGATAGCTTACCATATGTTGAGGTTTGCATGAATCATATAACATGAACATGCATGTTACAATGTGTGGCTCATAACGCGCTATTTGCTACACAATCTATAGTGAATATACACGTACTTGAAGAAGTTTCAAATGGTTCAAGCGTTCGAAGAGAAAGTTACGTTCAGTTAAATTTCTGCAACGACTACGATTACAAGTATATTCATCTTCAAGTTCATTATCCGAAGAACATTACGGACATTTTTCTATAATAATTGCAAAATGAACTCAATTATCCTTGATAGTATTTTGTACATTTTTAATGGCTGACTCCCCGTTGGCAGGTTAATCGACAGTAAAGATAAGACAGAGAGCCCTCTCACCTAGGAGAGTAATCGCATGCCTAAAGAAACAGGCATGTGTCTCATTCCTTTTCATTATAGATTTGTTGCTGTAGATTTCGAAAATCGAGTTGCAAAAACAGCTAAAAGCATTATTGACACACGTATAAAATACATCACTGTGGTATAACCATTTCTTGTTTGTTTCATTTTTTAGCCACCATCAAACATTGGTGTATACTTTCTTGTGCTTGGCAGTTTAATTTTCTGAAAGTAACAGAACAAATTTATATACTGGCTGATTATTATAAATAATATTTAATGTATCATGATAGAAGGTGGTAATGATCATATATAATGCATATGGAACTCATCTGTATTATATTTGTACATAATCCTGCCTCCCGTGACATCCTACTGCCACCGCGCCAACAAGTGTCATTCAACAGTGCGTGAGATGTAGGTCTTGTTCTATGTTTACAATTTACAATATTACTGATATAACTTTCATATTCAGATACAATTTTAAACTGATTATTTACAGCATCTAAGTAGAGGAAAGCCTTCGTTCTTGGTGAAATGATGTAACACATGGGATGCCTGTCATCGATCATGGAATCGTTCAACAGTGACGTACCCGTAAACATTGCATATCTACACCCTCAGGTGAGGAGTCAGTATGGTTTTACGCCGCTTTTAGCAATATTCCAGCAATATCACGGCGGGTGACACCAGAAATGGGCTTCACTCATTGTACCCATGTCGGGAATCGAACCCGGGTCTTCGGCGTGACGAGCGAACGCTTTAACCACCAGGCTACCCGACCGCGCCTACTGACTCAAAACCGACCAGTCCCTGTTTTCACCCCTTAATTTTCCGAGCGCCAGACAGGGTAACAACAAGTGCCATCTTTTAACGTCTTTTGGTATGACGCGGCAGGGGATCGAACCCCGGACCTTCCGCTCTCCGGGCGGAGGCTCTACCACTAGACCACGGATGCGGTCCTGAGAGCCCATGTGAAGTAGAAACTTACTATATGTCATTAGGCCTACTTTGTAAAATACATTGTTCGATGTTGATCATTATGCCCCGTGGTCAAACTAGTATTATTACGGCCTGGAGAAAAAATAACTCAATGGTGCAAAACAAAAATAAGTAATTGAGCGTAAAAATATGTGAACAATAAAGACATATAAAGTGACTAAACGAAGACACACTAATACGTGGTCTCCAAGTTTCAGAGATGTTGCTCTTGGCCAGCTGTGTCCTGATTGTGAGCTTCGCTGCTCCTTCGGAAGGAGGTGTTAACTGCGAACTTGCTGACCTTGAACGCCTCCTTCGGAGAATAGACTCTCAACTGCATATTGTCCAACTAGCTTCTTTACACGAATGTACGCCCTGTCATGGTAAGTCTTGACAAACATGCATGCATAATTAAATTATCTTTCTCCCTGTCTGTCCATTCGTTCATTCAATGTTTATTTATTTATCTGCATTACCAGCACACTGTAGTATAGCGTGTAACATACTACTACTTGCGATGATGACGATGATGATGATGATGATGATGAGGAGGAGGAGGAGGAGGAGGAGAAGGAGGAGGGCAACAGCATGCTACCCATAGTGATAATACTACTTTTACAGGCGCCGCGGAAAGGGCGCTATACATGTATATGATTTATAATTACTACTATTATCTAAATAAGAAATAATCATTCCCATAATCATAACTAATCTCTGATGAAAGTTTGCCAACTGTACGGTTCCGACAATATCATAAGTATGTGCTGATTATTATTACTACTGTTAGTCAATAGTGATGAGAATTACTACTAGAACTATTTAAACTATCATTGAGAGGATACGGAGGATGTATTGTTCATCTCCAGTCCCGGTTTAATGTAGTGCCATGTCTGAAACTCAGACATTGTCAAACATGCCGGAGTCTAGTCTACCTTTTACTTTCTTCCAATTTAGATCCCAAGTGTGACAAGCCCTGCATTGCCTCCATCGTAAAAGAGGATCTTGTGGCCGATGTAGAAGACCTTAACTTATCTCTCCGGGGCGTCATTGAAGAAAGCATTTCATGTGCAGGTAAGAAATACACTATCTGCTGAACAACACAAGATAGATATGTTAATGAAATTAAAAGGGCACGTGACCCATGATTCAATACAATATAAAGGTCACGTGACCCAAGATTCAATACAATTTAAAGGTCACGTTGCCTAGGTCCTATACAATTTAAAGGTCACGTGACCCAGCTACAATACAATGTAAAGGTCATGTGACCCTTGATTCAATGCAATTTAAAGGTCACGTGACCCAGACCCAATACAATTTAAAGGTCACGTGACCCAAGTCCAGTACAATGTAAAGGTCATGTTGCCCAGGTCAAACGCAATTTAAAGGTCACGTGACCTAGGTCCAATGCAATTTAAAGGTCACGTGACCAGCTCCAATACAATGTAAAGGTCACGTGACCCAGGTCCAATACAATTTAAAGGTCACGTGACCCAGGTCCAATACAATTTAAAGGGCACGTGGCCCAGCTCCAATACAATGTAAAGGTCATGTGGCCCAGGTCAAAAGCAAATTTAAAGGTCACGTGACCAAGCTCCAATACAGTTTAAAGGTCACGTGGCCCAGCTCCAATACAATGTAAAGGTCATGTGGCCCAGGTCAAATGCAATTTGAAGGTCATGTGGCCCAGGTCAAATGCAGTTTAAAGGTCACGTGACCCAGGTCCAATACAATTTAAAGGTCACGTGACCCATTTTCCCATACATAATACAAAATATGCGGGAGGTTACAGTTCTCCTCTTTGCAGGAAGACAAGAATAATAAATTTAGCAAAATAACAAAAGGCTGTCCTGTTTCTAGATGTAACCAATATTTGTAAATCCTCAATATGCTTATTGATATTAATGAAACACTATAGTTCTTAGCGAAGTCTACACACATAATCTTTGCATGCAGTCGATAACAACATCCAGGAGGTTACAGCGCATGCGTCGAGTAGGAACTTCACGTGCACCGCGTCAAATAACCTTTCTTACATACTCTAGAACATAAACAACAATCCCCCGCCCCCACCCCCTTCCACTCTCATCCCTTCTCAGCTCTATCAGCCAATAGCCAATACTCATCTCATTCTCTTCTCTATCAGCCAATGCCCATCCCCTTCTAACCTCTATCAGCCAATGCCCATCCCCTTCTCACCTCTATCAGCCAATGCCAATCCCCTTCTCTCCTCTATCAGCCAATGCCCATCCACTTCTCTCCTCTATCAGCCAATGCCCATCCCCTTCTCTCCTCTATCAGCCAATGCCCATCCCCTTCTAACCTCTATCAGCCAATGCCCATCCCCTTCTAACCTCTATCAGCCAATGCCCATCCCCTTCTAACCTCTATCAGCCAATGCCCATCCCCTTCTCTCCTCTATCAGCCAATGCCCATCCCCTTCTCTCCTCTATCAGCCAATGCCCATCCCCTTCTCTCCTCTATCAGCCAATGCCCATCCCCTTCTAACCTCTATCAGCCAATGCTCATCCCCTTCTAACCTCTATCAGCCAATGCCCATCCCCTTCTCACCTCTATCAGCCAATGCCCATCCCCTTCTCACCTCTATCAGCCAATGCCCATCCCCTTCTCACCTCTATCAGCCAATGCCCATTCCCTTCTCTCCTCTATCAGCCAATGCCCATCCCCTTCTAACCTCTATCAGCCAATGCCCATTCCCTTCTCACCTCTATCAGCCAATGCCCATCCCCTTCTCTCCTCTATCAGCCAATGCCCATCCCCTTCTCTCCTCTATCAGCCAATGCCCATCCCCTTCTCACCTCTATCAGCCAATGCCCATCCCCTTCTCTCCTCTATCAGCCAATGCCCATCCCCTTCTCTCCTCTATCAGCCAATGCCCATCCCCTTCTAACCTCTATCAGCCAATGCCCATCCCCTTCTCACCTCTATCAGCCAATGCCCATCCCCTTCTCACCTCTATCAGCCAATGCCCATCCCCTTCTCACCTCTATCAGCCAATGCCCATTCCCTTCTCTCCTCTATCAGCCAATGCCCATCCCCTTCTAACCTCTATCAGCCAATGCCCATTCCCTTCTCACCTCTATCAGCCAATGCCCATCCCCTTCTCTCCTCTATCAGCCAATGCCCATCCCCTTCTCTCCTCTATCAGCCAATGCCCATCCCCTTCTAACCTCTATCAGCCAATGCCCATCCCCTTCTCACCTCTATCAGCCAATGCCCATCCCCTTCTAACCTCTATCAGCCAATGCCCATCCCCTTCTCACCTCTATCAGCCAATGCTCATCCCCTTCTCACCTCTATCAGCCAATGCCCATCCCCTTTTCACCTCTATCAGCCAATGCCCATCCCCTTCTCACCTCTATCAGCCAATGCCCATCCCCTTCTCACCTCTATCAGCCAATGCTCATCCCCTTCTCACCTCTATCAGCCAATGCCCATCCCCTTTTCACCTCTATCAGCCAATGCCAATCCCCTTCTCACCTCTATCAGCCAATGCCCTAGACACAATGCGACCCACTGAGTGCTTTATTACCTTGACACCCTCCCAGGGAAAGGTGAAGGTTATTGAGATATTTGGCAGTATTTCTCAGGTAATCTGAGTAGTTCTGCCACTAAAAATACCTGTAATAACGTCATTAACTGAGCATCAAGTGAATGACGACAAATACACAGGTGGGTGGTTACACCAAGAAACATGTATGACAAGAAGGGAGTAGTAATGGTTGATATATATGCAATTTGCATGAAAAATAAGGGTCGATGCTGTTGAGTACATGAACTGATTTAATTGATACAAACCATATCCATACACATATTGTCTGTATACTAAACTAAATAACTGTACATACACAGTTACGCAAGCAGGTGAATTTGCAAGGTGAAAGGTTATAGTAAGCATCATCCAAATGCAAAGAAGCCCAGTTTGTTGGGTCGCTGGCGCGAACTGGCTGAAAGTTGAAGTGTTGTTAAGTCCTTCTAGTGCACAACTTCCCAAGGCAAGGCAGTTAACTGAAGTCCAGTTTCCACCATTTTCCCGAGGCCAGGGAGGTAACTGATTTATAAAAGTCCAGTTTCAATCCTCGCCGAACTAGGGTGGAATTATGGAGTTATATTTTGTCTGGATTAACGAGTCTCTGCATAGCCCAATCAAAATCGTGTATCGAAATCGACATCCGGTTCGTAAACCGCCGTGCTGATTGCGGTCGATTGCAGGATTTGCAAAACGTGTACCGCCAACTCGGCGTCAGCAGAATTTTTCCAAACCTTTTATTGTTTTTTAATCAAGGTGCTCACTTGATTTGATGCACTTTGCGAAGTAAGACATATTTATTCACCATATAGATTTTGATGATCGATCAGATCGTTTTGACTGGGCGCCGCCATTTTATTTGAAGCAAATGCAATTGCACACTCCGGCGCATGCCGGTACTGAGACGCCTGTAACATCACGTATATTTCAAACTCAGCTGTGATACATACATCCTTGAGTTACTCATACATTTTAGAATCAAATGACAAATGATCTTCGTAACTTTAAAAAGTGTTTAGATGAAAACATGCAATATAAATCAGGTGTGAAAACAAACGCCGCGGTCGGAAAACTGCACTTGTTTGAAATGGCCACGAGAGGGGCACGAGTCGCTATTCGGATTGTCCCGGAATAACACGAGTTGGTCACGAATGAGGGGCACGAGTCGCTATTCGGCTTGTCCCGGAATAACACGAGTTGGTCACGAATGACTTGCACGAGTCGCTATTCGGCTAGTCCCGGAGCAACACGAGTTGGTCACGAATGGGGAAGATGTCTTGTGCTGTACGTTATATAGAATGATCTGTAAAAAATACTACAAATGATTTTCTTCAACACCTAGTCGACAAATCCTTGACAAAACCTATGAATTCAACATTTTCAGAATTAACGTTTTAGGGGTGGTGGTGGGGTGTGTTTCAAAACTTAAGGAAGTAATGTTTAATCCGTAATCGAAATTTTCAACGGGTCCCTTAGCCGCCAGATGCTGAGAGATTCCAGCAAAACGGTTCAAATTAAGTATCACGCTATTTTGTTTGTTTGTTCCCCGACATTGGTACAATGTGTGAAGCCCATTTCTGGTGTCCCCCGCCGTGATATTGCTGGAATATTGCTAAAAGCGGCGTAAAACCATACTCACTCACTTTCTTGTACAAATTGCACTTTGCCAACTTCATTTGTTTCACTTTTACAGAAGGCGCGACCGTCTTCATCTCTGACTGTCAGGTTTCCACAGTTTGGCGATTCAACCCCAATGAAGTTCCCCAGACCCTGCATCGAAACCGTCGTTCAACCTTGGAAACTGCAGAACTTAGTACAATATCATTTCCGACTCCAATCAGGGAATTCGTCATTGACGCAAATCTTGCCACTGTTACGTTTGATTACTTTGTTGCCAGTCCATTTCAGATGTTCTGTGCAAATTTAGACGGACAAAACTCGAGGCTGGTTGCTGATGCATCGGGTAACTAGAATTATATTTGACGTAATCTATATCATATTAAAAGACCCAGTGGTATTGGTTGTAGCAGTGGTGGTCGTTGTTGTAGTGGTAGCAGCAGCAGTAGTAGTAGTAGTAGTAGTAGTAGTAGTAGTAGTACTAGTAGTAGTTGTAGTAGTGGGAATAGTAGTTGTAGTAGTAGTAGTGGGAAAAGTAGTAGTAGTTTGTTTGTTTGTTTGTTTGTTTGTTGCTTAACGCTGCACTCAGCAATATTCCAGTTATATGACGGCGGTCTGTAAATAATCGAGTCTAGACCAGACAATCCTGTGATTGATATCATGAGCATCGATCCACGCAGTTGGGAAATGATGACATGAATCAACCAAGTCAGCGAGCCTGACCACCCGATCCGGTTCGTCGCCTCTTAAGACCGCCTCCGTGGTCTTGTGGAAGACCGTCCGCCCGGAGCGCGGAAGGTACGGGGTTCGATCACCGGCCGCGTCATACCGTTAAAAGATGGTACTTGTTGTTACCCTGTCTGGCGCTCGGCATTAAGGGTCTAAAACAAGGACTGGTCGGCTCGGAGTCTGAGTGGGGTATTCATGTTAAACTGCGACATGGTATCTCAGTGAGCTAGCACTATAAATCGGCATCAGTCCGGACTAGTACAAGCAGCCACACACACACGTGCATGCACGTCGCTATATAAGTGCAATAATCTTGGACGCGACGTTCAACCCAATTTCACCTCACCTAGTCGCCTCTCACGACAAGCATGGGTTGCTGAAGACCTATTCAACCTCGGATCTTCACGGGTCAGTCGTAGTCGAAGTAGTAGTAGTAGTAGTAGTAGTAGACCTAGTCTAACCCGGATCTTCACGGGTCAGTAGTAGTAGTAGTGTTGTACATGTAGTTGTTGCAACGACGGTTGTATGGTAGTAATCGTAGTAGCTGCGATAGTACATGTAGTATTCACTCAATCATAATATTATTATCGCTTAAAACACGTGATGTTACAGTGTCAACTCTCATATAACATTCATAATGTTTGTTTGTAGATTTTCTGTCACCGACTTTTGTGGTCCCTGGTATCGCGTATTATGAGGCCGGCGACGAACTAATCGTCCCTGTTCTCTACCCCGATCCAACAATAACAAACCAAATCATGGCATTCAACAGAATGGACTCTGCGATGCGCGTAATAGCTCCCTTCACTGGAACTCCTGGAAAGATCGTCGTTAATGAAGGGTGAGCCAGAACTCAGCGACTGAGAGAGTAACTTTCCTTTTGGTCGATTTAATTTGGCAGACATGTCACCATGACAACGGCGTGTATGATTGTTCATGCAGTCAACCACAGGTTTGCCTGACCCAGAGATTTATCATTAATAGGTTGTCGTGGCACCAATGGAATACTGCCACAACCTGCCCCCGCCATCCAAACAAGTAACTCTTCTTCTTATGATATATACCATCTTCCCGAGACAAGGGGTTAACTGACTTTAAAAGTCCAGTTTCCACGTGTTTACAGTCAGTTAACTCCCTTGCCTCAGGAAGATGATATATACCTCCGACCAAAAATGAGGGAGAAGCTATGAAAATGGAGCTATCGTTGAGGTGTACCTTTTCATCTCAACATAACATCTGATCAATGAAACCTCACAACATGCATGAACACGTGCACACAGAAGCCAAAGTTTGTGGGCCTTTTGGGGAACTCACAATCACTAATGCAATTGAGCTAAGCGCACGCTTAAAAACGTGTGTGTGTGTGTGTGGGGGGGGGGGGGGGGGGGGGTGTATTTTTCGACTTAGGGATAAGTACCGTTTAAAAGCCCCGCCTGAAAGCAAGACGTCTTGTGAAAGGTATGACCCGAACAGCTTACCATGGGCGGCAAAGATTGGGGTGGGCGAGGCAGCCCCAGGGAGGGGCTGTGCGCCAATGGTCATACACCATGTTTACAGGCGAATCAAGGCTTTGCCTCCGATTCACAGATTTTTTGGCGACGGAGCGGCGAGTCGTATGTCAGGCCAACAACCCTTGACCATGCATGATCGGTATTGGGGCGGTTGTGTCATGGTGGTGGGCGGTATCACCGCTGTCATATAGCTGGAATATTGCTGAGTGCGGCGTTAAACGACAAACAAACAAACAAACAAACCATTGGATATGCATAATAATCTGAAGCGCGTTCAAAGTGTGCCCAGCATCTTTCTTTTTTTCTTTTTTGTTTATTTGTGTTGACTGTTTAGGTACCCTATACCTAGTCATCTTTGATTTTATTCAGTCAGATCCATTGTGCTAGTAATTGATGGGGCGGTCGGGTAGCCTAGTGGTTAAAGCGTTCGCTCGTCACGCCGAAAACCCGGGTTCGATTCCCGACATGGGTACAATGTGTGAAGCCCACTTCTGGTGTCCCCCGCCGTGATATTGCTGTAATATTGCTAAAAGCGGCGTAAACCCATACTCAATCAATCAGTAATTGATGATAGCCGTAGAAGCACGCCTTATTTATTTACGATTATTATGTATTTTGTGTTTATTAATGCCTTGGCGAGAGCCTTTCTGCCTTGTTGGACGGTAGTATCATACGTTTGTTGGTGAAGTCACAGCAGAAACTACTTGTAGTTGTTGGAGTTTCACATCCATCACTGATAATGTTTCAGAACAGTGTATTTGGTAACCGGCATGGAGATCGGGGTAGTAGATGCCTCTGCTTCAGGTGGAATCCTGTTCACATTCCTGACCCACACTGGAGGCGACATAAAGGCGTTCGACGTACTCCCCGGGGGTGAGGCTACGATAGCAGGACCATCTGACCTTAGACTGTCATTGATTAGAAATGTCAGCGTCGATATATCGACGGAAATATATATTGGTATATGGATACACTGATTAATGATCGCTCAATGAAGCCTGACAGACCTATCGAATACGCAACAATAAATGTCGTATGTAGTTACATCATCGTCTCCCAAGTGCGTCGATCGATGCTCATGATGTCAATCACTGTCTGGTCCAGATTCGATTATTTACAGACCGCCGTCATACAGCTGGAATATTGCTGAGTGCAGCGTTAAACAACAAACAAACAAACACACATCATATCCGAACGACCACAATTCAACTATGGAATACTAGAAGGGACATTGTCGCGTTGTTGCATTGTCGCCCTTTAATTAATAACACAAATAGTATTCAAAGCGCGATAATGCGAGAAAGGGTCAAAATGTCCCGCTTTGGTTATTTTTTGACACGTGTTGCTGGTTTTTGTAAGGGCGACAATGCGACAATATCACTTCTAGGATTCCATACTCAAAGGATCAGTTCCGGTGATTTTGCCTTCTTTACGGGTTCCGAGAACGTGTCCCCGCAGTAACTACGTTTGAGTCTGAGTCGTGAGCTGGTTGACTGTGAGTGAGATAGATAGATGGGTTTAACGCCGCTTTAAAGAGTATTTCTGTTATCGAAGTGATGCGCGTCCTATCACTTTGGTGAAACGCACGGGCACGGGTATGGTACTGACACACGTAGAAACATGACTGCCAACTTAGCTAAAGCACGGATCTCGGTTGTAGCAACCTTTTCTATATTCTGACCTGACACGCTGAACACCATCCATGCTCCTAAAGATGCATATATTGAGGTTACATATCTTTTCAGCTACAGCTAGAAAACCAGATACAGATACTGTATCTTTCTTTTTAAATCTATGATCCTGACTTTTTAAAAAGAAAAGCACCTTGCAAACACCAAAACCCCATTCCCAACACACACACACACACACACACACACGCACGCACGCACGCACGCGCGCGCGCACACACACACGCACACCTTTCGAATATATGGTCGGTCCCTAGCTGTCCATGGTTGTTTTGAGAGGCGACAAAATGGATCGGGCGGTAAGACTTGGTGACTTGGTGGAATGGGCGTATCATAGGACCCCGATCGGTGCTCATAATGTCTGACACTGGCTTCTCTGGTCAAGATTCGATTACATAAAGACCTCTGCGATATAGATTGACTTTTACTTGGTTCAGCGTTAAACAACAAAGACATGTCCGTTTGTGTCGTCTGCACAGAATACTATGTCATTATTAACAGGAGACGTCTTTGATCTCTCCTTTGCCGTGTTAGTAAGTCCACATGGCCCCAGTATGGTGGTCTACCTTCAGTGGCTGGCGATCTATAGCTCGTTTGTATCCTGCATTGTTACATATGGTGATATATGTTTATAGTTCTATACTAGTTTTAAATGAAATCTGCGATAAGTCCAGTTATTTTACTGTCCTCCGACGACAGGGTTTTTAATACAGTCTCAATATATCTATTTTGAATTTCATCAGTACTTTCGCTCGTCTCGATATGGCTCAAATATTGGCGAGATGACGTTAAATTTTAACTCACCCACTTTGCTATGTTAGAACTTATCTCACTAACTGCAGGTACAATACTATTCATGGATGAACCTGGACAGCTATTCTCCTTTGACCCGAGCTCAACGGAAATTACGCACTTGCACACAAGCCCCATTGGTGCTGGGGGAGCGGCCATCGACATCGAGTTCAACGAATGTGACGAACTCGTATACATTGTATACAGGAGTAATGAGTGAGTCATGTCCTTTTGATTTCAAATCAGACACTATCGTCAACTCCTTTGTCCGGGTATATGCCATATGTGTCTTCCAAGCGGGGATACATATTTTTGGTCAAGGAGAAGATGTAGCACCAGAATGTGTAGGTGTTGTGCTTTCTGCGTTTTCGCTTCTAACAGGCATCTCCTTACTAATGTCGCGTATGTTTTAAGTGACAGTGTCAAACCTGCCATTCTCAAATGATAACTAATAAATGATGATTCTTTATACACTTGGTGAAGCGTCACACTACAACAGCAATATCTATGAGGCCACAGACTTATCGATTATCTCTTACACACAGAGGTATGTGTGCAGAATCTTTTACGGTGGCCCATTTCCGCCACTGGTGAGATCATTTTTCACTGTATGCCTCTATATTTGATCTGGCGGCCGCCAGATACTTCCACTGGTGAGATCATTTCCCCCTGTTAACCTCTATATTTGATCTCACCAGTGGAGTGTGAGTGAGTGAGTTGGGTTTAACGCCGCTTTTAACAGTATTCCAGTTATATCACGGCGTGTCAGCTTAATGTGGGAGGAAAGCCCGAAGTGATGCAGGTCTCAGACGTTTACCACTTCGGTGAAACCCACGATCAAAGGGTATGGTGCTGACAAGCCTAGAAACATAATCGGGGCGAATCGGGATTCGAACCCACAATCATAGGTTTCTGGCGTGGCCAAGGGACGCAACTCTGCACAGCGAATCGCGGCGCCTTAGACGACTGGGCCACCCGTGCCCCCTCTCACCAGTGGAAGTATCTGGCGGACGCCAGATAAAATGTAGAGGCATACAGTGAAAAATGATCTCACCAGTGACGGGTATGGGCCACCGTAGATATTTAACTGTCACTAGTTCTATCATTAAACATATGTCACGTGGAACACACATCCTTGTAAGATGCATTGTCAGCAAAACGCGTATCCTGATACATACGAAGATCAAATTGCGATCTTGGACAAAGCCTTTAGTTGATCTTTTAATATTTTCTTTACCAAGTTACAGACGTTAATTTCTAGGACAAAATATTATCATATTGCATAATGGTTTTCTTGAATTGTGAATGTGTGATCTTTTCAGCCGAATCGAATTGTTCGAGGTCGACGGTACGTTAGTGAAGACCCTGAGAAACCCCGGTGGAAGCTTAGTGTGTCCGTCCATTGGCTTCGTCCCGCCGCCGCCGCAAACAGTGGACCTTTAATAAAGACAGCTAGTGCCACTGTTAATAAAGGATTATGCAAAGTATTTTCCCTATAATTTGTTAAACAATATAACAGTTAGTATTCCCCCTTTTTACAGTTTCCACTGCTTAGATGGTGCCAGTCTTATTCACAATATCCAGAGCATCGTAATCTGACGCAGGCCTCACGTGAGCTTCCTTCTCTCGATCACGTCTGACCAAAGAATTTTCTTGAGAGAGTGTTTACTTTAGATTTGTGGCTGTTCCGTGCGTGAGTGAGTGCGTGCGTGCGTGCGTGCGTGCGAGCGAGCGAGCGAGCGAGTGAGTGAGTGAGTGAGTGAGTGAGTGAGTGAGTTTGATTTGCAATTCTAACAAAATCACAGCGAGAGACATCAGGGAACCCGGCTCTTCGACGTGATGAGCAAACCCTTAAACCACTTGCCGGGGCGGTCGGGTAGCCTAGTGGTTAAAGCGTTCGCTCGTCACGCCGAAGACCCGGGTTCGATTCCCACCATGGGTACAATGTGTGAAGCCCATTTCTGGTGTCCCCCGTCGTGATATTGCTGTAATATTGCTAAAAGCGGCGTAAAACCATACTCACTCACTCACTTGCCTACCCAACCGTCCTTGCATTCTCTGCCATTAGGTCAACGAAATTTCTTTATACTGGACCCGAAAATAAACATGTTTATTGGCTCGAAAAGAAAACTTTTGCGACCGCACAGTTTTAAACAGATGTCCATCAAGAGTGTTATATACTCAAAACCAAAAGGTATGCTTTCCAACTGACGCTATTTCGTTCTGTTACATGGTGTCTGGTATGTTTGAATAGTGTTTCACGAAGAATTAATCAGTTTTAGGACCAAGAACAATGAATTTCACATACATCGCTTGTGTTTTTTTAATTTTTGACCAATTGTTGATATATCCGTGGTGGATGAAATCTTTCCTATGCTAATCATTTGGTTATGAGCATTGATCGCTGCCCTGGTGATCTATATGTGGAGACCTAATGTGGCCGCGATTCCAGGAACAGACAATCTCAATAAAATCGTTTTTCGATTTTGTGAAAACAACGTTGTCCGCATGCTTGGAGTTCCATACTATACAATCGCCTAGTTCCTATACTGTTTTCAATTTCAAGCGTGACATTCTGGTGATCGACGTTACTTAACACCGTCGATACGATAATTCTGAAGAGACGAAGATTTTATGAGCGTTTCTTCTGGTTGAGGGACATTCATGAACCGTTGATGATGAATTCTTTCATGAACAAGCCTGATCATGTTGATAGATATTTCCCACGGTCATCCATTCGTGTTGCAACATGCCAGTTTCCCTTAGCATACAACCGCGACCGATGAATTAGTCCCGGAATAATATACACAATGTATTGACAGAGTGGAGGATTGGAAATTGGCTATCATAGTTCAGGGGAGGTAACTCCAACTTGAAGCAGATTTAGCAGTCGGCCTCAGTCAAGGCTACATGTTTATTTTCTTCATGGGACTGGATTTCTTAGAGGGATGAGTGTAGGGAGATCTTGTTATTGGATGATATAACAAGTCTGAGGGCACAGTATTTTGTTAAGTGCATAATGTGAATTGCAAGATTCAAACATAATTGTTTATATACGTGTTTAGTCTTTATAAACATCAATAATGTGCTGCACGGATCTTTACTCATGCTGTCGACCTCCAGTTTGCCTGCCCAAAACTCATGTCTAGTTTTATCCGTCAAAGTATTTGTTATAAACACGTTAATGATACTGTCATTAATGCAATATTAAAACATATATAACGTAAAAGCATTATGAATGCAAATTTCACGATTTATGTAAAGAAAGCTGTTTTCAGACCACGTTTTGGTAAAGTCTGGAACGTATTGTGCTCACGCATTTGTAAACGAAAAGCTTGAAAGGATCATCTAATTCGTGGAAAAAAACTTTCTCTTCTCAAATGATGGGATTACCTTTGTCAAGAAGGCTGCCATATAAAGTCAAACGCACGCACGCACGCACGCACGCACACACATTTATACGCGTATATACTGACTAAGATTTCACTTTAATTGTCACTGATCTACTTAGCCTTTCATACGTCAGACATAACGGTTTATTCAAATATGTTCCCTTCCATCCTCTTGTTCAGTGAGTGAGTGAGTGAGTATGGTTTTATGCCGCTTTTAGCAATTGCACGGCGGGGGACACCAGAAATGGGCTTCACACATTGTACCCATGTCGGGAATCGAACCCGGGTTTTCGGCGTGACGATCGAACGCTTTAACCACTAGGCAACCCGACCTGCCTCCTCTTGTTCAGCAACAGGTGGTGAAAGAGGGCTGTTTTAAATGGTCCACTAAAGAGTTTTATTTTATGATGTCATGCAATTAGAAGATATCTTTAAACAGGTTCATTGCCATGTTGTATCACTACTCTTGGAGGTTTTGCATCATTAACTCACGATATAGTACGTCTTATTTTGTCAGTGTTTGGATATAGAGGATCACCTTTCAGCGATCTTCGAATTTCTATTTCAATATTGGATGTTAAATAATTAAAGTTTTAGAATGTTATCTCCACGTTTAGTTGCAAAATGTGTCAGGATGTGATGTAGCATCCCACACATTGTCCAGTAGGTGTCCTTTGTGGGAAATTGAGACGTACACGTAGATTGCTCTAAAACCATTAACTTGAGTAAGCATTAAAGTGTTGTTGAATGCCTGATTCCTAATTAGCAATTCCTGAATGCCAGTTTTGCAGCTGACCTTAATCTGGTACCTCCGATTGAAGCATGTTACGACAATCACGATGTGACATGAATGTTCGTTTTTCACCACCACATCTAAATCTGAAATTGTAATAATGAAGCGGAAGAGTCTACATCCTACGTTGGCCTTAAGATTATTGATTTGTTTTACAGTGGAAAATGCCATGATCTGGTACATAAAAATCAAGTCCATTTGAGTCCATTTGACTGTACCGACCATATCATAAGCATGTGTTTATGAATCACATTACCTTGAATTGTTTAACCCTGATCGACACGTATTGAGCAAGTGTCGTTTGCAAAATTCTTCGATTCACTGGTTGCTCTTATGTCTAGTTCAGGGCCCCGTTCCACAGAGCGATCTTAGAGCTAAGTTGATCTTACCTCCCAGGCTTGCAATAGTCGAAGCGCTAAGATCGCTTTGTGGACAGGCCCCTGTTGGGTAATTCAGTTGAAGGTAAATGTCTATTTGACCATTGTTGAGGGATATCAGATCATCGATATACCTGAAGCATAAGTTAAACTTCTTGGTAAAAAGTCCTTTGTTTTGATTTTGTCAATCTGATTAGAAATTACTACTCGTATTCTATCAAGAAATAGACCAGTATTAAGGGGAGCACAACTGGTGCCCATGGGGATGCATTCATCTTGCCTTAATGTCCTATCCCCATATTTCCCATCAGTGTTATCTAGGAGGAAGTCCAGCATCTCACACATTGTTTTCTCAGTAAACCTCAGATGACATTTCCTTCACTTTTGACAAAGTGTCCTTCATTGATCATATTAAGGATAATGGTTAATTTTTAAACCGGGATTTGGTGGTACATTTGAAATGTATATTGTACGGCGTTTTATGGAGCTTTGGAATCCAGTACGAAAGAGGTATTGATATGTTTAGAGCCAAGACAGAAGTTAATAGTACTGATGCATAGTTTGGGGAGATGTCTTCTCAGATCACCTATACGTGACATAAGTTGATTTGTCACTTATAACAACTTCTTTGATCAAACAATTAATGTAGTAATGTGTAAACAAATAAAATGTTATTTGATATGCAGAGAATCTCACCCTCCTGTCTTCCGAGCATGTAAGACACGATGGTGAGATTCTATTTATCATCCAAAATCATTATTCAAACTTTTTCTGTTTGAAATATAAGATAGATACGCTATAAATAAAAAAGAACAACGAAGAAGGAAGCGTGGTTTATTTCACGTTAAATCATTGTTCTATCATCACGACATTTATGGAGATTCGAATATGCGCTCGCAACTTGACGGCGTCATATATTGGACGACGTTATTTTTGAAAGGGAAGTGTCTAGTAAGTTGTTCCCCATGGATGAAGCTGGGCTATGCAGATAAAAGCAGTGGTCGAACGATCGCATCCAAAAGCGGTAGAGATATGACAATCGGTATTAGGAGAAAAGATACAGGTAAATGATGTGAGGATTGTGAGTATATGCGGGAAATACCAAATTTTATCCACCTGTTCGTAAAATGTACTTGTCCGACATTTCCTAGGTCGGATTCTATTTATGGAGTCATCATTAATAAAATTTGGTAAATATTTGTAGAGCTTGGACATTTTATCAACATCCTTAAAGAGACTGTACATATTGTTGATACCTCATACAAGAAATATACGACTCGTGGTTTTTGTTTATCGTACAATAAAACACTGCAGGGAGAATACACTACTCGGGGCTACGCCCCTCATGGTTTATTCTCCCTGCAGTGTTTTATTGTATGATAAACAATTCCCACTCAGGGATTATAAACGGTCATGCCCCTGTCCAGTATAAAATCGGCTCAATACCATATGTTAAGAATCGGCTACTTATTAACTGTATAAAACATATAAAACAATTTCAGTTAGCGGGCAAAGTGGTTTTTTGAATGACTCAAGTAAACCAGCTAGAACTGGCCTTTAGATTGAGTCACTCTTTCACCCCACTCTCCTACCCAGAGTTCCATGCGGCCGGCAGCCAGCTAGCATAGTACCTCTGCCACAGGCCAGCGCCATGTGACGATTCGTCACATCTTTCACAGTCCATTCAAGATATTGCATATGCTTTTCATCCGTTTCATGTTTGACAAGTCTACACATTTTCATAAACAAATGTCAAAGAATGGTTAACTTTCATTGAGAAAGTATGCAAATACGTAAAAATCTACTTGTTTTTGCGTAGTTATCCTATGTTTACATTGGTTGTACGGCTCCACGTGCTGTCATCGAAGCCCAACGGAGAGCTAGCGACACGGTCACTTTGATGCATAAATATATATTGTCATGCAACTCACTGTCGCAGTTGTAGTAGCATATCTATATAGTTATGCAAAACAATATGTAAAGCGCCCCCAAATACTTGCATTAGTCCGTTCTATACTGATTTCTGAAAAAGCGCGTTTGTTTACAAACAAGAGAAAAGTCCGGTCACGTGATATGCAAATTAGCCTGTGGCAGTGGTGTTATGCTGAGTCACCACTGCGACGGAGTGTGTCTTTCACCCCTGACACTCTTCCGTCTTTTCATTTGGTTATCTCCCCTTCCTCATGGTCATCGTCGCTTTTGTCAGTGTATGTGTCTCCAGATTCTCCAGTTCTGCTGCATTTGGCGTCATCCGTTATTTGGCACCGGTGTATAATCGACATCGGATAAAGCGATTATTCCACAAGTGCCAAATGAATGTGGACACCGTATATTTCAACATGGAGGTGGAGCTGCTTGGTCGTCCATCCTGAAACAAATGCAGCATAGTACAGCAATGGCATGAGCATTAATTATAGTGTTAAGTTTGAATATTAGGGCCATACTTTTTTTTAGAAAAATATCACAGTGCTCCTAAAATAGTTGAATGGTTGGAGGTTATATCAAGCTAATATCTTGCAAACACTGTCCGTTCGGTCGTGAACCAGACTGAAACATATGCCATTAGGTTAACCACTAACCATGCTTTTAAACGTTTGGGGAATTCAACTTTAAATAATCTGTGAGGATGGACCAGTATATAGATTCGTGCTCAACCTACACTGCCCTGCCAGCATGGATCAATGCAAATATTAATCTTTTTCCCAATAGTGAGTGAGTGAGTTGGTTTTAACGTTGTTTTTAACAGGATTCCCGTTATATCACGGCGTGTCAGCTTAATGTGGGAGGAAAGCCCTAAGTGATGCAGGTCTCACGAGTATGTTGCTGATAAACCTAGAAACATTATCGGGGCGAACCGGGATTCGAACCCACAATCATAGGTTTCTGGCGTGCCCAAGGGATGCAACTCTGCACAGCGAATCGCGGCGCCTTAGACGACTGGGCCTAGAGAAATAGAGGATATTATATAAGTGAATATAATGTTCTATATTGCCGAAGAAGATGTCAACACACAGAAACGAATTTTAGTGTTTACCTATTGAGGACAGCAAGTCGCAACAGTAGCGGAACCATATATTTGTCGAATGATGTCAACAATCTGACGTCGTTTCGTCTGACGTCATTCTGACCTCACGTCATAATAAGATTCGAATTACGTGTCTGTTGTCTGTTGTCTCGTGATGTTAAATGACCCTTAGACACATATGATTTTTATGATAAGTTTGCCCTCGTAGGTAATAATAACAGACATTGTTGTATTAAGTCACAATGAGGTGTTGGTAATGGTGGAGCTTTTCATCAAAAGAGAGACAAAGTAAACAATACCTCAACTTCCATACTACTCTGGTTCATACACATAGCAAAGTTCTGTTCGTTATCCGGTCCAAAACACATGACTTTATCAACAAAAGGCCCACTTATTTAACAGACTAATTAACAATGTTGATAATAATGTACATATGAACAGTATGAATGATAAGTACTTGAAACTTTGACAGTGTTTCATATATCGGATGGTGTTTGACCAATAATTATATGTATTCATTTGTGTCTACCAATAGCCCAAATCACCACTCTTTCACAGGACTAGTGACCACTGCTTTCAACCCCTGTCCCATCGCGATGGAGATTGGGCAGGGCAGTCTAACTGAAGCGAATTTGTCAAAAGGACCAATCAGGAAACATGACATACTGTTAAGCTCAGGTGATTCGATGCAATGGTGATGCGCATAAACAACAGCCATATGAAGACTATGGGTTTCAAGCTTAAATATGTACAGTAAACTACGGTTATAACGAACTCAAAGGGACTACTAATTTTAGTTCGTTATAACCGTAGTTCGTTATAAGCATATATACAGCATAACTACAGCAAATAGTCGGGACCAAAAAGTAAGTTCGTTATATCCGTCAGTTCGTTATAAGCGTGTTCGTTATAACCGTAGTTTACTGTATGTCCCAAAGGAAAGTCATCATGCAGAAGGTCTGGTATTAAGCGTGTGAAACACATGCTTCGCGGCGGTCGGATGATGTTCATTTTTCCAAGAGCACATACGAATCTTCTACATTTCCAACATTGAAATTGGATTCCATAACATTTAACTGAATAACATTAATTCGATATTTTTGTGATTACATCTGAATATCACAGTGCAAAAGCAATGCACCTCAACTCTTTACATGCAGATGTTAGTTAATGGCGTGTGTAAAACTCCATCTTGTTTTAATCCATTTTTCAATATCGTTTTACAGGTCTGTTTTTCTTTTGATAAACAACGCCATATTGATATGTGTCAGTTCCATTTCGTTATGATCGTTAGGGTTCGTTATGATGCCATGTACACAATATGAAATCGAAACACAGCACGTCAGTAACCATTATGAAAGGGCACTGGCTCGTGACATGTTGGTCGTGGACGGCAACTATGCAAGGTAGCAATGACAGGTGCTAGAGGTGAGGACACTTGTGTAGAAATCATAATTATAAAATTATAAGTGAGCGAGTTTGTTTTTTCTTCTATAACGTCACACTCCACTATAATGCAGCTATATGGCGGCGACCAGTAATCGAGTCTTGACCAGACAAACCACTTATTTTATTATTTGCAACGTCCCTCGGCGTATGGTTACCATGACACGCAATCAAGCCTGACCAACCGATCCATATAGTCGTCTGTTACAACAAGCAGAGTTGCTGGAGACTAATATTTATCCAGAATACCCACGTGGCTAGTTCTCTTTGAAAAGCTTGATAATGGGACGAAAGCCCGAAGCACGGCAGGTCTTAGACATCTACCCCTTTGGTATAACCGACGAGCACACTATCCGGGAGAAACCAACAGTTCCTGACACAAGTAAGGGACGCAACTCTACACAGTGAATTGCGATCCTTTAGACTACTGGATTTTTGCGACGTTGTTATATGAAGTATCGATGTAGACGGATAAGGATATGGTGTGTAAAGAGTATTGTTAGCTCTCAGTATAGATCTGAATATTATTTCAATTTCATGGAAATACTCGCAGATAAAATATCCCCTACCGAATAAAAATCCCGCCCTTATCCCTGGATGCAGCCATTTCTTTTTCATTTCTGTGTTTAAGAACGGCGAGAAACTTGACCTTGCAAAGCATTAATGAAACGATGATCACACGTGGAAAGATACAATGTTTTATCTGAAAACTGGTGATGTAAACATATACCAGTAAATAATGTCGCCATCAACTGATAATAGGGATAGGTATGAATAAGAGAACACATTTAATCTATAGGTAAACATGTACAAGGATGTAACATGGAAATCAATGGATGGATAACAGTGTTCTCGATCTGAAATGTTTATCACAAAACGTTGTGGAACCTCATCTCACACTCCATCACATGAACGATCCCATAGCTTCATCACCCTAACTTCTTTAAGTGGCATTAAGAAGTTGGTATGATGAACAAGGTAGACAGTTGTATGGATGCACAACATCTATATTTAACTGAACGTCACGTTTCGGGGTAGGTGCTATCATGGTTATCAAGCAAACGATCTCCTGACTACACACCTGACATTACATCACATAAACGATCCACAATGGATTCGTACCTCACATTCAATCACATACTCGGTCTCCTAACTTCACCACACCTGACATTACATCACATGAACGATCTTCTAACCACAATGGAGTCGCACCTCACATTCAATCACATATTCGGTCTCCTAACTTCACCACACCTGACATTCCATCACATGAACGATCTCCTGACTACACACCTGACATTCCATCACATGAACGATCTCCTGACTACACACCTGACATTCCATCACATGAACGATCTCCTGACTACACACCTGACATTCCATCACATGAACGATCTCCTGACTACACACCTGACATTCCATCACATGAACGATCTCCTGACTACACACCTGACATTCCATCACATGAACGATCTCCTGACTACACACCTGACATTCCATCACATGAACGATCTCCTGACAACACACCTGACATTCCATCACATACTCGGTCTCCTGACTACACACATGACATTCCATCACATGAACGATCTCCTGACTACACACCTGACATTCCATCACATGAACGATCTCCTGACTACACACCTGACATTCCATCACATGAACGATCTCCTAACTACACACCTGACATTCCATCACATGAACGATCTCCTGACTACACACCTGACATTCCATCACATGAACGATCTCCTGACAACACACCTGACATTCCATCACATACTCGGTCTCCTGACTACACACATGACATTACATCACATGAACGATCTCCTGACTACACACCTGACATTCCATCACATGAACGATCTCCTGACTACACACCTGACATTCCATCACATGAACGATCTCCTGACTACACACCTGACATTCCATCACATGAACGATCTCCTGACTACACACCTGACATTCCATCACATGAACGATCTCCTGACTACACACCTGACATTCCATCACATGAACGATCTCCTGACTACACACATGACATTCCATCACATGAACGATCTCCTGACAACACACCTGACATTCCATCACATGAACGATCTCCTGACCACAATGGAGTCGCACCTCACATTCCATCACATATTCGGTCTCCTGACTACACACCTGACATTCCATCACATGAACGATCTCCTGACAACACACCTGACATTCCATCACATGAACGATCTCCTGACCACAATGGAGTCGCACCTCACATTCCATCACATATTCGGTCTCCTGACTACACACCTGACATTCCATCACATAAACGATCTCCTGACTACACACCTGACATTCCATCACATGAACGATCTCCTGACTACACACCTGGCATTCCATCACATGAACGATCTCCTGACTACACACCTGACATTCCATCACATGAACGATCTCCTGACTACACACCTGACATTCCATCACATGAACGATCTCCTGACTACACACCTGACATTACATCACATGAACGATCTCCTGACTTCACACCTGACATTCCATCACATGAACGATCTCCTGACTTCACACCTGACATTCCATCACATGAACGATCTCCTGACTACATAACTGACATTCCATCACATGAACGATCTCCTGACTACACACCTGACATTCCATCACATGAACGATCTCCTGACAACACACCTGACATTCCATCACATACTCGGTCTCCTGACTACACACATGACATTACATCACATGAACGATCTCCTGACTACACACCTGACATTCCATCACATGAACGATCTCCTGACTACACACCTGACATTCCATCACATGAACGATCTCCTGACTACACACCTGACATTCCATCACATGAACGATCTCCTGACTACACACCTGACATTCCATCACATGAACGATCTCCTGACTACACACCTGACATTCCATCACATGAACGATCTCCTGACTACACACCTGACATTCCATCACATGAACGATCTCCTGACAACACACCTGACATTCCATCACATGAACGATCTCCTGACCACAATGGAGTCGCACCTCACATTCCATCACATATTCGGTCTCCTGACTACACACCTGACATTCCATCACATGAACGATCTCCTGACAACACACCTGACATTCCATCACATGAACGATCTCCTGACCACAATGGAGTCGCACCTCACATTCCATCACATATTCGGTCTCCTGACTACACACCTGACATTCCATCACATAAACGATCTCCTGACTACACACCTGACATTCCATCACTTGAACGATCTCCTGACTACACACCTGACATTCCATCACATGAACGATCTCCTGACTACACACCTGACATTCCATCACATGAACGATCTCCTGACTACACACCTGACATTCCATCACATGAACGATCTCCTGACTACACACCTGACATTCCATCACATGAACGATCTCCTGACTACACACATGACATTACATCACATGAACGATCTCCTGACAACACACCTGACATTCCATCACATACTCGGTCTCCTGACTACACACATGACATTCCATCACATGAACGATCTCCTGACTACACACCTGACATTCCATCACATGAACGATCTCCTGACTACACACCTGACATTCCATCACATGAACGATCTCCTGACTACACACCTGACATTCCATCACATGAACGATCTCCTGACTACACACCTGACATTCCATCACATGAACGATCTCCTGACTACACACCTGGCATTCCATCACATGAACGATCTCCTGACTACACACCTGACATTCCATCACATGAACGATCTCCTGACTACACACCTGACATTCCATCACATGAACGATCTCCTGACTACACACCTGACATTACATCACATGAACGATCTCCTGACTTCACACCTGACATTCCATCACATGAACGATCTCCTGACTTCACACCTGACATTCCATCACATGAACGATCTCCTGACTACATAACTGACATTCCATCACATGAACGATCTCCTGACTACACACCTGCCATTACATCACATGAACGATCTCCTGACTACACACCTGACATTCCATCACATGAACGATCTCCTGACTACACACCTGACATTCCATCACTTGAACGATCTCCTGACTTCACACCTGACATTCCATCACATGAACGATCTCCTGACTACACACCTGACATTCCATCACATGAACGATCTCCTGACTACACACCTGACATTCCATCACTTGAACGATCTCCTGACTTCACACCTGACATTCCATCACATGAACGATCTCCTGACTTCACACCTGACATTCCATCACATGAACGATCTCCTGACTACATAACTGACATTCCATCACATGAACGATCTCCTGACTACACACCTGCCATTACATCACATGAACGATCTCCTGACTACACACCTGACATTCCATCACATGAACGATCTCCTGACTACACACCTGACATTCCATCACTTGAACGATCTCCTGACTACACACCTGCCATTACATCACATGAACGATCTCCTGACTACACACCTGCCATTCCATCACATGAACGATCTCCTGACTACACACCTGACATTACATCACATGAACGATCTCCTGACTACACACCTGACATTACATCACATGAACGATCTCCTGACTACACACCTGACATTCCATCACATGAACGATCTCCTGACTACACACCTGACATTCCATCACATGAACGATCTCCTGACTACACACCTGACATTCCATCACTTGAACGATCTCCTGACTTCACACCTGACATTCCATCACATGAACGATCTCCTGACTACATAACTGACATTCCATCACATGAACGATCTCCTGACTACACACCTGCCATTACATCACATGAACGATCTCCTGACTACATTCCTGACATTCCATCACATGAACGATCTCCTGACTACACACCTGACATTCCATCACTTGAACGATCTCCTGACTACACACCTGCCATTACATCACATGAACGATCTCCTGACTACACACCTGACATTCCATCACATGAACGATCTCCTGACTACACACCTGACATTCCATCACTTGAACGATCTCCTGACTACACACCTGACATTCCATCACATGAACGATCTCCTGACTACACACCTGACATTCCATCACATACTCGGTCTCCTGACTACACACCTGACATTCCATCACATACTCGGTCTCCTGACTACACACCTGACATTCCATCACATGAACGATCTCCTGACTACACACCTGACATTCAATCACATGAACGATCTCCTGACTTCACACCTGACATTCCATCACATGAACGATCTCCTGACTACACACCTGACATTCCATCACATGAACGATCTCCTGACTACACACCTGACATTCCATCACATGAACGATCTCCTGACTACACACCTGACATTCCATCACATGAACGATCTCCTGACTTCACACCTGACATTCCATCACATGAACGATCTCCTGACTACATAACTGACATTCCATCACATGAACGATCTCCTGACTTCACACCTGACATTCCATCACATGAACGATCTCCTGACTACATAACTGACATTCCATCACATGAACGATCTCCTAACTACACACCTGACATTCCATCACATGAACGATCTCCTGACTTCACACCTGACATTCCATCACATGAACGATCTCCTGACTACATAACTGACATTCCATCACATGAACGATCTCCTGACTTCACACCTGACATTACATCACATGAACGATCTCCTGACTACACACCTGACATTCCATCACATGAACGATCTCCTGACTACATAACTGACATTCCATCACATGAACGATCTCCTGACTACACACCTGACATTCCATCACATGAACGATCTCCTGACTACACACCTGACATTACATCACATGAACGATCTCCTAACCACAATGGAGTCGGACCTCACATTCAATCACATATTCGGTCTCCTTACTACAAACCTGACATTCCATCACATGAACGATCTCCTGACTACACACCTGACATTCCATCACATACTCGGTCTCCTAACTACAAACCTGACATTCCATCACATGAACGATCTCCTAACCACAATGGAGTCGCACCTGACATTCCATCACATATTCGGTCTCCTAACTTCACCACACCTGACATCCCATCACATATTCGGCCCTGCACATGTATATTTACTGCTGACGTTGATTGTTATATACATCTTCACGATCCTGCTGAGATGTGGCAAGTCGTCATTGCTGACAGCAATCCCATTTGGGCGATGGTAAAGGCAATGCATGTTGAACACGCTATGCATACTGGCAGTGACACCTGCTGACTAGCGCCATGGTATATCATGACGAGACTAATTTATAAGCCACAACACTGTTCTTCTCATGTTTTACTACAATTATAAATGATTACGTTATTTTTAAACTGTCTGTAATTATCATTAAACTATCCTTACAAATGCAAAAAACCCATAATCTACCAAGTAGATGAGAGATTGGCGTTTTCACTGGAACTGAGACATAGGTTCCTGCTGAATGATCTTGAAATACTTTTGCAATTTTAGTTATTGTGCTCAAATCACTGTGATGACCAACCAGGAGATTTGCCGCAGTATCAGTATTTAAGAATGGTGGTATAGAGAAGCGTGCCTCTACCTTGAAATTAAAAGCGACAAAACCCTTTCCATATTCATAAAAAAATTCTGCCAAAGCAGAGTCGATTGTATGATTCCGACTTAAAAATGAATATGTGTTTATGAATCACAATCAATCAGTGTGATGATACCAGGTGTTCGCGAAAAGGTGAGCATATCCTGCCCCACCGGTATTACCCGTCACAAAAAGCAAATGTCAAGCTTCGCAGTAGTGCCAGAGAACCAAGGTTTGGCATTAATGATGGCGTTATATCGAGGGTTTCTTATACGCGTGCAGCATTCAAAAGGTACTCGCTAAATGGAACTACAACGTGGCAAGAGATTATTCCACTGTTATATTGGGGGCGATTTGTCCTTTGTAAATATATATTTCATGCGGAATGTGCAATTGATATCACTGGTGACATTTGAAAGTATATATCATGATCTTAACAATTTTACTACAGGCTATCGTATTGCAGATATCACCTCGCGATCATTTCCCTTGAACTATCAATAACTGTATACGATCTACAAGAAGCGTGTCCCAATAACCCGAATATGCAGTCAAATGTATAATGCCGGTGTGATATGTTAAAATAGAAGTCAGTTCGTAAGAATATTGGGAGAATAATTTGCAAAAAACATATTATCCATCGTGAAATGAACACTGATTTGAAATAAACTGCCGAGCAAAAGAAAGTATGTCTCCATATTTGGTGGTGGCTAAAAATGAAACAATCAAGTCATGGTTTTTCGATGGTAATGTATTTGATACGGCTAACATAGATATGTTTTGGACCTGTTCGGCAACTGTTTTTGTCAAATCCACTTTTTAAGTGTATATTTTCCTTTGTCCGGCAGTCTGCAATGTCCCCCCATCGCTATCTTTTATCATAATTTATTCACACACCGTGCCAAAAAAAGGTTATCGTAAATCTTCCAATTCTGATATTAATAAAACAACTACATTATTAAAAACGTTAATGACTTGTCGATTGACATCGATTCTTGTTATAATTTATGCACATTTTTCATATGCATGGGAAAAACGTTTGTTCAGGAACAGCTGTAGGCATAACGTGTGAACAACATGTTTAATCAATGAAACATCGGAAATATCACAAACCACTTAAATTCATTGTTCCCATTCCGATATTAAATGCATGTTATTTTGTTTTTGTTTGTTTGTTGTTGAACGCCGCACTCAGCAATATTCCAGCTATAAATGCATATTAAAGTTTAATGCACTGGCGTTTACTGTGCATCTTTTGAAAGTCTGTATTTGACAATGGTGTTTTCACAACACCACTATGAAGATGATCACGCACACTGTAATGGAAGCCGACAGCATCCGGGCTCCCTGGAGACCAATAATGGCGCTTGGCGTCAGACTCATCATGTTTGTCCTCAGATGCATCAAATGAAACGGTACCAACCAGGGCTGCGTCATATCAAGGCTCACCATGTGTTATCAGTACACCCTGCACCATGAGGATTCCTTGTGTTCTGTGTTAGAGCAGATACTCAATGAGTTTGTGAGTGAGTGAGTGAGTATGGTTTTACTCCGCTTTTAGCAATATACCTCCACTATAACTCCCGAGGAAGTCACATTTGGTTTGTTGTTTGACGCCGCACTCACCAATATTCCAGCCATATGACGGCGGTCTGTAAATAATCGAGTCAGGACCAGACAACCCAATAATTAAAATCATGAACATCGATCTACGCAAGTGGAATACGATGACATGCAACAACAAGTCAGCAAGCCTGACCACCCGATCCCGTTGGTCGCCTCTTACGACAAGCACAGTCGCCATTTACGGCAAGCATGGGTTGCTGAAGACCTGTTCTAACCCGGTTCATCACGGGTCGAGGAAATCAGAAATTGGCTTCACACATTGTACCCATGTGGGAAATCGAACCCGGGTCTTCGGTGTTACGAGCGAGCGCTTTAACCAAAACCAACACCACCCTACCACCCCTTGGTCAATGGGTTAGTGAGATCGGCTTAATGCCGCTGCAATATCCATTTAAATCACGTAATTAGCTTAGGAAAGTCAAAGCGATGAAGGTCATGCTGATTACTGATATGGTGGAACTCTCAAGACCAATCTCGTCTTGAAAGACAAAGGTTCATAACCGGCGCAAAAGTCGGATTCGAAACCCCAACGAGCGGACCCGGACAGCGATAGCACACTGCACAGGAAAAATGCACTTCCACAATGAACATGTTTTGAGGCAAAGAATGAAAGCGTTGAAAAAAAGTATGCATTTTCGTCACATGTTTGCCAACATGATTAAACAAATGAATAAAACATGATGGAAACTATCTAAAAAACTGCATGGTTTGAACCATTCTATGTAATTGTACGACGGTATATGACGATATATGCACTGTCATACCGAAACCCGGCTTGCCACGTGTAACATTACAATTTCTAGTTATTGACGTGGGATATAAATAAACTCACGCACTTGGCATCACCATGTAGCAATTCAACGTCAATATTTAACCCTCGGTTACAATACAACTTCGGCTATTTTTGTTTTGCTGTCATGTGCTGTGACATTAAGTACATTGAAGCACTTCGACGTGTTATTTTATGTTTTGTCATACACAGCTACTTGATACACATAGGGGGCGGGTGACAGAGCGTATAAATGTACTACCATCGAAAAGTCGGCATGCCGCTATGTTCGATGCCATATTTTGTCATGAATTCTCTTCGTTGAGTTACAATCACATACATTCAAGTCTCGTTAATCCGACAATCGGCTTTATCCGACACTAATGATGGGAACCGATTAAATCAGTGCTCTTAGACCCGTTAATCCGACAGTCTCGCACTCCGACTCCGACACACCTAATTTGCAACGAATTACCGAAATCACTCATTAATCAGGCTCACGGTTCACTGTTGCATGAAACGCACGTGCAGCCCAGTCTCGCGGTCCACAGTTGCAGTAAATGCACGTGCGGTAGATCGTCTTACGGTTCACCGTTACATGGAACGCACGTGCAGCACACTGTCTTACCGTCCACTGTAACATGAATTTCACGTGCAACATACAATTTCTCTGTCTACTGTTGCATGTAACGCACATGCTGTATACACGCCCACTGCCTGCTGTGGGTGCATCGGATAGATAGGTACTCCTCAAATGACTATTTGTCATTTGACAACTGTCTTTAGCAGGCACCTTAGGTATTGATTCTGACTTTTGAAGACGATTGGAACGTGGGACTTATATCTGGACTTCAGGAATACGTGTAAATGGTTCATGATTTCCGATTCCGTCCATGGTACAATAAAAATTCCAATTTAAATATCCCAATAAATATTCCTAAGTCCAATGAAAATAAAATATATGCAATAGTCCACTCTAGTGGTAAAACACGTGGCGATTCCTGGGGAGCAGATGTTTAAATACCTCTTGCTGAGTCACCTCTGTATCGGATGGTTATTATGTATGACACGGCTGATTTGGGGGTCAATTTTCCTCACGGTGTCCCCCTTTCACCGTGCTATCAACCGCAATTGTATACATGTTGCCGTTAAAAAGCTGCAATACTACGGACTGCGGCATAAAACAATATTTAACCACGGACTAAAATATGCTACTGATGTCTATGAATCATACGTGAGTTATGCATTTGGGAAAACACCCTTTCAGAAATATGACACCTAAACCAAAGTGACGGAGTGAGTGAGTGAGTTTGGTTTTACGCCATTTTTTATCATTATTCCAGCAATATCACGGCGGGGGACATCGTAAGTGGGCTTCACATATTGTACCCATGTGGGGATTCGAACTCGGATCTTCGGCGTGACGAGCGATCGCTTTAACCACTAGGCTACCACACTGCACCAAAGCGACGGAAGTGATGTAGGTCTCACACGTTGTCCCGTGCTTAATCACGGACACAAGTATAGTGCTGAAACACCGAGAGTCATAGGATTGCTATACTTGAGACCCCTGATCTATGCGTGCCTCATCCTAACAATAACGTGCCCCATCCTAACAATAACTGACCCGTGAAGACCCGGGATAGAATAGGTCTTCAGCAACCCACGCTTGCCGTAAAAGGTGACTGCTTGACTGCTTGTCGTAAGAGGCGACTTACGGGATCGGGTGGTCAGGTCGCTGACATGGTTGATGCATGTCATCGTATCCTATTGCGTTGATAGATGCCTATGGTGTCAATCACTAGATTGTCTGGTCTAGACTCGATAATGTACAGACCGCCGTTATTTCACTAGAATATTGCTGAGTGCAGCATTAAAACAACGAAGAAGAAACTAACAATAACTGTCAGTTGCTATCATCATTGCATGCATAATTAATTTAAATAAGCGGGTGATTCAGTCGACCCTGGGTCTGTATATGATGGCTAAATGTCCGAAGGAATCCTAGACAGCCGTTTCATGCAGCGTCACTCATTACATAATTACAATCTGTTTCGAATCCAACACAACTATCATGAGGAGATGCTTCGTGTCTGGTGACATTACATCAATGACGCTACATCGTATCGATCCAAAATTTCCTCACAACCTGCACAACTACGGTATCAGAGCTAACAGTTTGCGCAAGTAGATGCAAGTGTGAAAGGGCAGCACCGCTGTCCTAAGAGTGATGAATATTTTACAACGGGGACTTTGATGTGGTCAGAGGTAAGATCCGTCTGCTCGGTATGCAAGCCAGAAATTTTCCATGGTCGAGACGAACGGTCGTATATAGTCCATTCTGGATTACGAAGTCAACGGGACCATTGAAGTAATTATTTCTTCTAAAATCATAATGTTCATATTTAGAATGCACCAAATCAACACCCTAAAACATGGTTAAAGCGATACGTTATTATCCCACTCAATGGATCGGTGTGCAATTCTAGGCTCCCTGGGGAGTGTACAACCCAAGCTGCCCGTGATAAAAGAAGGTTAACAGTCACATTACCCTCTCATCCTACCGGGTACCCATTCACTGATGGGTGAAGAGGTGCACAATTCGAACAAAATCACTTAAGGTGACACTGCATGTGCTAAATGTGCAACATGTGCTTCAGTCTTGGGCAGGATCGAAACACTAGCAACTCTCAGGAGTCAAGCTGCCGAACGCGATCACCCATCCAACTACTCTCCGCCACCAACGTTGCTGCACTTCACCTGATTTTTTTACCTCTGTGCTGTTCACAGGAACAAGTGCCGCTACAGATTAAACCATCTACATTCCAGTTGTTTATCTTGACGGCCATTAAACAATGGAGCCTGGCATTGGCAAACCAGTGGGTGATAGTATGAGCAACAATCCACACTCGGGGCACGATAACACACAGTTATAAGGTCACACAGCTGTAACCATCCGACTCTCAACCTATTCAGGGTATGTTATGTTTTGAATAAAACCTGAATAATCTATTTAGTATGATTATACCCATTAAGATCGGGGTAAGAATAGGTCTTCAGCAATCCATGCTTGCCGAAAAAGGCGACTATGCTTGTCGTAGGAGGCGACTAACGGGATCGGGTGGTCAGGCTCGCTAACTTGGTTGATGCATGTCATCGTATCCCAGTTGCGTGGATCAATGCTCATGCCAATCACTGGATTGTCTGGTCCAGACTCGATTATTTACAAACCGCCGTTATTCAGCTGCAATATTGCTGAATGCGGGGTTAAACAACAAAGAAACAAACATGTATCTAAAGCTATTAAAACACACAATGTGTGGAAAACATAAAAACATGTTTGTAAAGAATGAAATACAAGTATATGAATGATTTCTCGCATGATTTTCGGAGACGTTGTTTAACTCCGAGCCCAACCCTGCTTTACGTATCCGCTGACTGGCCGAGCAACCGTAAAACCATACTACCAACATGTCAGCTTCACGGTATTTAGCATACGAACGCGTCATCATGTTCCAGCTGTACACAGATCCCACATATAATTATGTTCCGCCATATAGAACAGGGTATTGATGTTGGACACGCTTGTCTGATTATGAATAGCGCTGTCAGTTGGACACATATTTGCTTTTTCATCTAAAATCCATATTTTCTGTCACGACTGTGTTGTATAGTAATGACATTGCCAACGAGACACAACTACCAACAATACTTGTTTTAGCTCTTTTGAAGTGATGGACATTTGCACACTGTAGATCTGCAAGGTAACGCAAACGATTTCGGAAAGGACATGCTTAATGGATTTCCAGAACTGATCAGCCTGAATTGTATTGTTTCCTCATCCAGATAATTGATTCTTGTAGAAACAGGACTAATTCGCCATTCATGTTAACATGATTAATAAGGTGAACCATGAAAATACGTTCGCTTTATCTATATTTACATACATTATTTTCAATGCTGTAGGGGCACGGGTTGCCAAGTGATCTAAGGCGACACAATTCGCTGTGATCGGATGTTCAAATCCAGGTTCGCCCCGATTGTGTTTCAAGGTTTGTCGGCACCATACCCGTGCTCGTGGGTTTCATCGAAGTGGTAAACGTTTAAGACCTGCATTATTTCGGGCTTTCCTCCCACATCAAGCTGACACGCCGTGATGTAACTGGAATACTGTCAAAAACGGCATTAAACCCAACTCACTCACTCACTCAATTCATTGGCGTACTTAGCATATACAGTTATATAAAAATAATCTACTGATAATACATTAACCATTTAAATCAATTCAAAAATTAAATATATACTTCACATTCATATCTGATAACCGTCATGAAATGAAATTATCTCTAAATCTATTTTCAAAATAGCTATAAATAAAATTATCTATTGATACTCTTTCCAAAGCTTCCAAACGTATGCAAGATCGCAGTAGCCAGTCTAATAACACCCCGTGTCACTGCATGTCAGAACTTGCTATATACCATGGTACATCTACCGCCTAACCTATCTGTTATGACCCCAACATTCGCCATACTAAAGACTCCATTAAACTTACATTTCTCACAACAGACAAGCGGGATCGATGATCGATCCGTCCAACACAAAGTATCATCCAGGTGGAACTATCGCGGTGGAAATGCAAGATTTCGAGTGCAGGCTCCCATGCTGAATCGAACAAAAACTGTTCACAACAGCTTTTCATCGCTGTAACGCTCAACACACCTTGCACGGGAGGTCATTAAAGTTTGATGTGTCACCATCCCAGATGAACACGTCTCGCTTCAATTTGCAATCAACAATTGTATCAACTTTTACCTTGCTCTTCCGCCAAGTTGCATGATTAATTTATTCGTCGGTCTCCAAAGCTTAAATAGGGAATATTTTAAATATGTATCTATTGTTTAGATTTGAGTCCCGAACCGAGTTATCGATCGTATGTTTCTGCACAAAAACGGATGAAAAATTCGATATATATTTCATCAATATCTCTGCGTGTGGTAAAACCCTTAGTGTCGCGCGGGGAAGTTCTGTCATTGAAAAATTATAGAATGGTCCTCGATATGTTAAGTACGGTTTGAAACCTGCAGCAGGGGCAAAATGATCTCTAAGAAAACGACGATATAAAAATCATGTCTTTATTGATTGCTATAAAAAGAGATTTTAAGTAAACAGAATGTTGTTATCGCCCTAAAGATTTTAAAAGTGCATTCGTGAGATTTGCTGCTTCGTCATGCAATAAAGATCGATGAATAAAATTGTTTTTAACCAATTAAATCACATGCTAATTTATTACGAGGGGCCAATTGTACATATGGAAAACAATCGAACAGTGTATCTCTAAAAACATTGTTTTATTGTGAAGATATACCTGTTTTATTCATATATATTATTCACATATTCATATAATGTGACGATTAAAAACCATGTCGGTGGAATACAATTGGTTCTCTATGGAATTCATTCTTCTTATCTAAGAGCACAAGGAATAAGAGAAAATAGTTTATTCTTGTGTCACACGTTTTCTAACATTATTTTACAGAAGTTAGCACTCATCAATGAAATAAAACATCCGGCTAAGTTGGCCTATGAGACACGTCCATTGAACAAAATCATGTAAATGCATTAATAAAACATACAAGGGCATATTTACACTGCCAGTTGTTTACACATCCAAACAACTTACAGCACAAACATACATACAATCAGTGTAGACCTTACATTCACTACCCACACATGTACACAGTACAGACCATACATTCACTACCCACGCATACACACAACATAGACCATACATTCACTACCTACACATACACACAACATAGACCATACATTCACTACCCACACATGTACACAACATAGACCATACATTCACCACCCACACATGTACACAGTACAGACCATACATTCACTACCTACACATGTACACAGCATAGACCATACATTCACCACCCACACATGTACACAGTACAGACCATACATTCACTACCCACACATACACACTACATAGACCATACATTCACTACCTACACATACACACAACATAGACAATACATTCACCACCCACACATGTACACAGTACAGACCATACATTCACTACCCACACATACACACTACATAGACCATACATTCACTACCTACAATTGTACACAGTACAGACCATACATTCACTACCTACAATTGTACACAGTACAGACCATACATTCACTACCTACACATACACACAACATAGACCATACATTCACTACCCACACATACACACAACATAGACCATACATTCACTACCCACACATGTACACAGTACAGACCATACATTCACTACCCACACATACACACAACATAGACCATACATTCACTACCTACACATACACACTACATAGACCATACATTCACTACCCACACATGTACACAGTACAGACCATACATTCACTACCCACACATACACACAACATAGACCATACATTCACTACCCACACATACACACTACATAGACCATACATTCACTACCCACACATACACACAACATAGACCATACATTCACTACCCACACATACACACAACATAGACCATACATTCACTACCTACACATGTACACAGTACAGACCATACATTCACTACCCACACATACACACTACATAGACCATACATTCACTACCCACACATGTACACAGTACAGACCATACATTCACTACCCACACATACACACTACATAGACCATACATTCACTACCCACACATACACACTACATAGACCATACATTCACTACCCACACATACACACTACATAGACCATACATTCACTACCCACACATACACACTACATAGACCATACATTCACTACCTACACATGTACACAGTACAGACCATACATTCACTACCCACACATACACACAACATAGACCATACATTCACTACCCACACATACACACTACATAGACCATACATTCACTACCTACAATTGTACACAGTACAGACCATACATTCACTACCCACACATACACACAACATAGACCATACATTCACTACCTACAATTGTACACAGTACAGACCATACATTCACTACCCACACATGTACACAGTACAGACCATACATTCACTACCCACACATACACACAACATAGACCATACATTCACTACCTACACATGTACACAGTACAGACCATACATTCACTACCCACACATACACACAACATAGACCATACATTCACTACCCACACATACACACTACATAGACCATACATTCACTACCTACACATGTACACAGTACAGACCATACATTCACTACCCACACATACACACAACATAGACCATACATTCACTACCTACAATTGTACACAGTACAGACCATACATTCACTACCCACACATACACACAACATAGACCATACATTCACTACCTACACATGTACACAGTACAGACCATTCATTCACTACCTACACATGTACACAACATAGACCATACATTCACTACCTACACATGTACACAGCATAGACCATACATTCACTACCTACACATGTACACAGCATAGACCATACATTCACTACCCACACATACACACTACATAGACCATACATTCACTACCTACACATGTACACAGCATAGACCATACATTCACGACACACACATGTACACGGTATAGACCTTACATTCACTACCCACACAAGTACACAGTATAGACCTTATATTCACGACACACACATGTACACAGCATAGACCATACATTCACTACCCACACATGTACACGGTATAGACCTTACATTCACTACCAACACAAGTACACAGCATAGACCATACATTCACTACCCACACATGTACACGGTATAGATTATACATTCACTACCCACACAAGTACACAGCATAGACCATACATTCACTACCCACACAAGTACACAGCATAGA